GGGGCATAGGAGCGGAGCGGAGGACTCACATAAAGGACGGTAAAGGCGTAATCGGCGCGGTTGAGGCCGGGCCGTTGCTCGGGGCGAATGTTGACATCGTGGAGACCAAGACCTTGGTGGGTAGCATAGAAGAGGGAGAAGGAAAAACCAAAGTCAAGGACCTGAGGATTAGAGATAATGAGTGAGTGTTTGTTAGTGGCTTAATTCCTTCCGTGGGGGGTGGGGGGATTATTGATGTCATGGGGGATGGGGAGAGTAAATACCCAGGCCAGGAGCATAAAGTAGTCATGCAGGGCAATTTTGCGAACGATAAAAAGGCGAGAAACGAAGCGCAAGCCAACAAAGACGGTGGCGACAACGAAAAAAACAATAGAGACTGTTAGGACAGTAGGTCGTTGGTCTTCCATTACGGAGAGAGAAGAGGCGAGCGGAGGAGAGCGAAGTCGGAGGGAGCGGAAGGGTCGGTTAAAGGCGGGGAGGAGGGGAGGGAGGCAAGTCCATGACTATTGATCTCTTGCGACTCTTTCACAGCATGATAACAGAGCAATGTATACATATGATCTGGACTTTGAAGGCGAAAAGAGAAGGAGAGCAGGGGTGGGGTAAGGAAAGAAGAAGAGAGCGTGTGTAAGGGAGGAAGAAGAAGAAAAAATTAAGAAGAATACACGGGATGAAGCGGACAAAAGGAAGACGACGACGAAGAGGAAGAAGAAGAATGGCAGGAAAGCAAGAAAGCCTGCAAGAAAGCAGGAAAGAGGAAAGAGGAAAGAGGAAAATAGACGAGAGAGAAAAGGATGGAACCAACCACTCAACACGCAATTTGTTAGTACTTACTTAGTACTTACGAAGTGGTACTTACGAGTAACTACCGTCAGTCCAATTTAATTTAATAATAAAAAAAAAGAAAAGAAAAGAAAAAAAAATAACTAACTAACCAAGTACAAATTAATTAAGCTAAAGCAATGCCTGCTCGAATGTCTTGTCGATCGATGATGGTTACTTTCCTTTTCCCAAATTTACTAGTAATCAACTACTGTCACCATGAACCAGAAAACAAATCAGTACTAATGAATGGATAAGATGTTGTTTCCTCCCACCCCCTCGCGTGGCATTTTCCTTCCATACTTACTAGCCGTTGTTGGTTCCTGGGCGATCGACTGATTTAAATTTTAATAGTACGGTGTGATAGATTCTCTGCATGGGGATCCTCATTTGTCTCCAGACTTAACTACTCCGGAGTACTGCTATTTCTGCACTAAGACACTATGCTATTATTGTTCCAAGTGCTATGGGGCCATTTGCTTAATTTGCTTAGTGGATTTGCTTTTATCCCCCGCAATCTCTCCATCATCTTTCGCTGCCATGCGCCAGATGGCGAGCAGGCTGATAACCATATTCAACCCCCACCCCCCTCCCCCGGGGTCACCACGGTTCATGAAATGTCCACCACCGCCAGGACTGCTTCGATCATATGGCCCATGATCTATGCATCCCACTAACTACTAATCTGGTTTTACCCGAAGCTTGGTCCATAATAAATAGCGGTATTAGAGAATCGAGCTAGTCTTTCATTTTCTGTCTGACTGCACCAATCTGCTCGCTCTCTCTTCGACATGAAAGGTTTAGTAAGTAGTTCTTGCGACGCTACTGACGGTTCTGCTGGTGTCTCACAACAACGATCAATGGGTTGATCGAGTCTGGGGGAACTGCACCAGGCTGTGACGTGTGCCTCCTGTGAGGGGGGCGGAGCTCAAGTCCTCATACTGACTGGCTATCTCTGGGTTGACAGCAGTTGCAGGTTCTATTAGGTACACTGACGGGGGTAGCGTACCAGGGCCCGAATGTTCTGCAGTCAGTATTGATCGAGGTGTGCACATGGGCCAAGGTAGATCGATCATCGTTCGGCTCCTCATTGTCACTTTCTAAATCGCCGATTCCAGATCGCGGATGCCGATGTGTGCCAAGGCACCACAGCCGCCCAGGGGCCCAGTATCCTCCATATCCTGGAGCAACTGCAAATGCAGATTGGATCAGTGACTAGCCGCATGATTTGCGCCAGCTTGGCTCGCTTGTGTCCATGGCCCGAGATCGATTTTAACCCAGACCCTCCCACCCGAGCCGGGGCTGTCGAGCGGGCTTATCACACAGCGAATCCACAATACCGAGGATTATAATCGCACCATCTGCGTGGCTCATCTCAGCGATGTGCATCTCGACCGTTTGTATGTACACTCCAGGGGCCAGCTATGCCTGCTCGAAACCGGTGTGCTGCCGGCCTTACACACCGGCGGACGCGCCCAACGCCACGCTCTTCCCCTCCGGTGGCTGGGGCAATCCTCGGTGTGAATTTCCCAAGCGTCTTTTGAGTGACAATCTGTTGCCCGTGTTGCAAGACATCAGCCCTCCTTTACCTTCACTTAATTGACCGGAGACGTCGGTGCCCAGGGCTTCTGATTGACCAATCGAGTCTCTGTCGAAACCGACTACAACAGCACTTATACAGCGCTGCAGGCACGCAACCGTCAGAAGACCGATATGTCTGGCCTTAAGGGACCACGATATCGCTCCCATCAACATCCACCCGGTCTCTCCCACCCAACCGGCCAATCACTCCGCAATGGGCCTACGACCTTTTCGCCTTCTGGTCGAATCGCCTGTCCCTCCAACCGAGCCCATCACCACCCCAGTCCAAGAAACAAGGCAACTATAGCATCCTCCATCAACATCTTCATCGTCATCAACCTCAGGACCCTTCTGCATCCGCACCCTATCCCGGACTCAAGATAATCTCCTTCAACAGCATGCGGTACTACCGCTCAAATATACTCAGCTACACCACTCCCCAACCCCGGACTCTCCTCTCGCAGTTTGAATGGCTCACCAAGGAGCTTCACCAGGCCGAGCTCCACGGCCAGCGCGTCTGGCTCCTCGCCCACGTACCCCCGGGAAATTCTCATATCCTCCCCTGCTACGACCGCGCTCTGCACCGAATGATCATCCGCTTCCGGTTCACTATCACAGCCCAGCCAACTTTGCCGGACAAGACATCTGGATCTCTTCCAGGTCTACTACCGTCATCGATACCCAAACGCTACGGCAAGCAACGGCAACTTTGGCCATGAGGCCGTAGGCATCAACTATATTACTTCCAGCCTCCCGTCCGAGTTGCGCCGGCCCCGCCTTCCGAATCTACGACGTGGACCCGGCCACGTGGGAGGTTGTCCACTCTACCGTCTACGTGATGGACCACCTTCGGGGAGTGACGGTTGCCCCGTTCTCCCGCAATTCTCACCGATGGTGAATTCAACGCGTTATGTCAGCTCGGAGGTGGGGCTTTGACAAGGGAGAACCTGAATCGGCCGCTCTCCCCGGCTTTCTGGGATGAAGTGACAATGCAAATGAAAGAGAACGAAACTCTGTTCGAGCAGTGGTGGGCGAGACGCACGCGGGGCGACTGGGTGAGGCCACGCTGCGGGATATGTCGGAGGAGGGAAATCTGCTACATGAGGAGGCGGACCAAGGAATTTCGTGGGTAATCATCACAGCGACCGGTCATGGTGATGACATTGGCGTGGTGGGGCCAAAGCATAAGGTAGACTGGTGCTTGTGCTCGTCCTCGGGCAAGTCTACAGGTCTATTGCAAGGTAATATCTTACTGTCGAGCCCCGCCCCATTCCCTCACCACTACAATACTGTAAGGCAAGATGGTAAAAGAATGAAATCAATTCCCGCCACCGCGCCGCGATGGACTGGTTTCGTTCTCCCAGCTGACTAACAAAACTATCCACACGAAAAGAAAAAAAGAAGAAAGACATACAAAGTAGTCATTCTATGCGTAAATCACGTTCCTTTTCCCCAAACATCTATTCAATGTACCAGTCAACACCGCTGACGCGACCGGCAGCCAATTCGGCCAACTCCAGGAAGAGCGAGGAAGACAGATCAATAGAGTTCGCGTCGCAGCCCATGCAAGTGTCGACGATGGTACCGGTAGCAGTCTTGCCGCCGTAGCTGATGGTCACAGTCTTGCCACAGTAGCTCTTCTGCATGATATCGTGGGACAGGGCCAAGACGTGCTCGCTGTCGGTGTTGGTCTCACCGCAGGATCCTAGGCCGACCTCGTAGTAGGTAATATCTCCGCTGCAAGGGGAGGACGATGAGCAGACTCCAGAAGAGCTGGACGAGCTGGAGCTGGAGCTGGAGGAGCTAGAGGAGCTGGAGGAGATGGAGGTGGTGGCAGCGGCAGCAGCAGCGGTGGTGGAAGTAGAGGTGGAGGTGGAGGTCGAGAAAGTGGTAGCGGCTTGCCATTGCTCAGCGGTCGAAGTCACGACGCTGGTGGTCCACTGCTGAGTGGAGACCTCGGGGGTCCAAGTCCAGGAGGGCACGGCGGTGGCGGTCCAGGCGGGCTGTTCCGCAGCAGCAGTTGTGGAGGTAGTTTGAGGGGAGCTGTGGTGCACCTGGGTGTGGTCGGCAACCTTGTTCACGGCGTTGGTGGCAGCAGGCTCGACGGTGACGGTGGTAGTCACATCCAGGGTGGTCCAGACGACCGAGGTGACGGTCTCAATCTCCACAACGGGGTCGCGCTTGTCGACGGGAACGGCAGAGGCAAAAGCCGCGAGCAAAGCGCCAACGAGGGCGAGAGACTTGGTGATAGGGGCCATTTTGAGGTTTGGTTTTTGATTGCGTGGTTGCACGAAGGGGTATATAGTTGGCTGTGTTTTGTTTTCTTTTTTTTTTATTTTGACTGCAGGGTGAAGTCTAGAAACGGGTTGCTTTGCCTGGATGTATGTCTATGTAGACAAAAGACTGGCTGACTCTGATCGACAGAGGAGTTGGGAGGATCTCGAAGATAAGGATTGACTGAACTGACTGCACAGCAGCACAAGCGCAAAGCGAACCCAAGGGAGTGTGGGTGTGGAAGAAGGAACGACAGACGCTGCTGGTTGAGGAGCGAGAGATTGAAGGAGAGGGGAGGCCGAGAGGGGCAGCCCTATTTAAACCATGGAGGAGGAGGGTCAGGAGGAAGGTTTTGACAGTCAGGCCCGGGACGGTACAACGAAATTGGACTGGTGTTAGCTCACTAGCGCTGGGCTACAATCAAATGAGTTTTTGAGTTTTTGTTTTTTTTTTTCTTTTTTTTTTTCTCGTTCTGGATTCAAAGAAATCTTTTTTTTTTCTTCAATTCTTCGATTTTATCTCTTAGAAATAAATTAAATCGGTGAAGATGATGAAAAAAAAAATCTCATCAGAGTCACAACCCAAAGGAAGCTAACCCAGCAGAGTTTACAGCGCAAGTGATAAGTAAGTCTCTTGCCAATCATCCATAACCAAGCGTCTGTCCCTGGCAGAGACCAACAGGAGGATTGGCCCGAGTTCAGGCCCCCGCAGACCCACCGACCACCGGCTCGTGAACGCCCCGATCAACTGGTTATGGACGGAACGGAACCACCGGTCAAAGAAAGGCACATCTCAGGAATCTCGTCAGGAACCTCAGGTACCTCCGGTACCTCGCTCAGTTGTCAGGAACCATTCTTTTGCTTTCCTTGGGAAGCCTCCGGAAGACTACCACACTTGTCCTACCGTAATAGGTACAGTCCTGCTGCTGTATTGAACTGCTTATCCTGCTTGTCTTACCATAGCTCTTCTCACCGTCTTCTCCCCTTTCTCCTTCCCTCCTCCCCTCTTCCTCCTCGTCTGCCAATAAATCATCATGGAGTCTGCCACCTCATCAAACTGTCTCCTCCCGATTGCCTCGCCTCGTATTGGACTTGCGGACGGGGATGACGTGAACTGACCGCGGTGTAACTACCTAACTACAGTCAGTCAGCGCGTTCCTGAATCGCCGACTGATCGACTGATTGGCGGACCCTCAATTGATGCCAGTGTCTCAGCCAGGCGGGTTGGGAGGGGGACCAACTGTGCTGACTGGCCCGCCGCATTTGTGAGTTTGACTTTTTTTGCGCTGTGGCTTGTCCTGTCCCGTATTCTTCTTTCTTCTTCTCTGCAGGCACCAGGGCTCTCTTTTCCGCCTTGTTCTCAGTTTGTGGTGGTGCAACCACCCACTACTGCGTAAATCCAACCCAGCCACAAAGCCACATCCGATGGACTCGAACCGGTGCCTGACCGACGGCATGCACAAATAATTTGACAAGTCCGGAGTATTTATGGGAGTAGCATCCGTATCCGTACTAATTACTGAGTCGAAAGACTTTGAAAGTTGCCATAGAAAGTAAAAATCCCTAAGGAAAGAAAAAGAGACAAAAACATTCTTCCGACACATTGCACCCTTCCCCTCCCTCCTCCCCCCTGAAACTGCGAGTAGGTATCATTTGAGACACCCTCTTTTCCTCCACCTCTTTCAATCCTGACCTTGACCGGCAAACTTTCTCCTCTCCTCCTCATCCCAGCGAGGTGGCAAAAACCTCATGGATCCTAGTCAATTGACCATCTCAGGAACGTAGCCTATGAAGGAGCAGACCGTGCAGGGTCGACGTGTCCGCGACCCTCCGAGTCTTCCAGGCTCCATCGCGGCGCGCAGCCAGTGAGGGCGGGCAATGCGACCATTGAGACGGCCAGATGAGTCCAATTACGGATGCTTTGAGTTTCCCCCCTCTTTCTCATCTGTCCAGGGCTGCATTTTCCCCCTCATCTTTCAACCTTTGCCCTCTTTCTCTGCCCCACTGCGAGAAAAAAAAAATCCTGTTAGACCTCAGGTGTTCGGCTGATTGGAGCCATGCAGCCGCTTTCACGTTGAATCTTGACCAGGTTCTGCCGATCTAGACCATTGAATGAGGCACTATGAGGCATTCTCGATGTAATTCTTTCAGATTCAGTGGGTGTGTATGTGTATGGGAATACGAAACGCCACATGGACTGATGGAGTCAATGGACACAAACACACAACGCTCAGTCCAGACCCTGATCCTATCCCCTCCCCCACCTCCCAGTCTTCGACCGATCAACATTCCGTCACTTGCAATCTACTGTGTATGTATGTATCCATCTATCTAACTTATTCATCGAGCAACAAGAATTATCAATCCAAATGCATTGTGCTCCATACATCGGGATGACCCACAAATCCATTGAGAATCAACAATCCAGAACCTGCACAGTGACATCAAATCTCCCTTGGCCATGACATGTAACGCATCTGCAGAGCATTCTAGGCAACCCCTCACTCGCTACCCTCTCCTCCCGTCGGAGCATATCCTCTTTCCTCGCCCACCCAACTGAAGTAGTCATTCACACCGCACAATCCCCTCCGACCCGAGAGAGGGTGAAACTGCAGCATGGGCAAACATCCTCCGCATTCCCCGGCTGTCGGTCTACCGGTCCGGCTGTCGGTCTCCTCGCTTAGGACGGGGACGAGAGGGAGGGGAGGGAGGGGAGGGGGCTTCCCATCTGATCATCAGGCCTTTTTGTTCCGGTGGCACAGCTTAGCCCGGTTTTGGATCATGTTATAGGAATTTCTAGCTGATGTGTTATGTGTGTGTGTGTGTGTGTAGACTCAATACCGCATCCTCCAGTTGATCCAACACCGCTCAACCCGGGAGCCTCACGACTAGCCCCCACAAGATGTGCTACAGCTGGCCCCGCCAGAGGTTGGGTCAGATGGTACCTGATATTCTCCTCCTCCTTGTGGAAGAGCTTGATCTCTTCCGTCTACATTCCTTTTTCCACACTCCTCCAACCATCTCAAGAAGCTCGAGAAAGCCCGTGGAGGAGCAAATGCGCCAACACTGGGGCTGAAGCTATCGACAGCTGTGGCTGGCTATCAACCCACCAGACGAGGTTGGAAGCTAAAATCCTTCGAGCGATTTTGGCACAACCTGCTGCACTCCGTCTTCTATTGCTCAGCGAACACAGAGTGTTCGATCGCGAACCGTACCTGCGCCTCTCTGACCAACCAACAGCTGTCTCGGCCTCGGCAATCTGGAAGTTTAGCCACTCACACAGGAGGAACTTTCTCTGTGGGAGCGAGTGCCCCTGACTGCTCTTTACCAGCGGGGAGATCCATCCAACCCAACAAGAGAGATGGATGGTTTGTGCGGTTTCACATGACGCATCTGGGATGTTGTCCTGTTCGGAGGAGCAGGGGCTACACCAGCATCAGGCTCATTTCCAGACCCCCTTCCGATGAGACAGAACACCGTGACGGCCCGGGCCATTCCATGACAGCCAGAGTGGCTCGAGTGCGACGGGGAGATTGAGTTGATACCAACATTACCACCAAGGGCTGCGCCTCCGACTGGAGTGAATCCAACGTAGGTAGTGGCAGCGTCAATGCAAAGGTAGTACTTATTCAGATATGGGTGACGTACGTACACCAGGTTGGTCTCGTTCAATCACAAGGCTTCGACCCCTTTTGGTTCTACGTGTTCTGGAGAGACCAAGACAGGACTGGCAGGCAGATGTACAGCTGGAGCTTCGAGTGCGTGCATCGTCGAAGTTCACGTCAACTGTTTTTGGCCCTCGGCCGATTTCCAAGCAAGCTTCAATACCGTACCTCCTGTATAGCCCTTTGTTTCGTGCATTTCTGGGATCCAGACTTCGTCAGCTGACAGACATTAACTAACTAACTTTTCAAAGCCCGCATCCAGTGGAGGTCCGTAGCCATGTAATACTAACTTGAGGTTTTTTGGAGGGCGTGATGATGCCAGTGCACCCTATTTAACCCAACCCGCATCCTTTGTCTCAGCATGGATAGTAGACTCCAGGAAAAGTTGGACTAGGCCAAGCAACAGGTCAAAGAGACCTTTTGATAAAGTGCGCTCTCGTGAAAATAGTACGTTCGGCGAAAAAAAACCCCCCCCCCCAAGATCAAAAGCGTCCCCCGAAACCATCGCCGTGCATCCAATGCTATTGCAAGTTATGTGCTTCAGTTGTCTGCGACAATTCAACGAACCGTCATAGTCAACGAGATCTAGACTCAGTCATGATGGACGATGAACAGCAATCAGAGCTCCATGGACCAAGCCGAGAACAAGGCCGATGATGTGCTGGATCGCGCGGAACACGATGGGCGGGGCTTCGGATACCGCCAAGGACAGACTGTCGGAGATGAAGCCTCCCCGCGTTTATGAGTAAAGATTCTTAGTTAATTGTTAGCCTCATCTTCCAGCATTGGGTGGTCGTGAACACCTCATATCACGGAAAAATGCACGGCAAATAAATGCTTCGAGCGATTTTTAAGGAAAAGACGTGAATTGTTATCTATACCTGAGAGAATCATCGCCATAAGCCCATCAAAATCGATATGAGATACGAGGAAAAAAAAAAAAAAGAAAAAACTGAAGCCGGTAGATACACTCGAAAACCCACAAGATAGTCAGAAAACAACAACCTTATCCATCAAACTCGTAATATAATTACACATGAAATTCCCAAATCACAGACGCCGACCGAATTAACTATACCCTTCATTGCTTGATTACTTCAACCCTGGCACATGATGCAGGCCTCCTTGTTCTCGATGCTGCACTGGAGCACCGCCTGGGAGTAGATGTCGTTCTCGCGCTCCTCGCTCGTCTTCTCGGAATCCTCTTCCTGAGGGCCCTCAGCCTCAGCCTCGGTGCCACGGGAAGTGACATCGGCGGCGAGAACACGGGGGCTCTCAGCACCATGGTTGACATCGTCACTGTGGCCGTTGACCTGACTTTGGCCGCGAGGCACAGCGGAGTAAGTGGAGGAGGCGCCCCCGGTAGCGCGCTTCTTGAAGGAAGCATTGGCACGAGCGACATTGGTATCCTCAACCTTGAGCTGTTCTTGGTCTACCGTGAACTGGATAGGAGCCGAAGCCGCCATCGTCCGCAGGTAGTACATACCAGTCTTGAGACCCATCTTCCAGCCTGCGAAGTGCATGCTGGTAATTTTACCCATGGTGGGCTCCTTCAAGTGAATGTTGAGGGACTGGGACTGATCAATGAATGCGCCACGGTCGGCAGCCATCTGAAGGATGTTCCGCTGAGAGATTTCCCAAACGGTCTTGTAGAGGGCCTTGATGTCGGCAGGAATGTTGGGGATGTTCTGGACGGAGCCGCCGTCGGCGATGATGCGGTTCTTCATGTTATCAGACCACAAGCCGAGGTCAACCAAGTCCTTGAGCAGCCAAGGGTTGACCACCTGGAACTCACCGGCCAGAACACGACGGGAGTAAATATTCGAGGTGTATGGCTCAAAGCACTCGTTGAATCCCAAGATCTGACTGGTGCTAGCAGTAGGCATGGGAGCAACCAAGAGACTGTTGCGGACACCAGTCTGTGCAATCTTGGCCTTCAGGGCATCCCAGTCCCACAGATCAGTAGGGGTGCGGTCCCACATGTCGTACTGGAGAATACCCTGAGAGACGGGAGAACCCTCGTAAGTCTCATAAGGGCCGTGCTGCTTGGCCAAATCAGAGGAGGCAGTCAGAGCACCGTGGTAAATGGTCTCGAAGATCTGGATATTGAGCTGTCTAGCCTCGGCCGAGTCGAAAGGCAGGCGCAAAGCGAGGAAAGCATCAGCCAAACCGTTGACACCAAGAGCGATGGGGCGGTGACGGAAGTTGCTTTTCTTAGCCTCCGGAACGGGGTAATAGTTGATGTCAATGATCTTGTTCAGGTTGCGGACCAAGACCTGCACAACCTCGTGGAGCTTGCCAAAGTCGTATTCGCCGCGGGCTGCATCAACGAAGGTAGGAAGAGCAAGAGAAGCCAAGTTGCAGACAGCAACCTCATCGGGAGCGCTGTACTCGATGATCTCCGTGCACAGGTTGGAGCTGCGGATGGTGCCCAAATTCTTCTGGTTGCTCTTCTTGTTGCATGCATCCTTGTACAGCATGAAGGGATTGCCGGTCTCAGTCTGGGCTTCCAGAATAGCATACCAGAGTTTCTGCGCCTTGATAGTTCTGCGGCCGCGACCCTCTTTCTCGTACCTGAAGTGATGTTAGAAATGGCTAGCAGGAATGCCTAAAACAAGGAAACTAACTTCTCATAGAGAGCATCAAACTCGTCGCCGTAGACATCGGCAAGTCCGGGAGCTTCGTTGGGACAGAATAGAGTCCAGTCACCGTTTGACTCAACACGCTTCATGAAGAGATCGGGAGTCCACAGAGCGTAGAACAAATCACGAGCTCTAACCTCTTCTTTACCGTGGTTCTTGCGGAGATCCAGGAACTCGAAAACATCCGAGTGCCAGGGCTCCAAGTAGATAGCAAAAGCACCAGGACGCTTGTTACCTCCCTGGTCGACGTATCTAGCAGTGTTGTTGAAGACCCGTAGCATGGGAACCAGGCCGTTAGAGGTACCGTTGGTACCACCAATGTAAGAGCCGGTGGCACGGATCCGGTGAACGTTCAGACCAATACCACCAGCAGTCTTGGAGATCATGGCGCATGTCTTGAGAGTGTCATAGATACCATCAATGCTGTCCTCTTTCATGTCGACGAGGAAGCATGAGGCAAGTTGAGGCTGGGGGGTACCAGCATTAAATAGGGTCGGGGATGCGTGAGTAAAGTATTTCTGGGACATAAGGTGGTAGGTCTCAATGGCCTTCTCAATATCATTGCCGTGAATACCAACGGAGACACGCATCAAGAGGTGCTGAGGGCGTTCGGCAACCTTGCCATTGATTCGCAGGAGATACGACCGTTCAAGGGTCTTGAAGCCGAAGAAGTTGTAGTTGAAATCACGATCATAAACAATAGCCGAGTTGAGTTCGTCGGCATGTTTCATGACAAGTTCGTACGTTTCCTGGGAAATCATGGGTGCGGGGTTGTTGTTCTTGGGGTTAACATAGTGGTAGAGGTCGGAAATGACCAATGAAAATTGCTTCTTGGTTTGCTTGTGAAGGTTGGAAACGGCTATACGAGCGGCGAGGATAGCGTAATCGGGGTGTGTGACGGTCATGTACGCGGCGGTCTCGGCGGCCTGCATGTGGAGTCAGAAATTTATGGTCAAGCATTCGACGATATCCACGTACCAGATTATCGAGCTCGACGGTGGTGACCCCCTGATAGACACCAGAAATGACCTTCTGGGTGATAGCAGCAGCGTCGACATGTTCAGGATCAAGTCCATAACAGAGCCTCGACACACGAGCGGTGATCTTATCGAACTGCACGCGTTCTTTGCGTCCGTCTATAATTCATCGTGACGTTAGCAAATTTTGCAAGGCTGGTGGCAACGAATTCCATGGGGGAGTTTCCAGGGCATATCTGATGCCAAGCAAAGACGTCGAGAGCTACAGGCTGATAGCGTAGCGCATGATGATGCTCACCTCTCTTGTAGACAAACATCTTGAATAACAGGGAACGGCTGAGGAATGTGTAGAACTGAAGAATATGACAAAAAGGGTATAATTAGGTTGAGCTACAGAGAAAAAGGATTGAAGGAGATAATGTCAAGAGGCATGAAAAGAAAAAGTTTCGTTAAAAAAAGAAGAGCAAGATAGTCCTGAAGACAGGAGCTGAGGGGACTGGAGGATGAGAAGAAAGAGAAAAGACGGAGGGGCAGCGAAAAGTGGTAGATATTTGACGTCGCCGGGGCAAACGCGTGCTGGTGGATATCAACGCGAATTTTCGTGTTTGAGCTAAATGGGCGGCCCTTGCATTTACGCTAACAAGCCCAGTACAAACCTTTGGCTCCGGCTGCCGGAGACACGCGACGCCAAAAGTCACGTGATGCTACCGAGTTTCTCACGCCACGTTAAGTCTAAAGACCCGACCGAGTCTTACAAATCAGCTTCGCGTCGTAGTTAGCTAACTATTAATGCTTGGTAAGATGTTTGGAAACTGGTTAGCTTTGGGAGCTTTCTCCATCGGCATCCACCTGGTTCTTCTCTTTCTCTTTGGAAGCCCACCGAAGTTGTTTTGCGCTTCTAATTAAAATGAAAATGTAAGGAGCGATCTATCATCCAGTTGCATTCAAGTCTATGGTAGAGCATTGTACAGTGAACCAGGCTCGAACATGTAACAAGATCGAGGCCTGCAAGCATTGGACCCGTCCTTGGTAGCAATTGCTGAGGAAAGACTACAGTGCCGCCGCAACTCCGAAGACAACAGCTGCAAATGCTGCCGCAGGAACATGGCGGCCTGACGTACCAGCTGAAATCACCTGGCTAGGGTAAGAGCTTGGTGTCGAGCTAGAATTGGAGCTGGGAAGAGGGCTGGAGCTGGAGCTGGAGATAATGCTGAATGATCCGGTTGGAGTGGCAAGGACAGAACTGATCTGAGTGGGATTGGGCACAGCAGTGGATGATGAGACACCGGAGATGGTGAATGTATCGTTCACTACATCAAACCAATGAGTTCAGTATGTATCTTCGCAGCGCCTTTTCATCCAACATACCAACTTTGTACCCAGCTGAGGCACACGTGTCTGAGAATTGCTGCATAGCCACCTTGGTATCATCGCCGCATATGTCTGCGATTGTATCCTTTATCCGCTGGCCATTTGTGATGCATATGGCCTGGAGATCGTCCGGATTTGGTTGAGAGCTGCATCTGCATTAACAAGCGATGTCTTCCACAGCAACCTCGGCAGCCGGCTAGGGATACTGGTACTGGGCTTACTTACCCTACGGCAAACAAAAGACAAGCACGGGTTGGAGCAGAAGTGACAAGGTTGTTGAATGCTAACAGACTGATGCAAAATGCAAACTGGAAAAGCAACATCTTGATATCGACTGGGGTAAATTAGGGAAACACGTCTAGCCAATGGTTGTAAGATAGATTGGAGAAATAATATCGAAGGGGGAGTAGCCAGGTGGAAATGCAGGGACGACGGTCAAAAGCGAAAATATCTATGGTGATTCTTACCAAGACTGATGGTCTTGTTGAGGTGTCTGGTCATTAGACTCGACTCGAAGAGTTGAAGAATGAGGAATTCACAGTTCAAGAATTCCCCAACTTCAACAGGGAATAATGAACCTCCCCCCCCCCTCATTCCTTGTTACAGAATCGACCCTGTCGGTCAACCACAAGACTGGGGTTGTATCCAACTAGTATTAAAGTGGTTAGCTGCCGCAAGGGCTTCGGCCAACAGTGGAGCCACTAATCCAAGTAAGGCTAACAAGTAGGAATCCATTGCCGGCTTCAATTGGCCCCAATATAGCTCCAATGAATCCTGGAACCATGCCGGTAATCATCACTTGAGAGTAAGATCTGATGTTCATGTGCTCGACCGTTGCATGTATGAATATGTCAATATGCGGCTCGGTTCAATTTCGCACGTTGAATAAACATGGCGACTCTCCTGCTGAACATGGAAAAAATGTTGAGATGTCTACTTCGTAGGTATTCTTTAGTACATATCTCATTTACATTGTCACTATCTGAATGACGTTGTGTCTGTTTCTGGCAGCTATATATAGGCGTTCTAAATTATCTAGTGTCTTACAAGTCAGTCTACCTCGAAAACTGTATAACTTATAAAGCAATGCTCTTGTTTTTCGAAAGAGATCTACACTGGTAGTATCTCTGGCAATGCAAAGACGACCTTGTCCAGAGCTCTCAACAAGAATAGTTTCACCTAGATTGTCAAACCCTGCGCAAAGTAAGTAATGTTGCTGGTTTTCTATGACATTTCAAAGCTTTCCCTTCCATCCGATTCGAGAACTAGAAACGATCTTTGGCAGAAATATAAGCGCGTCATCCGAACCAGATTAATTGACTACGATACATTGAGGCGGCTTGAGATGATATTTATGCCCTGATGCTTAAATGTCGTCGAAGCCAATGATGTTCTGAAAAGCTACGACGCATCAAGTTTTCAAGAGTATTATTTTTCCTCGTGCTGCCCACTCCTGCCGCAGTTTCATGCCTGAATAAGTTTGTGCAGTGAAATTCCTCTGCTGATATTGAGAACGTATAATGCATGAGCAGGCCAGCTTTGGCTGCAGAATGGAGGAGAACTGGCCATGGCAGTCTGCGGGGCTAATGGCGTAGACGTTGGTTGTCTGAAGATTCATGTGGAATATGGAATCATATAACTAGTGATGACCGACTTTGGCCAAGATGCCTTGTGGTGCATCTTACGCATCAAGGATCCCGATTGTACTAGCTTAGGGGCAGGTGCCGACCCTTTCTTTGGTTTTCCTTCTGTGAACAGCAAGATAATTAGCAGATTATAATCAATTTGAATGAGGCAAGCTTGCATATGTGGTCATACTTTAATGAACGCTTTTACGGCCGACATTTAGTCGCAAGATAAGTACTTCATGTGATAATAGCTAACCGGTTGAGAGAGTGAGTGTATCCCAATAAGACGCATGTGGGACTTGAGGATTGCGTGTAAAGATCGAGTTCGCGGGAGTACAACGCCCCGCGACGGCGTGCATCTGCACGGGTATACAATATGTATGTCAAGCTCTCATCTCTCGAACCGGTTATAATGGCACAGGGGTTTCTAGTCAGGTTGTTGGTCATGATCTATGTACTTCAATGCGTCCAGGGTCTTCCGGATCTCTTTCTCTACCTCTCCCATGCAGAATCATATTCACTATTTACAATCTCCTGGAGGTTCATTCTGCAATCCACAATCTCTCTTCCATTGACCAGATCGTTCTCGGTCACTCGTTTATTTGCATCGGTCTCATCTTTGGCGATTCCGGCCTTGACGTGTCTTCGGATCAATCTCTTCCGCGCGACCTCAAAGTCGACCTCGACAAACCAAAGCTCATCCATCAATTTGGCAGCCGTGCTCCACGGCTCTTTATTCAGGCTAAGGTAGTTGCCCTCGAAGAAAATTACCCGGCAGGTAGCCGGGATGGTGATATCATCATCCACAGGATCCTTGATCGCGTGGTCAAAACTCGGAGCGTACAGGCTCCGTGTCCGAGGTGTGACCTCTTCTCGCAGCGCCTGAACTAGCTTGAGAAACTTTTCTCCGTCGAAAGTGAACGCTGCACCGCGGCGGGCAGCAGCATACGCGGGGTCGGGCATTTCGGCTAGCTGGGCCCGTGTGAGATGGTAGCCGTCCATCGGGACGGTGGTTGCGATAAGCGGTGAGTCTGGATGTTGCGCTGAATATCGTTGATTGATGCGGTTGGCCATTATCGTAGCCAGCTCCGTCTTTCCAGAGCCGGGAATGCCACTGACCGCAATTAAGAGCCGGGTGTCATCTGGCGTGGTTTGAAACTTGTCTGTGGCTCAAGGCATTAGTTGCGGGACATTCTGGCTCTCCGCGGCTTCGTTCATACAAGGAGACAGAAGAGGGGGAAAGTTCAGCTGTAGTACTCACTCCAGATTTTGTCAACCAATCGCTCGACTTGTTGATCCATGATGGGATGAGGGAAGGTCTGCGGGTCTAGACAGAATAGACACGAGGATTGATCAAATTGGATTAACAAGACTGAGCACAGATAACCGTGGTCTCGTCCATGCAAGTAATGGGTTTGTTTGTAGTCCCCGAGATATGTATGGTGGCAAATTGAGATGATCTCAAGCGAGTATTTCGAGAATGCAATCTAAAGAGTTTGAATTGACTATATCACCCGGTAGGTGCCTGTTACCACAAAATGCGCGAGCGAGTTGGACGTTGAGGGTCTGCATGGGCAGTGGAAGCTCGGGCGGTCCATTTGAGATAAATAAGTCTGCGGGGCTTGTCGTCAGAGTGGGGGCGTACAGTACAATCGCTTTTACTCCGGACTAATGATACGTCACATCACAGGGGAACAGCAACCACTTCTTGCAATTACTGTGTAGAACCACCAGCCAACCTATAGTACCTGCGGATAGGCTCCTTCTAAAGATCATATACAGTACCATCGAACTCGGTCTTTACGTTGCTTGCCTGGATTTCGTTGTTACCCACCAAATTCACAAACAGGCAATTTGTTGCTTGTCATTGCTATTAACCATCTGGGACATACATGAGCTGTGATAGTAAGGGGTCTCATCAATTGAAAACTTTGAGATATCAGTACAGGAAAGACAAAAGTATGTATGGAGAAAATTATTTCCGTATCGGGTGGTGCCCGCCGCCCAGAATGGAAAAGATATCAAAACACACCAATAACGCCTGACACATCATTCCCGCTAAGAAAAAGCTCGACCCTTGTGGCCTGCGCGTTTCCCGGTATCTCTCAAGTGAAGCATAACAAGCATTGTCTATCACCCAGAACCAAAATAGGACAGAGAAACAGGAAGAAAGTACATAGAAAAACAAGCACCAGGGAATCGTTTTTCAGCTTCGACGAAGTGGTCCGTCCACTATGTCGGCGTCAGATGGCTGGTCGGCTTCGCGCTGACCGAGGGAGCGAGACAGTCCGACGGACGCCCAAAAGTCGTCAGGAAGATCCTGTCGACGTGTGAGGCGGTCCAACACGGCCTGGACCTGGTGCAAGTTTTGGTCCGTAGAAGAGTTGGAAAAGGCGAAAGATACAGTGGGAATTGGAGGCTGAGTACTCATGGTTGATTGGAGTTCGGGTGCTCGTCTCACGGTTCCCAGAGAACGTGCCATGGCCCCTTGTAAATCAACGGCGCGCCTCAAAGACTCCAGTTGGCGGACGGCGCGATAACGTCGAAGCAGTGGATTCTGCGAAACCTCAGACTCTGAATCGCTTTCCGATTCGGTAGCACTTGGTGGGAAATCACATGGATTCAAGTATTCAGGGTACGGATCGAGCACTATCTCCATTGTACTGGGGCCTGAGGGGATTGAGTTTGAAACGGTTCGCAACGCCGTGGCAGAGCTTCTCATAGCGTCGCTGGCGGAAGCATTCGGACCAGGTGCAGACGCTGAATTGAACGATGTATCAGCACTGGGCAGACTTGTGTCAGGCGTGATTGTTGTCAATAATGTCTCCCAGGCATCGTTGGCGTGGTCATCATCTGGGCTGAGGCTCCGTTGACGATCGCCCAGGCCATCTGAAAGCGAATCTTGGTTCAGACGGTTGGCATCATTGATGGACCGCTGGCCCACACGTCTCAAGGAAGGGAAAGCAAATGGCGCAGACAGATCTGGACCCAGGCTTTCCGATGGAGGAAATAGCGACATTTCGTGAAGTCGTCGCGCTTGAGAAGCGCTTCCGTGGTATGCGGCCGCAGGGGCAAAGCGAGGTGTGAAATGAGGATGATCTTGATCCTGTCTGCTGTTTGTATCTACGCCTGGAGAAGCGATACGCTGGGTGTCGGACAAGATCGAACTGCGTGGGATCCTCAGGCGTTGGCCAGGACGGCCGTGGCGGAGAGCGTCACTAAGCAGTCGCTGACCGGCTTCGTTGCGACTAGAATCCAATAATCCAGCGGTGAGATCAAATGGATCTTCAGCGGTGGCAGAGTTCGAAAGAGGCGAGCGAACGTGTCCCTGTATGCTACTCGACTCGCGCTCGCGTGCGCGGTCAACCTCCTCTGCTAGTATCAATGCCCGTGGAATGATGGGCGAGCGACCATGGCGCTGGAGGCTGCTCGAATCTCGTTCGCGTTCGCGCTCGATCTCCTCTGTCAATGTCCGAGGAGAGATTGTTCGTAGTGTGGCATTTCGCAGGACTGAACCGTAACGCGAAGGGCGACGAACACTGGCCTGACGACGGATCGCAGAGCGTGCGGCAGCGCAACTATCTTTGATAGCAGAACTCCTCGTATCTTCTGTCGGGGAAGGCTCCCGGAACATCCTATATGATTAAACGTCAGTCAAGACCATTGTTCCGGACGCTTTAGCCTAATGGAGCAGGGCGCGTAAAGTATTGATAGCGAACTGGAACGGACTCACGGAATACCCATGATTACAATGAATCAGGAAAAGAATCAAAGGCAATGTAGGTTCAGAATGATTATTTTTTTTTAATAATGAAGTGATCACATTCAGAAGCAAAAAGAACAAAGAGAGCGTGAGGCAGGAGACTAATAAGCACAGTAGGCACGGAGATTGCGGGGAGCAACGACCAAGACGAGTTCGATGGAGAAACGGCAAGATTTGGTTTTCCTCCTAAAGGAAAAAAGCGGAGGCAACGACATTGGCGCATGAGGCCCGCCGTAGCAGCCCTCGAGAAGAACGGCGGCTGGATAAGGGTGTGGCGCCATCGCCATACGCGTATATCCCAGTACGGCGGCTAACTAGATTATGTATGTGCTACTGTAGATAGAGGTTTACCGCGGTCCAGAAAACATTGGGAGTGCGGACGACAACAACAACAACAAATAAACAAACCTCTATTTGATGAAGTTCTTCATCATGACAGCCTGTTGGACCATGTACTCACCGCGACACTTGATGGTGGTTTGCACAGTATAAAAGTCTCAGCGTTTGTACTCCCGTGATGGACTTCGACGTGGAGAAGTTGAGAAGTTGCACAGTCGCAGCCTGAGGCATGGATTGCTTATCGGGCACTTTTCCGATTTCCGATTATCTTGCCGACCGGTGCTGACTTTCCCGTCGAGAGCACCGGACGTCTTCGACTGATAACTACTAACTGCTTCCTTCCCCATGTCAACTGCTCCTGTCCCTGCTTGCTGGCCATGAGCCTTGAATCATCCCCTTTTCTATCTACCAGTGCGCGTATTGAGGAATGATAGAGCTCGGCCTCAGTCGGATCTCCCGCCTCCTCCAGCAGACTCCGCCGTCATGGAAGGCCATCCACATTGCTGGAACTAATGGCAAAGGCTCCATCAGTGCCTATCTATCTCACCTGCTGTCTGCCGGTGGTGTGCGCTGTGGTCGTTTCACCTCCCCACACCTGATTGACCGATGGGATTGCATCACGATTGGGGAGAGTGTTGTTCAGGAATCACTTTTCCGACAGATCGAAGCTAGAGTCAAACTTCGCGATCAAACCCTCGGTATCGGTGCTAGCGAATTTGAGCTTCTGACTGCAACTGCCTTTGAGATCTTCAATCATGAGCAAGTCGACATCGGCGTAGTCGAGGTCGGCATGGGCGGCCGATTGGACGCCACGAACATCTTAAGTGATGTTTTAGTGTCCGTCATTGCGAAAATCGGACTCGACCACCAATCCCTACTCGGAGACACCATCGAGCAGATCACACGCGAGAAAGCAGGCATACTGAAGGCTGGGGTCCCATGCGTAGTGGACGGTACCAACTCGACTGAGGTAATTACAACACTGGAGGAACGTATTAGGGAGCTAGGGATCAAGTCGACTTTTGTTCGCCCAGAAACCCAGTCACCGATACTTGGCCGCCTTTTCGCCACACTCGACCTGCAACCTCATCAACAAGCCAATATGTCTTGCGCGGTGTCTGCACTTCGGTTATCACTGAGTCAATTCCGTCCCGATATCAATGTCGACATGCTCCTCCCTCACTTGTCGAGCGTGGTGTGGCCGGGCCGCTTGCAGAATATTACATTGAAGCCTTTGGTGAGCCGCGATCCGCCCGTTCTACTTGATGGTGCGCACAATGCTCAGTCTGCAGAGGTGCTGGGACAGTATGTGGATCGCAAGCTACGTGCAGAACGTGCCAGTGTTACCTGGGTTATTGCGGCCTCGAAAGGAAAAGATTTATCTACCTTATTCCATAACATGATCAGGGCTGGTGACAAAGTCGCAGTTACCGCATTTGGCCCTGTCGATGGAATGCCCTGGGTCAAGGCGGCCGATACTGAAGAGGTAAAATCGTGTGCCCAGTCTATCACAGAGAGCGGTCGAGTACGGACGTTCGGGAGCGATGTCTCTGCTGCGATTGAATGGGCTTGTCACGAAGCCGATGGCGGCCCATTGGTCATTGCTGGTAGTCTTTACCTTGCCTCTGATGTTTTGCGTCTTCTTCGAGAAGCACAGGAATAGCTAAGGCATATTTATATTCAAAAGATACCCATTCCAGCATCTTACTAGCTTGTCCATCTCTCTTGAGCACGCCCTATCAGTAATAAAAGTATGCTTGTACCATGTTTAGCTATGATCCGATTCTATGCAGGATGAAATGCGAATGACTTAACGAGTACTATGACTATTTAGTTGCTTATTGAAGTATTGGCCATTCTTATGGTAGACTGCGGTTCGGCTCTGATAAGGTCGATCGGAGATACAGCAGCGGCCGGGCGCTGCGTCATGGCCCAAGCCAAGTGGTGCTGTGGAGAAAAGGAAAGTTCAAAACACCCGCTGGTAGTCCCTGCGTTTGCCCGACAGGCACAACAGGAAGTGCTTGATTTTTCCGAGCTTGTTCTCTTGTTTGTCACGCTCTATCTCCTATTGAGATAAAGGTGCCAATCCGAACATCTTCTTTGCCTTAAAATTCCAGGCTCTAATGTTCAGCGACGCGTTCATCGGACGCGGCTCTTGCGAGTACGATAACAGGTACCCTTCCAGTATGTTGTGCTTTTTCTCTCTGCCTCTGGTGACAATCATGCCATACAATCTGGCACCTAATGCTTGCGATCATCTGAAAGAATTCCTGCAGAAGTCTTTGATTCTTACTGACACTCACGATGCCAGTAGACACCAAATCGTGCTGACATGAATAATCCGGTCATTTTTCTGGCATCGGCCTCCTTCAATTTATTTGTCGTCTAAAGCGATCCCATTCGTTCAAGAATCTTTGATACATCAGGCCGAGGGCAGTGACTAGTCTTGATCGACCCGAATACCTCAAGAATGGTCTCTCGATCATCCGAAGCGCTTGAGGGGCCACCTCTGCCTTCCAGACAACCAGGGACGCCGGCCAAAGCACGACTGACAAGACTGGGATCCAGCCCGGCAAAGCGAGAAGACAAAGGCAAAGACGGCAGAATGATCAAATCGTCGGCGAAAGATGTTGCTGAGCTCAAGGATTTTGTATGATAACAGCCCTCCTATCTCACGGGGTACTACAAGCTAACGCATGGACGACAAAGCAACTGGGTGACTGCTTGGGCAAGGGCGCGTTTGGCTCAGTCTATAGAGCTCTTAATTGGAATACAGGAGAAACCGTTGCTGTCAAGCAGATAAAATTGGCAGACTTACCGAAGAGCGAACTACGGGTTATCATGGTAAAGTTCAACGTCTCTTTCCCATGCACATGATCGTCGCTGACTCCGCGTGTCGCAGCTAGAAATTGATCTCTTGAAAAATCTAGATGTAAGACATGACTTGAACATCAAGCGTCATGACCTAAGCATGAGATGATGCTGACTTAGAACTGCAGCATCCTAACATCGTCAAATACCAAGGTTTTGTGAAATCCGCAGAGACTCTGAACATCATACTTGAGTAATTGATGCCCCGGATTATGAGAGAATGCAACTTCTAATGATTTTAGATATTGCGAAAATGGATCTCTACATTCGATTGCAAAAAATTTTGGTCGCTTTCCGGAGAATTTAGTAGGCCTGTATATGTCTCAGGTGCTGCACGGCCTTCTGTACCTGCATGAGCAAGGTGTCATACATAGAGATATCAAAGGAGCCAACATTCTCACTACAAAAGAGGGTCTCGTCAAGCTTGCTGATTTTGGTGTGGCCAGCCGGACCACGGGGCTCAGCGAATCCAGCGTTGTTGGTACTCCTTACTGGATGGCTCCTGAAGTGATCGAGCTATCCGGTGCAACCACGTCGTCTGACATCTGGAGTCTTGGATGCACTGTCATTGAGCTTTTGGAAGGAAAGCCGCCATATTATAATCTCCAGCCCATGCCAGCCCTGTTCCGCATTGTCAATGATGATCACCCACCTCTCCCACAAGGAGCTTCGCCGGTAGGTATTCCTTCTCCCGTGTTATTTTACGCCTTTTTGGTAGATTGCTGAGCAAATCTGCAGGCTGTCAAGGATTTCCTGATGCAATGCTTTCAGAAAGATCCCAATCTGCGTGTATCAGCAAGGAAGCTTTTAAAGCATCCCTGGATTGTCAATGCGCGCAGGACAGACTCAGTAGTACCTAAGAAGTCCACGGAATACGAGGAAGCCGTTAAGAGTGTGCAAGAATGGAACGAAGCTCTTCGTTCCCCTGAGACGGGCACGTTGCGTAAGCCTTTCAGGTTCGACAGACAAGGCTCTATTTCGTTCCGTCCAGAGCTCGGCCCATCTCGATATGCGCCAACGACAGACACGCTCCCAAGTCCTGTTTCGAAACATGTGAACCAGTACCGATCTTCTGAGTCTACAGAGGAGGACAACTGGGATGACGACTTCGCGACAGCAATATCCCCAAGCGCGCTACAGCTGCCACATCTTCGACCGCAGGACAATTTCGGTGGAATGTTGTCATCTGAAAAGCTGAAAGCCTTCGCGTCGCTTGACGGAACAATGCTCAAGTCCGATGACGTATTCTCGGATTTTGACGATTCTTCTTCCCTGAATCACTTCGGCGAGGCGGACCCTCTGCAGACTATTCGACCTTTTGCTTTAAAGCATTCAGGAATCGAGGGAACTCCAAGTCAGCCAAAGACCACCATAGCTTCCATTCAACACAATGTGCCAATTCTCAAGACACCGGTTCCACCCTTGAAGTCCCAGCGACCGACTTCCTTCTTCAAGGAAAACTCGGTCGAGGATTATTCCGACCTCATTAACGCCAACGAGGATGTTTTGGACCACAAGCTTGGCGCGTTTCAGGTGAGTAATTGCTTGATGACCTCTCTTGCCTATCCCTAATTTGAGTTTAGGAAACCGACGAAGAAACAATCACGCCAGTATCATCATCGAAAGAATTAGTCAGATACCAAGAATCGCCTGAACGCGAAGATCACGAACCACAACTGCGGAAGCGAATATCAGTCAAGCGCACACGATCCGATATAGAGATTCAGCGCTATGCTGAGAACGAGCGCGATGAAGATTTCTCTGACATCCTGGGTGCCGATGAGGTTGCTTTAGACAGACCGCAGAACAATAACAACTCTAACCAGAGCACATTGAGACTCAATTCCAAGTTGTCTAACAACTCGTGGCTTGGAGATCAGGATGACGAAGATGATCCTTTTGCGCAGCTCGAAGAGGGACTTGATGAAATGGACTTGGAGGCCAACATCGCGCGTGACAAGTATGCACGGCTTAAAAGTCAGGTTGAGGGGCTTGTGAGCTCTCTGAAGACGTCTCAAGACGAAGACGTGCTTGGGGAAATTTCCGAACAGTTGTTGACGGTGTTTTGTGACCTACCCGAAACAAAAAACATCATTATCAGCGCTCATGGGATGCTGCCGATCCTGGAGATACTGGACATATGCCGTCGGCGCGACATTATTCTCTGCCTATTGCGCATCGTTAATGCAATCATTTTCAATGATTATGAGATTCAGGAGAACCTCTGCTTCGTGGGCGGGATCCCCATAATCAACGAGTTCGCCGCCAAGAAGTATCCCAGGGAGATTCGACTTGAAGCGGCTGCATTTGTGCAGCAAATGTATCAAACCTCAACACTCACCTTGCAAATGTTTGTCAGTGCTGGTGGTCTCAATGTCCTGGTTGAGTTTTTGGAAGACGACTATGAAGATGAACGTGACTTGGTCCTCATTGGAGTCAATGGAATCTGGAGTGTCTTCGAGTTGCAGGTATGGACTGGCTTGTGCTTTTACATTTGTCAGACAAGCACTAACTTGAGGCAGGGCTCGACCCCCAAGAATGACTTTTGCAGGATCTTATCGCGTAATTCAGTCCTGGATCCCTTGTCGCTTGTTCTCAGTCGCGTGTTAGATGAAGAAGGCGATCTCGCTGAGATCGTCGAGGGTCGGATTGCAAACATCTTCTTCATATTCTCGCAGGCCGAGAATCATGTGAAGGAGATGGTCGCAGAGCGAACGGTGTTGCATAGTAAGTGAAATCGAGCCCGTTTCTACTTTCGAAGCACTGATTGGTTCTTGAATTAGGAGTACTGAAGGAATTGAGACGGATGACACCCGTACACCAAATCACTATGCTAAAGTTCATCAAAAACTTGTCAATGCTCTCCACAACGCTCGATGCGCTTCAGAACTCGAATGCCATTGATGTTCTTACCGATTTGTTGCGGTCTACCATCAAACGCCCACATTTCCGCGAAGTCTCCAATCAAATTCTCAATACCATATACAATATGTGTCGCCTAAACAAGTCTCGCCAAGAAGATGCAGCCTTGAACGGCATTGTGCCACTTCTCCAGAAGATTGTGAAAACTGAACGGCCTTTGAAGGAGTTTGCCTTACCTATTCTGTGCGATATGGCACATTCTGGAAAGGTCGGTCGCCGTGAGCTATGGCGTAACAAGGGTCTTGCATTCTACATATCTTTACTGTCAGACCCTTACTGGCAGGTCACAGCTCTTGATGCTATTTTCAACTGGTCAGTGTTCGATCCCTCCGACAACTATCGAAGACTAATTTTCTGTGTCTAGGCTCCAAGAAGAGACCGCAAAGGTCGAGGAGCATCTCCTTGATAACCGTTATGAACGAGTTTCCTTCACAGATTCTATTGTCAGGTGCTTGACTGTCTCCAAGGCAAACGCATTCGAGAATCTCCTCGAGCCATTTCAGAAGTTACTCAGATTAAGCCCGCCAATTGCATCAACTTTCGCAAGATCCGACATATTCACCAAACTTGGACAAAAATTGCATCACAATAAAGCTGCGGTACGGCTAAATCTGCTACGCATCATATCAAGCATCTGCGACTCAAGTGAGGAGCAAGGGGGCCTGCTTGCCAGATATGGACTTCTGGACGCAATTCGAGAGCTTGAACATGACCCAGCGATCTTGGTCAGAGACATGGCCGGCAAGCTGATACAGTCAAATGAGAAAAGTGAATCGTATCACATGGAGAAGCGCAAACCAGGCGTTAGACGGCGCAGTAATTCGACCACCCCACCGAGTCTCCTTGCAAATCAATCAGCTCCGGCTACTCCACAGGTGAATCGGTTCAGCCAGTCCAAAGCTTACTTCGAAGGCCGAGAGAGCCAGCGCCCCTCGCGGAATGCTCTCAGTAGCTCAGCACTGGCCCTAAGACCTGGAAGTCGAGATGGGCCAAGCTCGAGCCTTACTGCGGGAGTGAACCCCGTCTCCGGAGCCTCGAGGAACAGATTGTCCCGAGGCGTCGGTAACCGACTATCACAGGTCGACTTCCTGACTGAAGAAGAGCTCAGACCTGCAAGCTCACTATCGCGCCGTCGCTCAATTTTACCGCAGCGCCGACGTCCTACACATACTGATGCAGATTGGACGTCTAAAGCCCCTTGACCTAACGCGACTAAGTCGATCTGTGCCATACCAGCTCTACCGTCAGAGGGTATCAAAGACTCAAAAAAAAACCCTTCTTTTGTTGAGGTTGCATTGAGGAAGGATGTCGCGGGGTTCTGCTTTCAGTTGTTTTACCGGCTATGCGCCTGCTATCCGGACCTTTTCCCAGATCCAGTTGGCACATTTGTATCAGAAATCCTAGATTGATACGGCTAAGTCTGCTAAGTGGGGAGTGAAGGGTTGTTGTACATTGTGTGGGGTACATACAAGGACTTTGTGATCGATTCATTGCCATGGTCGATGTACTGTAAATAATCATTGAAAAAGTACATTGCGACTATTGACATGGACGCTGGAGATATTGAAGGGAAAATGAAGGTGATGTACAAGTGGGAAGAAGGTGAACGATTTCTACGCCCAACGGCTGCTTTTTGTAGAGACAAGACCTATAGAAGAGAAAGAAAACCCTTGAGGGTGGCGATCTTCGGCGGCGGGAGAGCGGCGATTCCGGCCAGGCAAAAAGGACGCGGCGGCGGTCACCACCTCCGACCTATCTACTTACCCTCCTTTTTCCTCCCTCTGCCTCCACCCTGTGTCTCTTTCTCCGTCACTCACTCTTTTCACGCAACCCTTGTTGGAAGCTTAGTGCTGGCACGGATGAAATACGCCGTCCAATCCTTCGCTTCGGTCGACTTGTGGTCGCTCTTTAGACGGCATTGTTCGTGATCGGGATGAGGGCGGCGCTCCGCATCCCGCTGCGGGCTTCTCCCACTTTTGTTCCCGCGGCAGTCATACGATCCAATTTTGCTCACTTGTATTTCCCCCTGGCTCCGTTGTCGACTCCTTCTGCTCCTTCTCGTCGACTTTCCTATGCAACTACGCTTTCGCCGGCTACCGAGCGACGCCGTGCCTGCTATCCAACGTTACCATCGTTTCGTGTGCGACATGCATCCACCTCTGCTACTTCGGGTCAGGATGGCACGACGCAGTCTGGACACAGGAATTCACGCAACAGGACCTTGAAATATGCTGTGATCGGTGGGATCGTTGTCGCTGCAGCAGTCGCATACGCAGATGAAGTTCAACATTACTACCGTGCTGCAGCACGGACCGGCCGTGTTGTCGGTGCACTCGCTGTCTGCATCAACGAGTGAGTTTATCAGGCTTTCCTCTGATTTCTCATATCAGTAGGCGTACTCATAGATGGTCGCAACTAGTTATCGTGTTACCCTCAAGCAAGAATCATTCACCTCGGAAGAACGGAACGAAGCGATTCGAGCCTGTCACAAGCGCTGCGCGGAGCGTACTTTGCGTGTCCTCGAGAAGAACGGGTCGATATTTATCAAATTAGGCCAGCATTTGAGTAGCATGGGATATTTGCTCCCTATGGAATGGACGACAACTTTCATTCCGCTACAAGACAAATGCCCTATTTCGTCTATCGAGTCAATTGAAGCGATGTTCTTGGCTGATACCGGCCGCAGCATTGATGAGTTGTTCTCATCCTTTGACCCACTGCCCATTGGCGCCGCTTCCCTCGCTCAGGTGCATGTGGCTACGCTTAAGGAAACCGGCCATAAGGTTGCGGTAAAAGTGCAACATCCTGCATTGGCAGAGTGGGCGCCCTTGGATCTGGCATTGACTCGATTTACCTTCTCGACTTTAAAGCGCTTTTTCCCGGAATATGATCTGGAATGGTTGTCAAAGGAGATGGATTTGTCTTTGCCACAGGAGCTAGATTTCCGGATGGAAGCTGAAAATGCCATGCGGACAAGCGAGTACTTCAAGAAGCACTCTACCGCTCCACTGGTCATCCCCGAAGGTGTGTTCCCTGAGTAAATTTGAGTATATTCATGGCCAGAGGCGACAGTTGCGCTAACATGTGAATCAGTGATGTGGGCTCAGAAGCGTATTCTAGTTATGGAGTTCCTCTCTGGACGACGACCCGATGATCTCGAATTTTTGGACACTAACCACATTGACCGCGATGAGGTCTCCGCTGCATTGGCACATATCTTCAACGAGATGATTTTCGGCGACAACGCTCCCTTGCATTGCGATCCACATGGCGGAAATATCGCTATCCGTCCGAACCCTAACCGTCCCCATCATAATTTTGACATCGTGCTCTACGACCATGGGCTTTACCGTGACATTCCTCAGGACGTGCGTCGCAATTATGCGAAGCTCTGGCTGGCAGTAATAGAGGCCGATGAGTCGCGTATGCGGGAGTCCGCTCACAAAGTCGCGGGCATAACGGACGAACAATTTCCTCTTTTCGCCAGCGCCATTACTGGAAGAGACTACATGGTCCTCAAGAAGAAAGACATCACCTCCGCTCGAACGTCAGCGGAGAGGGACAGCATGTCTGGCGCACTGGGGGAAGGCATGTTGCAACAGCTTGTCGAACTGCTGGGTCAAGTTCCTCGAATCATGCTACTGATCCTTAAGACCAACGATCTGAGTAAGTCGATGGTCACCCTGCAAAGTATGGCGATGTCGCGTTAACATACCGGTCACAGCCCGCAGTCTTGACGAAAACCTTCACACCCGCCAAGGACCTATGCGCACGTTCCTCATTCTTGCACGTTACGCGACCCGCACCGTCTTCGAGGAACAAATGGAAGCTGTATATGAAGCAGGCGGCCTTCTTCGCCCCGCCAATTTCTGGCGTTTTCTTTGCGCCTGGACCGGCTTCTTGCGCGTGGAATTAAAGCTTTCCATCTACGAGACTCTTCTGTCGCTGAAGAGTCGCTTCGGGTTGACCTAGAGAAAGCTATCTTTCAATATTCTCTGTACGGTCTTCTACGCCGCCGCCGCCGCCCCCCCCGGGAATCTTTTCCAATCGTGGCACAAAAGCCAAATGCCCTTTCTTGGACTTTTGAGCGTGAAGTACTCAGATGCTTATGAGGACCGTCGCTCAGTTTCGTACGGTTTGCGCATTTTATGGCGTTTCCCCCAATTTCCTTGTGATGTGATCCATCGTGCATCTTGTTTCTTTAGATCTGGATTTTTAGAGTATTCCATTGAGAAAAACCAGGTGTATATTAAGTGGTTTACATAAATAGATATAAATATGCTTTCCTCTGGTTACGCCATGTGATCCTTGGTATTCAGGTCTCCTTTATTGTATTAAGTGATACCATGCCAATGACTGGACGATGATGATGTCAGTCCCTGCTACGTAAGCTGTGGCAAATGAGATGAATCCCGCCGCAGCCACAGCTTGCTTTCCACTCAACTAGTGAGTGATTGGAAGATCTTATAATGGTATGGAATTTGGTATATATTGTAATGAATGAGTTAATCAATCACAACGGCCTGCCTTGTCTTGTGTCTTGCTTAGCTGGGAGAAGGAAGCTCGCATCCAAAGAAAAAGAGATAAAAAGAGAAGATTGCTGTACAGTATTGAAGTGAAAAAACAGATAACTCCATCCCAGATCCACAATCAGAAAAAGAAGAAAAGCGAACAATTTTGTCCCATAGCTATTGCTTTTGTTATCTCTCCCGAAGCAACCACGATGGAGAGATTCACTAGGTTGGCAATCTTGATTAGACCTTAACATTTTAATGCCCTGCTCCCCCCCAGTACTAGATGAGACGGTGCAAGGCAGGATGTTATCGCCTTTTAGATTTTTTTTTTTTTTTTTTTTTTTGATCGGTGTCCCTTTTGTTTTGTTTTGCTTTAGCTGTCCCATCTAGGCGACAGGAGCAACTTTCTCGGGTTGAGCATGAAGATCCGGAATCGAGGCACCAGTACCAGCCAGGTTAGTCTTGACAGCCTTGGGGTTCTTGGTGTAGTAATCCGAGATGGCGGACTTGATAGCATCCTCAGCGAGCATGGAACAGTGCACTAAAACCACGTTAGTCGCGGAAAAAGAAAACCAGCTGCATAGGGTAGATAGGGCAGATATAGAAACCGGAAAGAGCTTCAACGTACACTTGACAGGAGGTAAGCACAGTTCCTTGGCGATATCGGTGTTGCGGATCTTGGCGGCCTCGTCGAGAGTCATGCCGCGCACCAACTCGGTCAGGTAGCTGGAGCTAGCGATGGCGCTACCGCAGCCAAAGGTCTTGAACTTAACGTCGCTGATCACGTTGGTGTCCTTGTCGACGCGGATCTGAAGCTTCATCACATCACCACAGGCCGGGGCACCGACGAGACCCGTACCGACGTCGATGCTCTTGGCCATGGAACCGACGTTACGGGGATTGGAGTAGTGATCAAGAACCTTCTCGTGATATCCCCTGCGCTGCTGGGGCTGGAGAGGAGAGGAAGTGGTAGCCCGTATGGTTGAGATCTGGCTTTGCACGCCGGCGACAGCCGGGGCGGCGATGCGAGGCGAGAGGACGCCGGCGGCGCGGGGGGCGACTGTTACAAGACGGCGGAACATTGTTCTCGTTGTAAGAAACGTATGTAAAAAGAAACAAAAAAGGGTATCCTGTTATTAAGTGTTCGAGACAAATGGTAGTGGTGATGAGAAGTGAGAGGAGATGGGTAGATGAACGATGGAGTGTGATGAAAGATTGATAGTCGATTGATTAATGGAGGTGAGGGAAACTTGAACTAGTCCGTCTTATTCACTGACGCTAATCCGCTTTCAGCAAGCCCGTTTGCCTCCGTCGACCGGCTTCGGAGATAGGAACAGCCGCGGTTCTTCAATCGGGATGACGTTCTCGCTTCCTGTAGGGTTGCAGCTGGACGATAAGTTTTGATGCTGATGCTGATTATACTCAGTAAAGTTTTCTTCTTGAATCACTTGGTGGTTTGAGGCAATTGTGGAGGGAAGAGGTTCAGGCAAAGGGTGCCCGCGGAAAGCAAGTGTTGAATGGATTAGTAGGTACGGAGTAGTTCGTTCTAGTCTGGTTCTGGTAAAGCAGGCACTTCGGCCAACGGGAACAGACTGCAGGCGGCATTACCAAGCAGCTATCGCAGTTGGTTATCGTGCCGCCCTCCATCTGATAATTATTTTCGCCTCGGATCAGTCCTGACTCCGGTTAGCTTTCCCCCCCCTCCTGCGACAGCCTGTCCACCCCATTAACAACAATCAGGAACACAACAAATCTCTCTTGTACACAAGACAATGGCTGGAAAGACCTTGGGCCGATCATCGGGGGTAAGTTGTCTGGGTTGTAGTGGACTCGTAACTACTGGTCATCTCTTATCTTCTGAGTTCCTGTTCCAGCTGTCTCCTTTCAGCGATGCATGACTAACCTACCACAACAATCGACCCGATCTGACTGACTATACCATGATCCAGTCTCTGAACGCCCCTATAGCTGCCTTTACAATGGCGGTTATCCTTTGTTCTTACTGCATCAGCTCTATCAACACTGCTCGTCGCGAAGCACAGTCCTCTTCCTCCGTCACAAGCACCACTACTACCCGTCAGAAGCGGACGGATGCCCAGCAATCATGGGTCCAGCAGGCGTTGGAAGAGAGCCGGAGCTCCGAGGGGGGAAAGAATGGAAATTGAACGAGTGCAAGCACTCGTCCCGGATGGATTATCATTTGCATCATGATATCAACGAACTGCCTTAAAGGATAAGTAGGCTCGTTTGTCAAAGTTGTTCTTCTGTAGATACTCTAGTGTACGTGGTAATATTGCTATTTATTAGCGGTCACTCCAGATATATAAACCTGCGGCCTGAAATCCGGCCGATCTTGCCAGGATAAACACTGGGAAAGTATGTTCCAGGATCTAACCCCCAACCCGGCCGTCCAGCAAACCCAATACTCAAAACCAGGATGGACCGTATTCAACATCAAGAAGCAGTAATTCCATGAGTCAGAATTTTCAGTGTATGAATAGTCATATCCCGGGTTTTATGATAACACCGCGGATCTACCATTTGAAAAATGTTCATCATATCAATGGAAGGCGCTCTGAAGATTGGAAGGCAAAGGCTGAGTGATCGCTGGCACCCAAGGTCATAGATAACCGCCCTTCTCTGCTGACTGGGCTTTCATCAAGGCCCGCTGAACGACAAGGGAAGCAGCACCATGAGAGTTGTCCCTAAGGATAATTATGCGATGCACAGGAACTAGCAAAGCAATCAGCATCAGCTAGATCCTATTGAGGACTCCTCCATTGAGAGACTGCCGTCATCATGGCAGCTTCGCCGGATAGTGTAGCTTAAGCAACAAAGATGGAAAGCATAGAAAGGTGGAAAATTTTTGGAAGTGATAGCAAAATATTTTAGTGCGACTCTCACGTGACGCTGTTTCCTCCGAGCGAAGACTTCTCATTGGCTGCATAGTCAACCATATCCGACGGGAGTGATTGCGGTACTACTGTAGATTATGTACGAGTAAAATGCACTGGCATATCAGCTCGAAGATCCCTCGTTGGTCCTTGGTATAGAAAAAGGATACGGACGGGTACAAGATGGTAAGAAGACAGTGACGAATGCGCGAGAGAAGGCAGGGAAAAGAGAGATGATAGACTATATACAATTGCATCAATGACCTATCTGTTCATGAAAGAAAAGACGCTCAAAACCACAGAAGAATAAACCACAAGATAAGGAAGAATTCGAGGCTTCCCATGTCAGTCCCCCTTTGTTCTACCCCGGCACCATCACTGATTTATGATTGCCGTCCACAGAATAAGAGGTACAATGTACGCAAGCTAACATGAGAGACCTGGGTCTCTAGCACCATCAATGAGTTGACAAGCGGCAAGCAATAAGCACAATTATCCTGCCACTGATTCTGCTCGTAACAATAAATCAGATATCTAATGGTTTATAATGCATCGGAAGAGTCGCCGACTTTGCCCTCCTGAACTTCCAGCTTCAACTTTCCTTCATGTTGTATATGTGAAATGGCCTTCCGGAGGTATTCATAGGTAAGCATAGTTGTCATCGCTGCCGGGACAGCGCGGAAAAGATTTGTGCCAATCCCAGAATAGAATGCACGCCAGCCCTCTTCTCTGAGGATTGTCTGACACGTGCGAATGATCCCTGTGTATCGCGGCCGGTTGGGCATTCCATCCGATGAAGCCGCACCTGGAGGACGGCCGCGGTCTTGTGGATGATCAAGTCCACCTCGAAACGAGATCTCCTCTGGCGATGACGCTGGAGACGTCCGCTGCTGAGTCTGGAGTCTTGTCCGAAGCACTTCGTGCGGATAGGTCACGGTGCTGGCGCAGACCTTGCTGAGAAAAGTGGCTGCAGTAATCCCAACCCAGTGAGAGCTGCCGTTGTCGGGATGCTCCCCAATACCGTAGCCAGTGAAAGCCATCTTTAAATATTCGTAGAGTGGAAACTGAATGGCAACATGCGTCAAGCCTAGTAACGCTGGCGTAAGTCCCGAATAAAACGAGCGAATCCCTTCACTCCTGTACATCTTGCGGGCGGCATCCCAAGTGCTGTTGTACTGCCACGGAGCCCGAAACCCTTCGCTATTAGACTTAAGGCTTTGGGACATAAGCCGCGTCTTAATGACCCATATCGGGTTCGTCGCAAGTGTGGAGCAGGCGCCTGCTGTTATTGAGGCGTAGCCTCTTGAAAGCCACCAGCTATCTATTAAACAAATTAGCAACATTTATAACGTACGGTAGTTGCATTTCCTTACCTGTTGTTTCATAAAAATATTCCCTGGACCGATCATATACAGCCAAATAGACAGCCCACGTCGGAAGGTATCCCAATAGCATTGGACCCAGTCCTTGATATAGTCCTCGGATTCCATCTTCCCGCCAGATCACTCTCCCTGTACCAATCATTCCCCGGTACAACGTCCTTGTTTCAACAGCCTTCCCGCGGCGTCGTGCAAATCCACCTTGAGCCTGCAACTTTGTCTTGATCACATCAAGAGGACAGGTCACAATCCCAGATGCTACACCGGCACTAGCTCCGCAAAATGGTGTGATCCAAACATCGGGTATGTGCGTCGAGATCATCTCGAGGCGATCAAGAAAGCTCGGGTTCGTTGCCATGGCGGGCGGTATAGGAGGCGTGGACGGCGATGAAGAACTCTGCTGCTCCTCGGAGCCGCTGGCTGCGTCGGAAGAGCTATGCCCTTCGGAATACATCTTTGCAGCCGGCGCGCAACGAGCTTTTGTTTCGTTTATATGTCACCGAGGGTTCCCGGATCCGAGCATATCGGTGCTCGCTCCGGAACCCAGTATGATTCTTTGTCAAATCGTGATGGAATGCGGAAGAGCGGAGTTGTTCGGAGCACGGGCAACAAGAAAGTCGATTCAATCTGGTAAAAATGTCGATGCTTACTACTGTTGTGAGCCGAGGTTGATCAGCGATGGCTATATGTTGCGAGGTTACCCTGTCGGGGTACAGGCGGCGGGCGGGGTCTGCAAGATCGAGTCAACGCTCCTATCGGAGTCGAAGCAGCAGAGCCTTTCGAAGGAAAAAATATTCAGCGGGTAATGATCATCTCCATGCCTAGTGAACGATAAAAGTCTTGGGGCAAGGAGCATAGAAGCCAGACAGTCAGGTGGGTGCACGAGACTTGGAAGTGACGGAGAAAGACGGAGTCGTGTGGACGAGATGAATTGACTTGGAAGGTCGCTTTAGCATCTAAGGTCAGGTGGAGTGAATCCACAATAGACCGGCACCAAGCGCCGCGACGGCCTGAGGCATAAACAACCCAACAGACGCCTACAGGGTTGCTTGGGGGAGCCTATCACATGACTGACATATGGGCAAACTCGGCCAATTCTTCATTGCCTTAGGCACATGTTCGGATGTTTTTGGGAAAGTTCACCCGCCGAACCTCCGTTTTGCACAATCTCCAACGTCGGGTCATCTCTTGCTAAGCTTGACTTCACATCTCGCAGTCCCTTCCGTCACACCACCCTGTCAATTGGATTTCCACACACCATCCCCTGGGATCTCTCACAATGTCCGCCCCTTCCCTTACCAACTTCATCGTCAAGCGCCCATGGCTCAAGCGCTGGATGACGCCGCTCGCCCAGTGGTACACTGACGCCGCCGGCTACAGAAGACTTGGTCTCAAGTAGGTGTCCTCGCCATTCACTCTGCCTGGACTGGGATTCAATGCTTCTGCTGGAACACAGCGGCGAGGGAGTATGGATGGAACATCATGTGTCCTCGCTGTGAATCCTTGCTCATATTCGCATCGCTACCTGTCCCGGACGGATCGCCGCTACGTTCGCTTTCCAAGGGCATCATGAACTGACCGAAATCAGGGCCGACGACCTGATCCCCGAGGAGAGCGACGTTGTTCAGACCGCTCTCAAGCGTCTTCCTCCCAAGGAGGCCTATGACCGCATCTTCCGCATCCGCAGAGCATTGCAGGTTCGTCCTTTCTGAGACCAGACATCTCAACGAAGCAACAGACTAACAGAGCTCGGAACCAGTGCTCCGTCTCTCACACCCTTCTCCCCGCTGCTGAGCAGACCAAGCCTGAGGAGGTGAGTTGATTGATTTCCCTTTACCTGGAATATGAGCCGTTTAGTTCTCCGCAAAACGTCTCGACCAATCCCGTGAGCCGAATTTGTCACCTGAACGGGTTTTGGAAAACATATACAAATTGGCTATATCCTTGTTTCATGACTTGTTCTGGGCAACTAATTACATATACTGATGGTTGTCAAAGGATGTCGAGTACCTGAGCCCCATTATCCGCGAGATCGAGAAGGAGAAGAAGGAGCGCGAAGACCTTGACAGCCTCGTCGTTCGCCGGTAAACAATCCTTTGATTCGAGCCCTTTCTTACCGGAGTTAGACTATCATCGTCGGAAATCGTGGACGTTCGGGATAGAGATGAGAAAACTTCTGTTCTTGTCCGGTTCAGCTAAGATGCTGCTCGCCGCTGGCATCCAGCTACAGCTTAATGGAACCTTTTTATATGCTCAACCACGTGTACTGATACTGTACAAATTCATCTGTCATTGCCTTCTGCTCCAAGTCAATTCCATCTGCATCTGTCCTAAACGGTAAACGCTCCTATGTAAATCCTCATGCATCGAGTTCCATTCCTCTAGAAAATAATCTGGACTACGTCGTTCAATGGAGTATCTGAGTTTCTACCCGTCAATGTATGTAGTGGGTGCGTTGGGTCCGAATTGCCTCGGAGGATCTTCTGTGGTCCCACAGGGTAAGCTATTCACAGCTGTTTGATCCATCCATACCGACCTCCGCAACATTCGATTCAACGGTCTATACTCCTCACTCCGACCCTATTTTCATGAATTCATGGCGGAGATGTTGACGTCCGTAACCCGCCACATATACCACATAAACAGGCTTCTAGGACGATTGTAAACGATAAGCAGCGCACATGTAAAGCTGCAGCACGTACCTGTACGGAGCAAATTTCGCGGCCAATTCCAGCATATCTTTTTCGGCCATATATTTGAACTTACCTCCCCCTTTTCCTTTCAATTTATTTACATCCTTGCCTGTAAACACGGCGCATCCTCTCCTGAAAGTAATTAGCGGGTAATGACTAACTGTGAGCTACCCTGCAAAATAGATAGAACGTACTGCACGCCGAGATCACCAGTAGAGAAGACGTCGATCCGCTTCAGGGCAAAGCAAGCAAACATCTCTACGGACCATAGGCCCAGCCCCCTCACGGCAGTCAGCTTCTCAACTAGCTCCTCATCTGTGGCGTTCAACAACATCTTTGCGCTCAACTCCCCGTCCGCAAATTTTTGCGACAGTCCTAGGATATACTCGGCCTTGCGCTGGGAGAGGCCCGCTGTCCGCAGCGTTTCAATGTCTTTCTTTATTATGTCATGAGGCGTCGGAAACCCGTCAGGAACCTCTTCATCACTCTTCCCTGTACTGAATAAGGCCACAAATCTATCGCGAATCGACTTGGCCGCGGCGCCGGATACCTGCTGGCCGATAATACTCTGGACCAGGCTTCGGAAGGGATCAATCGCTTCCGCTAGCCCCTCGGGGGTGAATAGTGGGCACGGGTGTGCCTTGATAATTGGACCAAGTCGAGGATCCGTGGCGATCAGATGGGCGATGGCGTTCTCCAGGAGCGTGCCTGTGGTGGCGGTCGGCCGTGGTCGGCCGGTCTTGGTGGGTGATTCATTCTCTGTGCCGGGAGGGTAGGCAACGAGTGACGAGCCGTGGGGTGTTAGAAGAGTTGCGTTGGTTCTGTGCGGTTCGACAGGGCGGTCGAGAGGCGGAGGGGTGGTGTGACGGGGTCTGCTCACGCCGTAGTCATTTGTAGGGACAGAATCCCAGATATTAGCAGGCGTTGAACTGATTTCCGGGCTGGGGATCGTTGTGGTTAGTAGAGTTGTAGTCTTGACTGGAATCGTTGTTAGAGGGGCACTTTGCTCTAGAGTCGTCGCAGTTGGTGTTGTTTTGCCCTTTGCTGCTGACTTTCGTGCTTTGGTGATCTTGTTAGGCTGAGGGGCTTTGCTGCTGCTGCTGCTGTTGCTGCTGTTTTTCCTGGCTTGTGCGGTAGTAGGCGGTTGCAGCAATGCGGCATTGCTAGTGGGGAGCGCGCTCAGACGAGCGGAACGTCTTAATGCCATCATACAGGCTGATCAGAAGATATTATAGAAGGTGCTTGTAGGAGAATGAGGCGAGGATGCCAAATGCGCAAACGCCGTCAGCTAAGCTTGGCGGGATGACGTCGCAAAGGCACAGGGGAGTAACGGAGACCAATAAGCTCGACCGCCAGTTCGGGAGCATTAGGTTTCCATCAAGCTCGATATCCAAATCTTCATCATAGATATGACTGTCAGAGTCCAGTCTTCCATTCCCCGCATTCTACATTACAGCTCATGATCATCCATTTGCCTGTTGCTCTTATGCCGGAAGCTGCCACAATCTGCAGCCAGCATTTCAAATGCTAGTACTTCTTATATGCGAAGGACAGTCGGTCGAATTGATTCTACAAGAGAGCCTCCACAGTTGATGATTGCAGCTCGATACTGTCCAGAGGTCCAATGATTTAACCTGGTCTAGGCCAAGAAACAACAACAGCTTGAACTTCCTCTACCTTTCGGGTTGTTATATGGCATCCCGCACGCGCAGAACCATAAGCATCTTAACTATATTGTCTGCCTTTGCGCAGCTTTGATGCCTGTTACCCCTTTTTGTTGTAGCCGCCTCCGTTGTGATCGCTCCTAATCCCGAATGCGGTTACTGTGCACAGTGCTCGCTCACCCACAGCTCTAACCTGGCAATGAGAAATCAAGTCCGGCATTGCGAAGCCTCGATGACTAACTGATGTTCTCCGTAGATGAGCAGTGGACCGTACAGTATATAGGACCAACTCACGGAGACGGTACTTCTGTATGGCCTCTTGAGGACGGAAGACTCCGACCTTATAGCGATCTGCTGGAAAGCGCCCGATTGGCTATGTCTCGCAATTTGTCTGGCACCAAATGTGGTTCAGATGGAGAACAATTTCTATTTGTCTTTTCCTGTACAGTACGGAGTATGATTTTGTGGACAGAGCCCGCTCATTGAATACAAAGACTGGTGCGCATGTCGGTCCTGTTTGGTTTCTGTGCGGATCCTTTCACGATAGGGCGGTTTGTGGGAGCTCGACCAATAAGAGTACTCACACGAGCAGATTCTGATTTGTGAACCATTGGTAAGGCCACTTCACTCGATGGGACCCGACAGATAGCGTGCAATGGGCTTGCGTCATCGATGTGCGGATCATGACTGTAGGACGGTTACTGTGTACACATCCATACGAAAATAAAGATAAGAAGGAAAATAAAAACACAACGGACCGCTCACTTAGTACTGTCTCGTACAACTCTAGAAACGGTGACAGTCGCGAATAATGGATGCACTCTTCCGGCCCCTATCTCGTCTGACTGTGGTAGTTCGTATCTGAGTGGCATAAGGGGGGGGGAGGTGGTTTAGAGTCTGCATAGCTCCTTGCCATACTATAATGTTCGAAAAATAAAAGTATGTTAGGGGCCAGAACAGTCGGACTGGTCGCCATTCGGTTCGATAGTACGGAGTATACACAGTAGAAGGGAGGTACCGAGGCCAGGTCTTGCAATGGGGTCCGAAAGTCGACTAGTAGGCAGCTAGAACACCCGGACGAGCCCGCCGGCTGTATTAGCATGAACAAGGAATGAAAGAGAAAGCTTCATGCCTTGTGTGGGACTCTGGGCTTAAGAGGACGCGTCTTAATAGGAGGAGAAATGAAGTACTGCGTAGGTAAGGGATGAGTTGTAGCCTTGGGCGGCACTAGACTAGGTCGTGACGAGAACATATACATAGATTGGGGAAACACGCTGCGATGATGATACTAGTAGGCTTTAACCCTCCCAGAATGATTCAGTCGATCTGATCAAAATCCCGAGTGGGCAAAAGTAGGAATACCTGAGACGCACAGCGATATTGAGGAGACAGAAGGGTGCACGTTTATATGCATCGCGAATGAAGAGGTACAATATGCAAACAGCGACTCCACAGCGATTTTAACACCATCGTTGACAAAATGCCCCAGAGTCGTTGAACTCTACTAGAATTCGGAGCACGAAGGACTTTCGTTCTTATCAGCCATTAGGAGGTCCTGTCACTAGTCATGTACTTCGTTCCTTGACGCCCACCAACTAGTAAACTAATAACTAACTAATAACTATGGAACTACGTAGGGTATGTCCAAAGTCGTTAGCCGGGGCCAGCCACCCGCGCCGTCGTGGCGTTCAGGCGAACGTGCTCGCTAGTAAAATTAACGTTGGTTACAGCGGCGACCCCCATGCAGAGCGATTCTGGTCGACATGTGCATGCTGTTGGTGCAGTATACAGAGTACCCTCTGTGGACGCTCAGGATGCGGTTGACTAGTTAATGTAGCATCCTTAAAGAGCCCAATATAAGTACAACCATTTCTCTGCTTCGGATCACAAGAGCGCATTGCGCCACTCAGAAGAGAAGCAGGGTTGTTGCCGTGTGCAGTCCGATTATTGCGACAGATAAATTGTGGAGATATCGATGGGTCTGATAGTAGCTGAAGAACTCTAAACCGATCAAGGAGGAACAAGCAACAGTGGCAGTAACCATGACGATCAAATTTCCAGGATCTTCTCACATGAATCGATTCTGGCCCCTCCCTCGACGGCTCGCCCGCCTTCATTGTTTATTTATACGGAGTAAAGAAGTGCTGCTACTTCATGAAAAAGCAGCTCCTTGCAGGGTGGTGCCGAGGCATAATGCTAATGTCGTTAGGACACCCATTGATAGCGCACGTACGGATAGATAGACTCATCTCATGGATGTTTCAAGTCATTGCCACTGATCTCAGGAGGATGGGCCTTACGGCCTATGACATCCTGCTTTCTCACTAGCTGCTCTTGGGCAGTCACTGCAGTTTTCTCAACCCCCGTCCATCGGAAGGCTTATCCAGCCGGACAATGTACCTGCAATGTATGGTATGTTACTTACGCGTTAGTGGTATTACCGAGCATGCTCATAATTCCCATAATTCCAGACTTTGCCCAGGCGATGTGGGTCTGACTCACAATGGTATGAAAGTTACAGTAGTGCTACGTATGAATGATAGCTGCACGTGATGTTTTCTCCCTTGATGTTGCTTGTCTCGCCACTCAGGTCAACTATTATTAGGTTGCCTGGTGAGAGCATCTGTTTATCCGCTGGCTCAGGTATGGTACCCACCCGTACCTGAAGTCAAGATTTACTGAGTAAATTGAGTTTGCAGGCAAAGAACGGAGTGGATGAATGATAATGATGATACTGATGATGAAGTCCTCAAGAAAAAAAAAAACGGGCGCCCGCAATAAGATCACTGCAATAGAGTTCACTGTAATGAACCAACACTGAATTGATGTTATCACCAAACGGCACAAATATGGCTACTAGCTGAGCTGGAAACAATGGAATTCCCGACCTGCTGCTACGCACATACCAACGAACGGCAGGCGAGAGTCCAAGAGTCGCGTCGGTCTCTCGTCGTCTGCAGTGGCGGGGCTCTTTCAAATTCCAATATATTCAGATCGACCACTACGCGACGACCCGGCTCAATCAAGCTCTTGGCCTGTACATTCCTGGAAACGTGCCGTGCAGTCCTGGACACTCAATAATCGACAATGTTGGCTAATGATAGAATCTGAATTGATGTTTGCGTGAAGGAGGGGGGCAAGACGGGTGTCAAATACATATTGGGTGTGGGTTGGAAACAGATAGGTCCTTCGGGAACTCCCTAACAACTTTGCGATTTTAGTGGTCTGGCCCCTCCTGGCGGCGAGATGCTAATTTTGTATCGACTTGCCTTGCCTGTGCTGGTGCATCATCGTCATTTTATCTCACTCCCGCCCAATCTCCGCGATGCATCTCAGCTACATTCCATCGAGGGGGGGGGGGTCCTCATTTCATTGTCAAATTTCCGCTGTATGGGTCGCATCGATCATGACAAGAAAGACTTTGCCCGTTGCGCGCAATACACATGTAAAAACTCCGTATGGAGAACTGTCTCCGAAAATCACCCAAGGATGCATGACGTCGGATTTGCTGGATTCTACTGTGTGTTTTCAACCAGCACCAGTGCCATTGTGGTATAAATAAGAGGGTAGCAAAGCTGGTATTGGATAATTGGATGGGTTTATGAACCACCAAATTCAGCAGATGTCTTGGAAGCAGGTTGGAAAACCAGAAAAAGTCAGAGGGTCTAAGCGAATCAGAATTTGTCGTCAAGTCTGATGATTGGTGAAGTGTTACAAGATGGAGCAGTCCAAAAGTCCTAGCTAGGATGGGCTGGTTTCCGGTCAGAAATTCAGAAGAACAGGATTCCTGGGGGGTTGAATCATGCTTGGTGGCTGTGGCCAGTTGATTCTTTCCCGCCCTCCCGGTACCTTTGTTACCATGGACACTTAACAAATTCACCCTCGACACACCACTGTCTCCACCCCCTCCCCTGTCTCCCTTTCAAACAGGAGAAGAAGGGGAATTGATTTAGCCAAGCCGAGCCAGATCCATTCAGGTACTATCTGTAACTTACAGCTTATTTACCGTATGTCCTTCGTTCGTACGCACTGATCCGGTAATCTTGCAAGGAGAATCACTCTCTCTTCCCACCTCTCCCCTCCCCCCCAGGTCTCAGGTCCACCGAACTAAACCTCGGGGCCACGACTCCTTTCTTGTCCTCCCTGAAAGTCTTCCCTCCCACTTTCTTGGTGGTTTTTCTTCCTGTTATCCCAGTCCTTCTTTCTCCTCCCACTCGCTCGCTTCTTTCTCTTTCTTTCTTTTCTTCCCTTCTCTCTCTTCCGTGTCAGAAAGTGCCTGCCTAATCCGCCGCACCATAGCAAACCATTTCTCTACCTTCCGTTGAAGGAAATCGCCAAAGAAAAAAAAAGCTTCTCCTTCGTTGAAGCTCCCTTCTTCCATTCGTTTATTTATTGTTTCGCTTCCACCCCTTTCCAGCTCCTACGCTTGATTTGAACTACAAAGGGCCACGCCCAGACTTGTCAAAAATCCACTCTCCAGTCATTGGTAGGTTGCATGTTTGTTTTCATTGTCCCACTGTCTACCTGCATCTCTCAAATAGATCTGCTGGTCTCCGCTGTTGGCAGTCGAGTGAGACCGATACTGCATGTCAGAAACTTGCAGCCGGTCTAGGAAGACAGACTGGGAGATTTTCTCCCATCGCGATACACTTTCAGGGCTAAGAGTATTGTTTTACACAGTCTAAATAAACACAACTCGGAACAATGGCCATCATCAAATACGCTCTTCCCGCCATCGCTGCGGCCCAGGTCGCCATGGCTGCCAGTGAGTGAATCGCTTCATGGTCTGAGGACATGTCTGTGGGTTGTGAACTGACCACGAAATCAGGCTGTGGTAGCAGCGGCAGCACCATCAAGATTACTAGCCAGACCGATGCCGACACCTACGCTACTTGCACCAAGCTTACTGGTGACGTTGAGATCAGCGAGAACTTCTCCGGTGACTTGAGCATCAACGGCCCCTACGAGATTACTGGTGGTCTGTCTAGCGATGGCGCCAGCAACGTTACCTCGATCACCTCTACCAGCCTCGCCACGATCGGCGACACTTTCAAGCTCAACGGTCTGACCACCTTGACCACCCTGAGCATGACCAACCTCACCAGCGTCGGTGCCATCTCCTGGACTGCCCTCCCCGAGCTTCAGTCTCTCGACTTCACCAAGGGTGTCTCCGAGGCTGGTGACGTTGAGATCACCAACACTGGTCTTACTAGCTTGGACGGTATCTCCCTCAAGAGTGTCGGTACCTTCGACATCACCGAGAACACCAACCTTAAGACCGTCAATGTTAACGACTTGACCAATGCCACTGGTCTGATCAACTTCGCTGGTAACCTGGACACCCTCCAGATTATCCTCCCCAACCTTGCTGGTGGTACCAACATGACCTTCCGCAACGTCAGCGCTGTCTCCATCCCCTCCCTCAAGGAGCTTAGCGGACAGCTTGGCTTCTGGGGCAACACTTTCTCCAATTTCAGCGCCGCCAACCTCACCTCCACTGGTGATCTCGTCTTCGATGACAACACCGACCTTGCCAACATCAGCATGCCCGTCCTCAAGACCGTCAACGGTGGCTTCCAGATCGCTCGCAACGACAAGCTCAAGGAGATTTCTTTCCCTGATCTCGAGACCGTTACTGGCGCCATTGACTTCAGCGGTGAATTCAACTCGTGAGTGTATTGTCCCATAGCAACCTAGGCGTGCCGCTAACTTGCATCGCAGTGTTTCCCTCCCCGATCTTGAGGAGGTCAAGGGAGGCTTCAACGTGCAGAGCACTGGTAACCTGAGCTGCTCCACCTTCGAAAAGATGCACAGCAGCAACGTCATCCGTGGTACCTACAAGTGCACCCAGACCTCCCACCCCACCACCAAGGACGGTTCTTCCGGCACCAGCACTTCCACCACCACCAGCAGCTCTTCCTCTTCCACCTCCAGCGACAGCGCCTCTGTCATGAACATTGTCAACGTCCCCGCCATGGGAGTTGCTGCCATCTTCGGTGCTTTCGTTCAGTACCTTTTGTAAAGGACACTCGATAGCAGTTTTTGTGTGTACCGCTTTGATTAAAGCCCTATGATGGTTGTTGTGTGTAAAGTTGCCTCGGAAGCAATTGGTCGTTAATCCCAGTACTCTGCTGTTCTTATGATAATAATTTGAATATTGGGTTGAGCAACATTTGTGCAGCAGTGCTTGCCTTCGAAGAGATGATCGCTTATCCATGTTTTTTATCCTGCTTTAATAATTATCCGAGGCCACAGGCTTGTGGCAGTTCCCTGTCCGGGCCCAGCACTTGAATGTTGGGCTGCATTGCAATTACTAGGCACTGGCGCCATTGAGCGGTCTCGACGTGTGTTATAGACGTTCCTTTGCGCTTTTGCGCTGCTTCGTTCCAAGATAGTGCGTTGCTCTGTATTCCATTGATTTATCGTGTAGTCAACCCTAACGAGCTTTCTCTTCCCTTCAGTAGCTTAAATCTGTACGATATTCGGGGTTAATCCAAACCTGTTCACCTTCTCGTGCAGCGCGGAAGACCGTGATGCCAAACCTAATCTGCCCCCCCTAATCATTGAACTTGCATTGAGCTTGCATTGAGCTGCATTCGTAGCCATTTTGGTCGGGTCGAGCCATTGCATGTTTGCATAGATGGACGCATGTGGTTTTCTTTTCCCGCCGTCCCGTCGCCCCAACCGACTATGCGGATAGGTATATGATACGTGCATCCCTTGGCATTGCCTTTCCGGGTAGACACTATGTGAGAGATCGTGCAAGTGGATCTTTCTCGAGCGGGTGAGTGTGTGTTGTTCTCCGGCGATGCACGGCTCTCGCATTCGGTCGAGCTTCTTTGCCTCTCCAGGTATATACAGAGGCGGCCCCCCCCCCCCCCCCCCCCCAATACTTCCAATCATACGTCCTTCCATGAGAGATGAATTGTTGCTACGTATCCTCTGAATGCAAAGTACATGCAGATCAATCCATGGACTACTGAGTGGGTACGAGCGGATGGATCAGATGCGTCGGTGAAAGGGGCGTGTGGGTACCAGAAGTGTTGCAGTGTTTCATTTGTTCTACAGGTCAATTGATGCTGCTGACTTCGTACTGTTCATTTATTCTTTGTCTGCGCTTCGGGCTTCTTGTTCTTGTGCTTGAATCTCTTTCTCTTGCTGTTGGTATAGTCAAATGCCTGATTGATAGGCAACGTAGTGTGGGCGGAATTGGTGATGTGGTCAGGCCAGAGTGTATACATAGTTGAGTTCTTGAAACTCCATGGGAGTATCATCTGAGACTTACCGATATGTGTATACTCTATGCACCCAATGAACTGTAGGTCTCGGATACGACTATCTCTGCCAATATGTCCTCTATTCCTCTTGCATATTTAGAGATCTTACGACCTAAATCGTTAACTGCCTACCATTGCATACTAATGCTTGAAGTGCCTTACTGGGAGTTGATTGAGCCCACGGAAACGAGCTGCTCGCTAAACTGGGTGGTTGTTCGGGCCAGCCACACAAGGATGGCAACAGCAGAGTATACTGACTACTACTGACTACTACTGACCAAGGTTTTGTCCAACTTTATCTGCTCATGGCGAACGGAAAGTTGTTCCGAATCCTCATTGCCGACCAGTCCCCCCCTCCCACCACCCCGGCCACGTTTAATCAGATGTACATGTCTAGGGAGCAGACTGCTCAAGGGCAACTATGACATGACAAGACGCATATGGTATTCAACAAGCTGTTGCCGGCACCTTGCCAGTATCTCTTTTCAAGGCGTATGCCAGATGGCCTGGCGATGACCTTGAGAGACAATCACTACGTCCAGAAGTAGTCAAATTACAGTTAGTGGCCAAGAACGGAATTGCTCATGGTCACCCGCCTTAGTCCGGGGCATGTCCCGGGTTTCAGGGATTGATTTTTCTCCTGGACCGCGATTGTAAAATCTGGAGACAGATGTCTCCACAGATATTCCCTGCGACGAGCTCTCAGCAGCCAATTTCTGGGGAGTATATGACATAATTGAATGTATCAAGTTGAGATCAATGGAACGCCATTCCCTGTACAAGCAGGCGAAAGGTCTAGATTGTGTTGGTCCGTGAGTTTAGAATGCTCAAGAAATGTCCTCCCCGCAGACCGGAGCTTTTTGAACTCTTATGGTTGGATAGCCTGTGTCTAGGGATCCTGGGATCATTCGTTTCTCACGAAACCACCTTGATCGAATATTGAAGACCTGTGCAAAATAGATATCGGGAGCAACACGAGTGGAGTGTGTTTCATATTCAACAGTGTCTTATCAACTTTCATCAGATGGGCGTGGCACGGGGAGACATCAATTCTCAGAATGTGTCGATTGACAGGAACTGGATTAGAGGGAGGCCCGTACATTGCACCATGCGCCCGAGAAGCTGGAGATAACTCGAAAGCGATGGGATTGAAGTCGTATCGGAAATTCTTCTTTCCACTAGACTGAACGAACCCGCTGGTTATGGCGTGGTTAAAACAAATGGTTCATATATTTGATTATTTCATGATTGTTGAATCCGTTCATTCAAAGCGCCTCTACTCGTTATCAGTCCCCACTGGAGGTTCGTGTAGCTAGCAAGTACACAGACCTTACTATCTAATGTCTTCGTAAGGACATTAGTTCTCTGGTACTTAATCCCCTCCTTGTCTTCGCAAAGAACATGGTCAGAGGAACGTGAAAACGAACGACCAAAGTGCAAAATGCAATCATGAATGTTGCCACAAATGGGAAGCCTGGGTCCTCGATCTGAGTAAGTCTCATCTGTTGTATCTCTCTGAACCGAAGACACACAACCTTCAAGAGACCTTGGGGTGGAAAACATATTTGCTCAGGCTCTTCGGTTCCGTCGGCGTTGTTGTAGCCATACCAGTTGACAACCATTGTCTCCGAGGGTTTTCTGAGACTCATGCGTACAGTTCCCTCTCGTAGTTTTCCATTTCCATCCTCTAGAATGCCGCACGTCGATTGATTTCCATCCGGTCAATCACGTTATTTCTCGCCCGAGCTCCTTACTCAACGGCCAACCGTTTCCGGAGGACGAAGACAAGTAGGAGGATGAGAATGACGAGACAAATGAGGAAGTAGTCGAGTGCTTGAATATCTCTCAAACGTCTTCGACGAGAGTTCTTCTCCGGGCATGGCATCTGAGTCGGTTTCGTTTATACAGGGGTAGTAGTACTTGGAAAGCTGTTCGACTCACGAGCACGATTCACTTCTCAAGCAGTCATGGAATTGTAGGAGCACCATCCCGTCCCTCTGGGATCAATAGAAACAGGAGCGACCGTGGAAAATTGTGTATACCTGCCACTACATCATTGAATCAGTAGCTCAGACTGCATGTAGGCTGCCATGGAATGCTCAAGCAGAAGCGACAGTAACTATGTCGAACAAATGCCAGAGTTTTGCGTTCCTCTTATCCGGAGCTCAACAAGCTCAAGCAGCTCAGCTCGCGACGCGGCCGCGGATGTGCTCCCAGTGGAAGTATGGCTGTGTGCTCCGCGAAATGGTAGGCAAGGAACTTTGACCTGGATAAGATGTTGGCCGGGGATAAACTACGCTTGGTGGGTAGGTATATCATTATTGCGTGAATGTCTGGGTCAACTTGTTGTACTACCGCACTGGAATTCGTACAAGTCAACTCGGAAAGACCTCAGCTTCAGCTTAAGAGTCTACTGAACTAATATGACAGATTGGTTTATAGATTGCCTGCCGTTGGTTGGCTGGCTATCCCCGGAATAAGAGAAGCACCTCAGCTCCTGGCCTGGAGGTACAGTACGTACTCCGTACTACCTCCTACGACCAGTAGCTGAACTACTGAGTACCTACCGGTAGAAGGACGTCGTTTGGGGCATAGATTAGGGACTGCGCACTACACCCCAGTCCCACTGTCTATGCCATTCTGTAGACATGGTATGTGAATACGAATCCGCCGGGCAATGGTCTCAACCTTAAATACGGAGTTGCGAGAGGAAGAGGTTGTTTCGTATCCTGCGGCCCGCTGCCTCTGTGGGGATGCGGCGATGATAGACTTTCTTTGTCTTCAATTCCCCCTGACCTAGACAGAACAAATTTGGGTGGATTTGCGATCCGTGCAGTCCCCGAGCTGAACGATCGGTAAATGGAATGATTGTCTGTTAGGTCCGTCCTCACTTGAATATTCGGTATGGATGAAAGAGTGAGGAGGATCGAGAAGGCCAAAGTACTAATGTACGGTACTTCTGGGAAGGGCCCGAAATTGGGTTCCATCAGGTGAGAAGTGGCTCGCCCATTAAGTCGAGCCAGAGATCTACGGAGTATTCCATACTAACTTACCATTCTACGTGACTTGAAGTAAGACTTTCTGCCTGGACAGATGGATACATAGTAGGAAGGCTGCTTGAAATAGGTAACAGGGTGGATCCTGTGCATGGGTTGCTGTTGATGCTCTTGTGTGGTTCCAGATTCCTTTGGCTGATATGATAGATAGACTCCCCATTGTAAGAGCTGACTGCTGCTGATGCCTTGCATGCCAATATGCGCATGCCTTAGGTTGTTTAGTTCGTCAGAGACCGTATGGAAAGCGATAGTTTGCTCCCATCACCGTCCGTGATTCCCCAGACAGGGGCCTGGAACACAAAGCCAGTGTGGCAAGGATGGAGTCAGGTTAAACCCAAAGCTGCTTCACTCCAGGCCAAAGCAGGGTGCAATAATTAGGCAAGGTAGAGAGGGGGTCGAGGCAAGGTGTCCTGAGGGGAAGACGCCAACAACGAATTTGAAACCGCCCCCCTCGACCCTCGACAACATGTGAATACTGACGGCCCTGGGTCATTCGCGGTCTCTGTCAAAGAGACGCCTATACCGAGATCCGATGGAACCATAGAATCACTGAAGAATACCACCCCATCAGAGAACCTGAAACCTTGCACGAGTCGTCGTAGCCTTGCCGGCGGCGACATCACCAGACCTGGTCTCGTCCTCTTGTCTCGTCTGATATCTGATTGCGTTGACCCTTTTGGGCGGCCTTCACCTGCAAAGGGGCAATGCGAGTTGAGCTTCGTGCCAGTGCGGCCGGACCATCCATCCAGCCAGCCAGCCAGCCAGCCCAACTCGTCTCAAAACGCATGAGCAGAGGGACGTGGCGAACTGTATTGCCAAAATCTGATACATGAGGTGATCTTGCATAGTGGCACGCCGAGTCAACCCTGGTCATTACCCGCACCATGACGGACGTGGCTCATGTGTGGATGCGGATTAAAGTTATATGTTCGACCATGAGACTAGCCATGTAAGTATATTGGAGTCGCGCGTACGTACTACTGTAAGAGCTACCGGGGTGGCGTGGGGCCTAAACGGGTCCGTTGAGGGGAAGCCGGTAGGGGCCAGGGATATTGCTGTACAGTAGGTATTAAGTCTGTCGACAGGTAGACCAGACCAGCCTAGATTGCCCGGGCTCGGACACCACATTGCGAGGGAGAGACGGATTGGAAAAGAAGAGGGGATGAGAGGGAGGTCTCAGCGGGGGGTGGAGGTGCTTTTCGGTTTGTGATACATCACGTCCAAACTAGTAGCTTGATATGATTAGTTAGTGGTGGTGGCTGGAGTGGTTGTTTTTTTTTTTTTGCCCCCTCTTCTCGGAGGACCGTTTGTCTGTCTTAGGGCAGCAGCAGGCTGGTCGACAGACGACACTCAGATGACGGCAACTGTCCTTGGCTGAAGTTTACGCTTCTAGTCTTTCTGACCAGTATCAGTCAATTCTCCTGTATATTAATCAACCTAGTTTGAACTAACTAGTAGTTATGGAGGACCCGCTAGACGCTAGTTAAGTTGAGAGGAAAAGTTGTGTAGCGGAAATCCGCAGCCAAACCAAACCTAACCTTCTTTTCCCGCTCTCGTTCGCTTCTTAGTTTCAATGCTACTCAGCATCAGCTGCCACCCACGTTAGATCAGACCAGAGGACCTTTCATGTCTGACAGGCAAAAGTCAAAGTCAGATTGACGGTCCTCATTCCTCATTAGAGGAAGCATTGAGTCCGTGTCCTACGGCAGATCTCATCAAGGAGCCGCATTAAGGTTCAATCCAGCCCCTCCTTGGGAATTGCTGCCGGGAAACCCTAGCCCAGAAAATCAATAGATTGGTAGCATTCGATAATTCGAGACCACGATATATCGGAAAATAAGCGAGACTGGTTAGTACCATAGAGAAAGAAATCGCATTGGCCCCGGACATTATTCCAGAATGAAAGTTCATCCATGGGGCCCGAGAGCGCCATCAAAGTATCCAAGCCATGTATGGAAGTCTGCATGCAATCAACTGGACGGGAGGTAATTCTGTAGGCTACGAATGAGTTCGTGCCTGGCATCCACAGCGTGCAAGGTATTTCTGATCAAGCCGGCGCTAGGGTCTCTTGAGGATCGCGCTCCCGTGTTTCATGATCTCTTTTACAGGTGGATATATGTACTGCCAACTCATCAAGCTATGGAGACTGCGTACTTCCTGGCCTCCACAGGGCTCGTTTATTTGGTCCTCGGGGAAGAGCGGAGGGACCAATCAATATGTTCCAGGCTTTGAGGTGGTGAGTTATGTACATCCAAGTGGTAATAGCTATGACCGGTGTCTAACCAGCCATCACGATGGCGGCGAGATCAAGTATGAGCACCGTGATATGAATTTTTAGTGACATGTGTGCATTGAGCAAGAAGTCAAGTAGACCTAAGCATAACCTCGTTTAGGTCTACTCTATACGTAGGGCGGAGAAAGGTAGAGATTTGCCTGTTGTTGGCCATTGACACTGAAGACAAACTGGCGGAAAAGCACCATGTGGGCGTGGGGGAAGAATTGTAAGGAGTCAGGGACTGACAATATGGCTGACCATGATGATGATGATTGATGATGATGGAACGATAATAATGATGAGTATGATGATCATCTCCTCCCCAACTCTCTAATCTCCAACTAGTCGCCTTCACAACGTGGGGCTATCCAGGGAAGGGTTAGGGCGTCGGAAAACCCATTGTTTTCTTGACCTCAGACTAAGAGGGAGGTGCAAATCTCAGATCCGGGGAGTCTCAATAATATGACAGATCTAATCGAATGACCTCCTTACAATTGAGGCCCGAATAACCCCTGCCTATGTGGATTTACCAGTAATCTTATGCTACAATACTGTAGTCCCTGCCCTCGATGCAGTTTTCTCTTTTGCTCCTTTCCTGGGTTGGTGAGGGTGCGCAGTGGATAATTGTACCTAAATTTTCTTGTGACCACTAAGGCAGTTGAAACACGGTACCATGGCGTGACCCCGCCTGACGTTGTCGATTTCTGGATTGATTCCAAAGCTCACTATTCCACTCCGTACAAAGTATAAACTGAAGATAACTTATCATAGTGGCGGGCGATCATCAGCCGGGAAGTACAGAGTCAGTAGGGAGGTACGGAGTAAGTTACTAGAAGCCAAGCTTGACAGCCGTCAGTGGCATCCTGGTCATTGGGATCAACCAGTTGACCCGACCCAGTCGGATGGGCCCTTCCTCGGCTGTGGACGATCCAATTCACTCTGTTCTGTCTGTCCCGCTTCAGGCAAGTTGAGTTTGGACCCCCCTTGAGTCGGATCCCATTCGTCCCTTTAACTCTTCACCAAAAACACTGGTAGTCCGGTCCACCTCCCCTCCGCCCTGACCTTCCTATTCAGTCCACAAGTGTCAAGGCGCTGAACCTGGAGAGTCAGAAACTATAGTAACCAAAGCTATTATTATTATTATTGTTCTTCTTGTTGTTCTCCAAAGTACTACCAAAGCGGACTCTAAAACACCACGAGAGACCATCGAGAACAGCCACAATGACCTTGTCATAAGCGCCGCGGATAATGACCCCTTCTCTCACTCTTTCATGCCGTCTCTCATTATATCAGAGCGATCGAACAAAGTAGGAAGAGTTATGACATCGTGGTGGGCGTCATCAGCTCGGCACTTCCCTAGTGACGCTGGATACCATTGCCTCCTCGCAGAACTTGTCTCACGTCCTGTCCCGTACTTTTGGCGTCTTTCCCTCTCGGGTCCTTGCTTCGTGCTATTAACTTCTGGTCTCCTCATGTTGAAGTGATGATCTACTTTGGGGGAGGTTCCCTTCACTTGCCTCCACTCGCCTGTGCGTCGGATGTTTATGTATAGCACACACACGCACTACCCACACTTATTCTAGGTCCTCGGGTCCTTTGGTTGGTACTTTTGCCCAGTGATGCTATGATCTCATTGTCAGAAGCAACATTGAGAGTGTAGGAACCTACCGTAAAGCACTCTTCGGCTGAATGTACTGCCCCAACAACCGATACTACGGCCTGTGCCGATACCCTATGTAGTATCCGCTTTTTTTTCTCAAATTCAACACGGAGTACGGTACATAGGATGAGTTAACAAGGAGACGATGGGTCTTCCCAGCTGAAAGGTACGGATGCCTGATCCGATCTGCGTTTCACAGTTGACCTTTGGGCCCGTTGTTCTTTCCCTGCAACAAGAAGTGATTATTCCTAACAGGTAGATCCTTTGAGATCCTTGTACCTTCTCTTATGCCTCCTCCCGTGCCTCACGCAGGCTGTCTGTTAGCCAGAAGCCCTGGAGATAAGCGCCGGAGACTCAAGTTCTTACTTCCGTAGCAGTCATCGGGCCGCGCTTGTTCAGACAGTAGGAACATCTCCCGCCTGGGTACTATGAGTTCACAGGAGCCTCGTAGCCTGGGCCAAGGCGTTTCTCAAGCCATGAGATCCTGCCGACTGGACCATCACCATTGGTTCGGGCAGACTATTGACGACTGCAATGCAAGGGGATCGATACCTTTCCGCCCCGTGTAGATCGAAAACCGCTGTAGTGGTGACAAATCAAGGGTCTTCGATCTCCAGTCGACTCTCTTGGTCATCGGGATCATGGCACGTTGATTCGCCGATCCGGTGTTGCCTCACGTCTGCGCCAATTTGTGATAGAGATATCTGGTTCGAAAATGAATCCAGAGGATCCAGATAGGCGCTAGCTCGAGCCCTCAAACTCTGCCGGAATCTTCTTGGTGCTTCCCCGCGTGGTCCTCATGGAGAAGAGGGCGATGGAGACATATAAGCAGATCCCCTAATGGTACCGGATGGAGCAAGACAGTGAGATATGCTTCAATGTTCCTGGCCCGAAGAACGTCCGAGACAGCCTGGACGCACGAACTTTAGTATTTCGATAGTTCCACATTACTGCCATGGGGACAATGTGATAGAAGACCTCGACCAGGATTGCGAAGTGTATGTTGCATACTTGCGAGAGGTCAAAAGCCGACCTTTGCTTTGGGGAAAAAGAAGGTAGACGAGGACAAAATAGAAAAATAAAAACAAAATAAAACGATGAGGAAGAAAAAGCAAATTTGGGGTAAAAAAAAGAAAAAGAAATATTTCCCTAGAAGTAAAAATAACATCAAACAACGCCTCGGGAAGGAGGCTGTAAGTAATCGACGGCAGCCCCGTTTCCTTCTTGAGGTAGTCGCAGATCGAGCTAATCCATTTAGCTCAGACTAGGAAAAGTACAAGCCCCGTAATTACTGGCCGGGGATGCTTGAGCGGCCGGCCTGGGACCGATGAAGTACCACTCTTGGTTGCGGTTTTTGATACATCCCTCCTCTCACTACAGCTTGCAGTCCTATCCATCTTCCCATGGTTTACACATACACACACACACACTGTGTGTGTGAGAGACTATCTTGCCAATCACTCGGATCTCCTTCTCTCCATCCGATTGCAGTTCATTGCCAGCTCAACTGCACGTCTGAGCGCCACCACAATGGCGCTCACTCTTCCTCCTCTCCTCCCACGGACCCCCCACTTCCTTCATTGGATCCATCAATTCCCCCTCCTGTCTCCTCGTTCACCTCCTGCAATATAAATCATGCAGCGGAAGCCTCCCGTATCCCTGGGAAGTAACAGAGCTCCTCATTGATACCTTCTACACCTCGTGGTTTCTCCTTGAATCGTCTCGGTGTCTCACAGCTTTCCATAGCAACCTTTCTCCTTGATCACAATATTGGTTCCTAGCATCATAATTTATCGCCACTCCATCTTTAGTTACTTGACTAGCCCCCTTGAAAGGCAGTCTCGAAGCTATATATACATCATTCGTCCTTGGAAATTACTCTAAGACATCCCGCTGAGGTGCAGACGTCCAGCACATATCAGAGACATTCCCCAGTTTAGACGCATCAATCTCAGACATACAGCATTTTCAACTGCAAGAGAAACTACCCCTCGTCTCACACATCAGTGAAGTTTTGAACAACATGTCGGACGACATTGCTCGCCGCTCTCCATCGTGAGTCCCCTTCTCGTGTCCTTGCCTACAAGCACAAGGCTGACAGCTCTCGGCTGCATAGCGGCATGCGCACCATCTCCAGTGCCTCCAGTACCGCTGATATGAGTGACGACCGCCGCTTACCTCCACTACCACGAGTGGAGCCCTTGCCTCGGGGACCCTTTAACCCGTTCACTTCCACCATCTTTGCTCCGAGCCCGCCTACTTCTCACGACGCTTTCCCTGTCAGGTCACCTTGGCCATCGACGGAGCACATGGTAGCACCTCCTTCCCCAGCAGCCTCCGCTGACAGCTCCTGGCCCGAGACTTTACCATCGCAGAAGGTTCTCGAGTGGCATCAAGACCTCTCTCTCGGCGAGATTTTGAATCTGATCATGCCTAAGCACATAAACCGCAAGCCACCATTGCAGCAGCTGTGTGGCCGCAAGCGCAAGGGCAGCATGATCACTGGTGACTCAGACGAGCAGAGGGAGAAGCATAGAATCGCGGAAGGCAATCGTCGCAAGAATCTCAGCCAATTGCACCGCGAGCTTGACAGCCGCATTCACGATTTCTTCCTGGAGCGAGCAGGCTGGAACCCATCCAAGAGTCTTCCTGAATCAAAAGAGCACATTGTGCAGGCCGCCATCTTTCTCATCGACTTCATGCTTGTGATCATTATTCATCTTATCCACGAAGAGAACGAGACGCCGCGTCAACTGCCTAAAAAGCTACAGCCTCAAATCCGTTGCATGCAGCTGCAGCAGAAATTGTCCGGCCTACAGCAGCAAAACCAGGCCCTACAGCAACAAGTCAAGGCTTTGAAGCAGGAGAACCAGATGCTGGAAGAGCGCAACCAGACGCTCGAGTTTCAGCTCAAGACCTACGAGCACATGTTCCGCACATCCAAGAGCGAACACATGGCCCCTCAACCAATTCCTAACCCACCAGAGATCAAGCCGCGGAATATGCTTCCTGGACTGAGGGTGTTCTGCGACGAGATTGCCGTCAATGGCCCTGATTCTCGGTTGGAGCACATCCCAGCTGCAGCAACGCAGTCATTTTGTCACTCTTACCCGAACCACACACCTCCGGTCACAGGGCCATCATCTCCTATGTTTGCGCAAGCGTCTTACTCGGTTCCGGCATCCCGACGTCCATCGCTCAACCCGTCGCCTTAAGTAACTTGAGTGCCGAGTCTACGAACAGCCGAGAGCTCCTTGGCCGCAATCAACAGTCAATCTTGATCGCATGTTGGGACTGGTACATATTGCCGTTGCAAGTCCGGCATCACCCATGTTAACTGTTTTTTTTCAGCATAGCGGGAGCGTTTTTCACCAGCATAAACTTGCGGCATGTGAGCTTTTCTGTGCATTGGTCTATTTATCACTTTTTTTTGAGTTTTGGGTGCTCTTGATTGGATTTTCTGGTCAATCCAGATAGGTTGATCTTGAGGGCTGCGATGTATATCAGAAGAAAAGCTTGTTTGGGAAGCATGAGCATGGGCCTCAAGGCGTTGATATACTTTTCACCATTGTTTATATTGTCTATATTGAGAAGGGCTATAGCGGGTACAACCTGTGGACTTAGTTAGCGGCGTTCAAAGGTATAATGGGGTATCATCTTCTGGATTGCTAAGTTAGACCTATACATATATGATATGACCAATTTCGGTGTTTCAACTCCGTTGCAACTTGTAGGGTGTTCTCTGTCTCTCGCTTTGGGTGTGTTTCAGATAAGCTACCATTGAAGCCCACTATGAGGGATAAACAACGACCACTGGAGGTATGATTAAAGCTGACACACGAGCTTTGACAAATTGGGAGCCAGCCGGGTGGTCAGAAAGTGGGCAGAAACGCCCGGCTTCCCCAAGTGCCTAAAGTCTTGTAGAATCGTCATGCGAGAGAGGAAGTATGGAGTTACTGTACGGTATACAATAACTGGCAAGCCTTAACTAGTTAGTCAGTTATGCTGATGACAAAGCCATCATTAGTCAGTTAGGTACATTTACTATAAAAAGTAATTGGCGGACCAATCCGGGAGCGGCCAACTGGACTTTCTGGCTGGACCTTCGGGCGGGTCGAAACTTCCAATCCCTCGCTGTCAAACTGGACCGTCTTCCCTTTCGACGACCGTCCCCGAATTACCTCCTGGGCTCGCGACGCTGGCATTGAATTGTCAAGGATCAACAGGGCCTTCACGAATATCTTGTCCGGCTCGAGCCTACATTCGTTTCAAGTTCGATTTTCCAATCGCTGGGTTTTTGGTTTCGCGCTCTACCGCCGCCAGCCCTTCAGGTTCCCTTCAGGTTCCCTTCGTACCCTTTTCCTTCCCCGGGCGATCGCAGGCTTTCCCCCCCCTCCCTTTTCTCCATATCGCATCATCAATCTCGATCTGTCCACGTCGTCAATCCATCGATCGTGTACCTTAATTGATAGTCAACCCTTCGCACAGTTCTCACGCCGTCTCGTCCTTGCCGGCTGAATAGTCTTTCCCTTTCTTCACCTATCATCACGTCGATCGGAAAGTGATTTACCGGCCTCCTTGGGATCCGTGTCTCAGCGGTAGATAAACCACGAGGAATCGTCGCCTGTTGTGAGCATCGGCGATTTCTAGGTCAAGTAGAGCGAGGTCCATACATTGGCTTGACTTGCATCCATTTCGGCGCCCCTTTCTCCTTTAGAGAGATGTTGCTCCCAAAGGGTGGTGTAACGTGGAAGTCGGCCAAAGCCCGGCTGCCTCCATGGCGGGCTGTCCTATTCATGGTGACACGGACTCGATTTCTAGTATCACTGGCAGTGACTGGATTGATGGTCCTTTTATGGCGTGGTATCAGCAAATCGGCTTCGGAAATGCAAAGGTGAGTGTCCATTTCACGCCGGTCGCGCCGGTCGCGCCGGCTCCGATGCCATAACCCCTTGTCACAAATCGTGCACGCGATGAGTTGACGCTCACGGTTGCATGTAGCTTTTATTGTTATGGTCCCCCCAAGTCGCCAATGGACATGTCTATCAATGAGATGGTCGAATGGAACGCACATCTTCAGACTCCTGTGGTGTTCAATCACCACGATGCCTACGAAGTCAACTCTACCGGCATCAAGCACGTTGACCTCAACCCCATCAAGTCGACTCAGCAGGCTATTGCGAACGCTGAGCGGGTCCTCATTCTGACGCCGTTGAGAGATGCTTCGGCTCATTTGATTAATTATTTCGACCTGCTGTACAAGTTGACGTACCCTCACGATCTTATCGATCTGGCTTTTCTCGTGGGGGATAGCAAAGATGACACCATGGCTGTCCTTACTGCAGAACTGGCTCGCATTCAGTCTCAGACAGATGAAAAGATCGCTTTCCGCAGTGCTACAATCGTGGAGAAGGACTTTCACAGTGATTTTCAGATGAATGTCGAAGACAGACATTCGTTTGCTGCGCAAGGACCCCGTCGCAAAGCCATCGGCAGAGCACGCAACTACCTGCTCTATTCTGCTCTCAAGCCTGACCACTCGTGGGTCTATTGGCGAGATGTTGACATTTCGGATAGTCCATCCAGCATCATTGAGGACTTTGTGGCTCACGACAGAGACATTCTTGTGCCAAGTATGCAACACCTCCTGAAATATGCCTCACGAGTCCGTTCTAATCGTTATCGCAGATATCTGGTTTCATCGTTACCGGGATGGCCACGATATTGAGGGACGCTGTATGTTTCCGATCCACGACTACCCCTTAATTATCCTTTTGCTAATTTTCCTAGTCGACTATAACTCGTGGATCGAATCCGACAAGGGACGCCGGCTTCGCGAGACACTGGACCCGGATACTGTCTTGGCTGAAGGTTACAAGGAGTACGACACTGGCAGGAAGTACCTCGTCGGGATGGGTGACTGGAGGAACAACAAGGATGAGGAAGTCGAGCTGGACGGTATCGGCGGAGTCAACATCCTCGTTAAGGCCGACGTCCATCGCTCCGGTATCAATTTCCCTGCTTACGCCTTCGAGAACCAGGCCGAAACTGAAGGGTTTGCCCGTATGGCAAAGCGTGCTGGGTATGGTGTCTATGGATTGCCAAATTACGTTGTCTGGCATATCGATACTGAGGAGAAGGGCGGTAACCTTGGAGGCCGCAAAGCGTATTAGCTGCATTCCGGGTTGATCCTATCTTTCATGCAGTGTGAATGAAGTGACCTTCTTCATTTCTTGTTACCAAAACTCGAAATACCCCTTTTTACTGTGTACATCTGAGCCATTATGATGGTCATCTATGTGGAGGCTCACCTATTACGTCTTTTATTCCAACCATTTGTGTTTCTTTCACCTTTTTCTTTCCCCCTTCTATCTTTGTTTCTCTTCTTCCTTTTTCTTTCTTCATTTTGCATCTTTCTATTTGCCTGAATGCATTTGACGGATGCTGAGACGCATTTCTCACGACTCCGATAACTACTCTTTTGTGTTGAAGACAGGTTTATGTCTGGCTTTGTTGGCGCTACAGGGACAGCGCTTAGTGAGATTCGAGGAAATTGATAGAGCACCAATCAATTGAGCACCAATCAATTGAGCACCAATTGGGGCCTGCCATGTTCTTTTCTACCAGTTGTGGCACGGGTAACGGAGCATTTGCTCGCGCAGTGTTGATGTAGGGTCCTCTGTGCCTCCCAGACATGGTTGATGGTGTTTGCTGACGCGCATGACATCTGAGCGATCCCTAATACTGGCCCTCGAGAAGCTCAGTAGCATGCAAGTCCATGGCCGTATACGTATAGGGTAGCGTACTCGAGTACTGATAATCCACCATGAAGCCATGTGTGAAGGCTAGAATTGATAACTAGGCAGTATGTAGCCCCGCTTAAAAGGGGATCCTTGCTTTGAGACATCTTTGAGACATTTGAGGGGGGGGGGGCGCTGATTAAATAATAAATCCCAGTGACACCCACACCGGATAAGATCTTGCGCCCTCACCCCCGCTCACTAAGATAAACACCCCGCTTTCGCTTCCCCTCCTCCGACGACATAGCCATCTGTGTTTCTGTGCCTGAAGCTCTTTTTTTCGTTAGCTCCTCCCTGTTCTTTGCTTTAACTCAATCTTGCCGCTACACTCTGCAGTGTCGACCGCCGCAAAACATGTCTGCCAAGAATGAGTATCTCTGCATCCTCCCGGACAAGCCAGACGCGCTAGCCAGAAGGCTGGAGGTGCGTGCGTAAGTTCGGCCCCTTCAATTGTCTGCCGCTGGCGTAGAGCTGAACATGTTATAATAGACAGCATTTGGAAAATATCACTCCTCTTGTCGAGTCCGGAAAGGTGGTTCTAGGTGGTACGTTCATAATCATCCCTTTGCTTATTCAATCTCGCCGGCTAAATCAGTTGATTCTGCATAGGAGCCATGCTCGACCAGCACCCGAGGCCAGGCGACTCCGTCTCCTTCAAGGGTAGTGTGTTGATGTATGTGGCAGAGAGCAAAGAGGAGGTCCTGGAATTGGTGAAGAACGACATCTATACGAAGTCTGATGTATGGGATCTAGATAAGGCGCAAATTATTCCGGTATGTTAAGTCTTTCCCTTCGTCACACAGATGCTGACAGACTTCGCCTTACCTCAGTTCAAGTCTGCTGCTCGGGTGGCTTTGTAGAATTCGCTCAATCAGTCTACATCGGAATGCCACTCATAGATCCTCATGATCAATCTGATGGAATATTTCCTTTTTTACTAAACTTAATCTTAATATACAACTGAAGCCTCAGTGCATGACAGCTGATAAGTATAATTAAGATTTTAATCGACGTCTCTCAGTTGCACTTCTCCACAATACATCCCTGATAGCGCTTGATCACCTTAATTTGCATTGCTCACGGTCATTGCCAGGTTTTCCTCCGAGATCACGATACGTGCTTCTATCCTGCTTCTCCTTGCGCGCGTCCAGTGCATTGCTATGCATACTCGAGGGGCTATCCGCATCTGCATGCGTTGTAATCGCTACGCCATTCGCCTCTTCAGGAAGACTTGGGAAGACCACGTACACACGCCAATCGTTCAGCCGTTACAACTATCGCCAGAACCAGGTTTATTGAATGCAAGCAGTACTTGCATACCCTAGCTCTCGCCCTACTGCAAACTGGTCGCCAAGACTGAACTGCATTTTTGATGAAGCGCTCACTGCAAGCATTTGTTGTGCCTAAGATCATTCGGCATAACATGCAAACTCTTGGCCTTGGCACATTGATTTCGATGCGATACTACCTTGAAAGTCACCGACACGTCATTGCGTGAGCAGCGGTCAACTCTATAGTTCAATCGCCGAGCCGTTATCGACTAGAGCCGAGACTCTGGGTGTTGGACAGCAAACTTCTTACTAGGGATCAGGTCGCGTGATGGAAAAATAGAACCGCTGACGTTAGGCGGGAAGAAGGGCTCGAGATCAATGTATGAGTTAGTCACGAGCAGTAAGAATGGTCAAACAGTGACGTCGATATCAGATTTTGGACCTGGTGGTAGGGGGATACAGGGTTAGTATCAAGGGGAACATCAACCGCCTCGCCCTCGCGAAGATCCATCACGGAACTTGATAATGTAGATCATTTGATCATGCATAGACAGAATCCTGACATATCTCCGCTCGGTATGTACCGGTCTACCGATTTGCGTTCTCAGCTCGCGCACATGTTCCATCATGCTCAGGTATATAGCCATGAGGATGGACAGTGGCAAATTTGCGATGACAGCAGTAGTATCAACAAACCACAATAACTTCTATCAATAATAAAAAGCGCGTTCCTTCAGATCGAGGTTCTCCTCCAATACCTATGATTGACTGATCCAGTCAATCTACTAGAAACCTACATAGCATCACATCATTCCAAGCCGACCGTCATGCCTTCTGACGAGTCTCTTGCTCACCCCACGACCGCCAATAATGCTGTCCTCCGCAGCATAAACCCCAACTATACCGGCTACGACTATGTAAGCTGGTACGTCGGCAACGCCCGCCAAGCGGCCACTTACTTCGTTGCCCATTTTGGCTTCAGCATCAGCGCCTATCGAGGCCCCGAGACAGGATCCTACCTTACGTGTTCGTACGTTGTCTCCAACGGCACAGCCCGGTTTGTGTTCACTGCACCTATCGTCGCGGCGGACAACGCCTCCGAAAATCGATCGGAGGAGGATCGGGGGTTGCTTGCAGAGATCCAAGCACACCTCAACAAACATGGCGATGGAGTCAAAGACATCGCCTTCCAGGTTGACGATGTGACAGGAGTCTGGGAGCATGCCGTCAAGAACGGTGCCCTCTCGCTCCAGGAACCCACGATCCTGAAAGACGAAATCGATGGAGAGGTTCTCCGGGCCACGATCAAGACCTACGGAGACACTGCGCACACTCTCATCAACCGGTCCGCCTATCGGGGGCCTTTTCTTCCAGGCTACTCTGCAGTGCCCGGCTTGGACCGCCTGAATGATGTTCTGCCGCCTGTCAATGTGATCGAGATTGACCACTGTGTAGGAAACCAGCCATGGGATGGGCTGGATACAATTGTCAAATTGTAAGTGCTTGCCGGTCTCTTTTCTTGGCTTGAGTATCTCTTGCGCCTGCCTTATGCACCGATATTTTTGCGAGCTGAACATGAGTTTTCTTCTGCTTAACACCACAAGCTACGAGGATGCGTTGAATTTCCACCGTTACTGGACCGTTGACGACAAGGAAATGTGTTCCGAGTTCTCCGCTATGCGCTCTGCCGTCGTTGCCTCGCCCAATGAGGTGATTAAGATGCCCATGAATGAGCCGGCTGTCGGGCTCAAGAAATCCCAGATCGAAGAGTAAGCTTTCTTCGTCATGGTTTAGCTGCATCCCCAGTCAACCTCGCGTTATTTCCCCAAGTCCTTCCCGGGCTTCCTCCCACTCCCTACTTGGAAGATAGATATGTGTTTATTAGAACAAGGGAATAGAGGCACTGACCTAACCTCTCTTCTTCTTTCTTCCCCACTTTTTCTAGATTCGTCGACTACTACAACGGCGCTGGCTGCCAGCACATCGCCTTCCGAACCCACGACATCATCTCCGCCGTCGAGAACCTGGGCAAGCGTGGGGTCAACTTCCTCACCGTGCCAGAAAACTATTATGCCACGATGAAGAAACGGCTCGCTGCCAGCAACGTCTCGATCGCGGAGAACATCGACACCCTACAGAAGTATAACATCCTTATTGATTTCGACGAGGGCGGCTACCTGTTGCAGATCTTCACTAAGCACGTCGTTGATCGTCCGACGGTGTTCATCGAGATCATTCAGCGGGAGAACTTCGATGGGTTTGGCGCTGGGAATTTTCGGAGTTTGTTCGAGGCGTTCGAGCGGGATCAGGCCGCTAGAGGGAATCTGTGAGTTGTGCGGTTGCCCTGGTGCTGGGCGTTTCTTGGTATAAAAAGAGGTGATAACCCTCACTTGGGCCTTGATTTGGAGTTTCGCAATGGGTGTGTATGGGCCTTTTTCCCGTTTCGTTCGATGAACACGGGTTATGATGCTTGGGAAGAATTGAAAGCAATGTGAGCCGTCATGAAGCCAACGTGCTGTCATCGACTTAGCTCTTCAGGGTCAAGGCTCTTCAAGACGTGATAATATATGGATGCGGACGCGGATGATAGAATGACCAGCGATAGAGGCTTCATGATAGCCATCCTAATTGCAAGATTTTCATAAACCAAAAAAACTCCCATTTTGCTTTCAGACTTGCGTGAGCAGAAGTATATTCTAGTACTTATAAAATCAAGAAAACTACAACTTGGCCTTAACCTTCAGCATCGCCTCTGCCACCTTGCGCCGTTGAATTTTGCCGGTAGCTGTCTTGGGGATTTGGGGAACAAGCCAAATCTGCGACAGTATGTGTTAGCAGAACATTTACTTTCCGGTCTCGACGAGAAAGATATCAACAAAATCCTACCTTCTTCGGGGTTTTGAACTTGGCCAATTTCGACTCGACCCAAGCCTTGAGCTCTGCTTCGGTAGCACTCGCACCGTTCTTCACGACCACCGCAGCACCAATCTCCTCGCCATAATGACCCTCATCAGGAATAGCAAAGCAAACCGCCTCCGCCACCTTGGGATGGTGCAGAAGAGTATTGTCTAACTCGATCGGGCTGATCTTCTCGCCGCCCTTATTGATCAGCTCCTTGATCCGTCCCGTGATGATCACATAGCCATCGGCGTCCTTCTTGCCCTGGTCTCCGGTGCGGAAAAAGCCATTCTTGGTGAAGGATGACTTATTGGCCTCAGGGTTGTTCAGATATCCCTTGGTGACGTTTTCACCCCGCACGCAGATTTCCGCCTCCTGGCCCTGCGGCACTTCGTTACCCTCCGCGTCGAGGATCCTCACTTCTACGCCCTGACCCAGACCCACGCTACCTGGCTGACGTTTAGCTGGGGGGAGCGGATTGCTGGTCATTTGATGCGCAGCCTCGGTCATTGCGTAGGCTTCTAGCACCGGAGCGTTGAGGGCTTTTTCGAGGTCCTGGAAGGTTTTGGGGGAGAGGGGAGAGGAGCACGACCGGATAAAGCGGATAGGAGGAATGGATTCGGGCAAGGGTGTCTTGAGGAGGATCTGGTGGATGGTGGGCACCGCAGAGTACCAGTTTGCCTTATAAGTAATGAAGTCGGACCAGAACTCCGAAGCAGAGAATCGTGCTGGAACAATTACAGAGCCACCGGAGTATAGAGGCGCTAGGAATGCGGCGAGGAGACCATGGACATGGAAAAGGGGCATGACCAGGTAGGTGCGGTCTGCTGAAGTGAGCTTGTATGTCGCTTTGATGTTGCCTGCGTAAACATTGTTAGACCAGATATTGAGTCTTTGCTTGGTGGAGGCGCGGGATTTCTGGCTCACGCATTGTTGTGGTCAAGTTCTTGTGTGTGAGTGGAACCTTCCAAGATATTAGTATTGAGGGGGAGCCGGTTCACCAGAGACATACAGCTTTGGGCCTGCCAGTCGTTCCGCTCGTGTGCAAGACGAGAGCAATATCGTCTGGCTGGGCTTGTTGGACATCCACGCCTCCATTTCCAGAAAGCTTTCCATGCTCCTTCACATCAAGCACGATCTCCTTGCCATTCCAGTAGCATTCGGCGATGGCGGCATTGTATTTTCTTCCTGCACGAATCGCAGGACCCTCCTTCGCATACGATCCCTTAGGGATCAAGACTAGGGTGGAGCTAAGATCGTCGATGTAGAATTCGAACTCTTCCTGCTTATAGGCCGGGTTGAAGGGAGCGGCGATCGCCCGCTGCCACGAGGCGGCCAAGAATGCCACAATGAACTCGTACGAGTTTGTCAGCGCCAGTGACACAGCGGCGCCATGTCCTATCCCGAGCTTGGCTAACTTGGTCTGGAAGTCCACAATATGATGGTGTAACTCGCGATAAGTTATTCCGAGAGGGCTGGTTTTATTGGGCACTAGGATGGCGATATCCGTACTATCGGAGGAGAATGACCGCGCCAATGTTGCCATGACGAGTAGTGCGCTGCACGAGGGTAACACTGAGGTCTTGGCTTTCAGGGATGTTTGGCTGGAGGTGCTCGGAGAATAGAGAAGTAGTCCCAAAACGGATAAAAAGACTGAGGATTCTATGTCACAATAGCACTTGCTTCTCCCGAGTCGTTTTCTGTCAAGTCCCCCTATTTTGGAGTCAAGGACAACGGAGACACTGGCATTGCATCATCCACAATTGGTGTACATTTGTGGTTAGTGCCAAGTTTGTTTCGTTTGACCTCGGGGTTTCCTAATCTGGCTTGACGGGCGGTGAGCTCATACCCGCAACTCCCTCGGGCGTATTCTGCAGCCTGAGGCGGTGCATTAGGCGGTAAATAAGCAAGAACCACCGCTTTGACGGAACTGCCGCATCTCATCAATACTATCGACCTAGTGGTCTGCCGATGAGAGTTGTCCGGGGAAATGCGCCCTCCAAGCTTGTTGAACTCGTCAGATCTACGACTGATTCCGTCCTCTCAATCCAAGTGTTCTGTTGACAGTACTTGAACATTCTTAGCTGCTATTCATCATGAGCTCCGATCCCGCGCCTCAAAAGCCAGCGGGAGGTTTGTCACTCTACGCCAATCTGTTAGATGCGTCCGCAGACAGTCCCCCCGGAACGATCTCTCGTGCGCCTGTTGTCTTCAGACAAGGTGCTGAGGCCGAAGCCCAATCCGATGACTCAGCTGCCAAAAAGCAGCAACTCAGTGCCGGTAGACTCATGCCCTTCTTTATCTAGCGAGCTGTCTCGTTTATTTGACCGATTTGATTGCTCACTTGTCCGCCCGGTGATTCTTCTTGGTGGCATTCAGCTTCTCTCCGATTTCAACCTACCAGACGGCCGCAACTTGCCACTCAGAAACAGAAACCCAAACCCACACTACCTAAGGCTCCTCTTGCTGCCACGCAGGCCGCCACATCGGTCAAAACCACTCTGGCAGACTGGGCGGCTACCGAAGAAGATGATGTCAATGGCTTTTATGCCGGGCCGAAGAGACAGCGTGGTGGTCGTAAGAAGCGCAAGAAGAACCGGGAAGTACAGGAATTCATACAGAACTGGGATGATATCTACGATCCGTCTCGACCGAACAACTATGAAGAGTACAAGCATAGCGACGAGCAAATAGCCGAAATTCGAGAGTGGAAAGACCGCCTATACGCACATCGCATGGCAAGATCGCCCAGCAGGGAGTCATACAGCGATGATGATGAATATGCCCGGCCGAGAAACCGTAGGCTCACGCTAACGCCTGACAAGCATGTTCACTTGCTTACCATGAGTTTTCAGGTCAATTCGCGCCCCCCGGCAGTTTTGCACCGCCGCCAGGGCCCAACATTGTTCCTCCTGGGCCACCTGCGGACCCTTCACCCAGTGGAGAACCGACTGAAATCCAGAACGACATATCAAAGGGAGAGATCTCTCCACCCTCGCCATTACATGAGCCACCAGCCCAAGTTCCGGACGACCCCACAGGCGAGGATGCTTATTTGCGGAGACTACAGATGTCGACTGCAGGCAGTGCAACACTGCTCACGCCGCCGCCCCAGTCGCGGCCTCTAGATGTCTTACAGCCAGCTTCAGCGACTATATCTCGCGCACCGGTCCGATATAAATTACCTCCCCCTCCAGAAGATATACCTGCTTCGGAGGCGGAGCTCGAGGAAGTGTTCGCCAAGGAGCAGCCAGTTGATGGAGACGCAGGAGACGATGGTCAGCGCTCCCTTCGTCCGGGCCAGAAGGGCTTCGCTGAACGACTCATGGCCAAGTATGGCTGGACCAAGGGCTCCGGCCTCGGAGCCACAGGGTCAGGAATTGTTAAGCCATTGCAGGTCAAGGTTGAGAAGCAGAAGAAACGGCCCGACTCAGAAGGAGGCGGCTTTGTGACGCCTGCTGGACGGGGTAAGGTCATCGGCGGTGCAAGGAAAAACGAAGAGGAAGGCAAATTTGGCTCAATGAGTGAAGTCATTGTCCTCAAGGGTATGCTTGATGGGATGGACCTTGAGACCGAATTGGCTGGAGATGAAGAAAGCGGAGGCCTTATGCAGGAGATCGGAGAAGAATGCTCCGACAAGGTAAGTGGATTCTGCGAGATATTCTTTCAGTTGCTTGTCTGACTGGGAGGCAGTACGGCCGTGTCGAGCGAGTCTATATCCCACGAGAGCTTAACCCCCCTGTTCCAGTTTTTGTCAAATTTACCAATCAGCTCTCGGCACTCCGGGTAAGGCAGAAGTCAAGGGTTGGGAAGACGTTCAGATATCTTGCTAACGAGGCTTGTAGGCCGTCAATGCTCTTGAGGGTCGGATATTTAATGGGAACGCTATCACTGCGCGGTTCTACGACACGCAGAAGTTCGAGGAAGAGGACTATGATGCTTAACGCAAGTCAAATTTCACTTTTAGCTATCTATCAATGCGATCATGACTTGATAGAGAAGCCTCGGGCATCTCTTCATCACATCTCTCTAGAACTAACCATTTTCCGTACTTGAAACTGAGGCTGCCTTTTAGAAGGGATTTTCTGAAACAACTCGTCTTGGAAAGACTTGAGCTTCGCAGTTTTGTGCAGGATCACATTGGGATTTTTGCATGTTTAAACCTCCCGCTTCTTGGGAAGCGGGATTCCGGACTGTTTCTTTGGCTTCTTCAAGACTTCGTTGCTTTTCTTGACTTGCTGTTTCTTAGGGACTGGAATGCTGGATTGAAGCCTCGCTGGTTTGATATCAGTCTGGGTGCAGACTTTGACTTCGAGGTGCTTGGGAACCGGGATGCCAGGTTGTCTACTCGGTTTCTTATAAACCTTGCAGCAGTCTTTGACCACTTGAATTCCCATGACTGGGATTCCAGCTGGCCTCTCCTGAATCTCGTTGCAGGTTGTGTCCTCCTGGCTTCCAGGGACTGGGTTATCAGTTCGACGCCTTGGTTCCCCATGCATGTCATTGCAAATTTCGACCTCCTGACCTTCGGGAACGGGGGATGCTCGAGTGCTGGAAGTATTCAATGCTTCGCGGTGCTCTCTATAGTACTCCTCGCAAACGGAACATACTTCCATACATGGAAACCCAATTGCCTCAGGTTCAGTACATTCATATCCCAACCTCAAGGCCTGTTCGCATCTGACGTCTTTGTGCAAAGATTCTATGATGTGGTTGCAACCATCAAAGTAGAAACGTATGTTGTGACACATCCCAAACGCTATGAGATTTGAATTCAGAGGCCGGACAATGGTACTCAGTATAAGAGGGTAGCTTGTCCTCCTGATACTGATGAAAATTCAATTATAAGTCTGTGTCCGTGCGTCCTGGTTAGATGTGCAACATGTAGTAGTACGAAAGCTAGTATGCCCAGCGCGATGAGGTTGCAGTCGACCAACTTGAGAACGAGCCAAACATGATTCTATAAATATTCGACATGCAGCATCAGTCACATGGTGAGAAGAAGGAAATTTTCAGACAATGTCTTTCTAGATAGTATCTTAGAAACCATACACCACAGGATATTCTTTCACCAATCCTACGATTTGATGCATTGTCTTACTCGAATAAAGACATAGGTGTGGTGAATTAATTGCAAAACCAGATGATGGTTTCGAGTTGGCCAGTAATCAGGCCCGACCGAGAGGCAAGTATAAGTCATGTGAGCCCCTAAGAGCGATTGGCTGTGGGGTGCATCGATCGATAGCCTAGAGCCGGCGGGCAACAACTGAATATGGAAGGATGCTCTGGAACTTCCGCTGCACAAACATTCACTGGGCTTTAACCTCACCCCCGGCTCACTTATTATCCACCTATATAACACCGTTGTGTTCCATTTTCTTCTTTCTCTCATCCATAGCTCCTCATATCCGCCTCATCTTCTCCCGCTATACCTTTTCCCAGTGTCGGGAATCGTTCCTACTTTCAACTTCCAAGTTTTCCCCACTTACGTGGATCGCGAATATCCGAGATGTCGCTTTGCATAAACCGCCTTACAGAAGAAAGGTGAGCATTTTCCATCCCATCTAGCGATGCGCTACTCCGATCTAGCTCGATGTGCTGACCTTTGTCCTTGCGCTTCCTCTTTAGAAAGCAGTGGCGTCGAGATCACCCCTTCGGATTCTATGCGAGGCCCCATCGCAATCCTCAAGGGGCGCTTGACCTCAAGCGATGGGAATGCGGTATCCCTGGAAAGGCGCAAACCCTATGGGAGGGTGGGCTCTTTAAGCTCGACGTTACATTCCCAGATGGTGAGTCCAACCTTTCTTTGATCGGGGCGTTTCTTGCTTGCGACATGGCATAACTAAGCGCTGGATCTATATTGCAGAGTATCCTACAAAGCCACCCAAATGTGAGTACGCACTCGCTTGCGAGACATATTCATACGTTCAGTCTTGAGCTGCTGCCCCAACTTGATACGCCTCTCGCAAAAGTCTAAACATGGATTCATATTATCTGCAGGCAAATTCGTCCCCCCGCTCTTTCACCCTAACGTCTACCCCTCCGGCACCGTCTGCCTTTCGATACTGAACGAAGAGGAAGCATGGAAACCCGCCATTACGATCAAGCAAATTCTTCTGGGTATCCAAGATCTATTGGACGATCCGAACCCTGAGTCGCCGGCCCAAGCTGAAGCATACAATCTGTTTAAGAAAGATCGGCCGGCATATGAGAGGCGTGTCAAACAGGTGGTCAGAGAAAACCCGGCACTTTGAGTGATTTGCTTGCGCACATTGGGTAAATTTATTGTTCACACCAGCCGAAATTACAATCCAGTGCAGTTTGTCGCGGTACCCCAGACACTTGGTTCACGCGCTGGTAGAGGTTCCTGCGCTTCTCTCACTAATGTTGCAATGGTCAGAATGCTGCTGACATTGTATCCTTGCTTCCAAATGAAGTGACAAAAACTTCCACAGAAGGATCCGTGGTGAGTCATCTTGAATAATGTTCAAGTCCGCGGACTTTCGCAGCCTAAGGTTACACGGCATCTTATGTCCCCCGAAACGTTTTGCATGTTATCTCTCTTTTACTTGCTGGCCGGATCTTCTCATGTATTCACCGATATTGACCCGTCTCTGATTTCTAGCGACAAGCATAGCGTATTCTAGTTGACAAAACCGCAGTGGCTCTGCATGGCGTTATGGAGAGTGAGATCTTAGGCCGAGGGCATCGGGTTGGTGTTCTCCGTTCGTGTTTCTTGGCATACATTCTAGATTGCAACCGATTTAGTCCATGCAAGCAGCACAGAGGTAAACATTAGCAACCTACCCCTACTTAGGACAGGCATACAATACTAAGTAGTATATTACTGCATCGCATTATAGACTTCCCCATATATGATGTATCGGCTATCAAGCGAGTACTACAGTTGTGGACACCACGACCTCCAGTGACCTTCCAGTGCGCCGGGGAGGAAGGTCCGACGGCCGAGAAGGATGCGCGGTTATCTTATCGGGTGAGTCAGTCCAATTACTTTTGGCCGAAATCGCCCCTCAATTCCGCCCCGCCGGGAACGGGCTTACTCGGTCTCATATTTTAAATTCATCTGCTTCCTCTTCCTCCCCCAGACGGATTTTCCAAACGCTTGGTCAATTGCTTCCCGGGTTTTCTGCTGTCCGATTGTTCAAGTGACTGCTCAATTGGTTGTCGCCCAGCATGTGTGGTATCTTCGCGTGTCATCAGTACGTCTTTTTCTCGTCACTCTCGTCCTCCATTTTTCTCGAACCGCTACATTGCTCGGGCTCGAGTCGATCGCTAACCATTGCCACACAGTCACCCCGATGTGCAAGCATTCAAGCCCACGGCCCTGCGCATGGCCAAGGCGTAAGTCATCGCTCTCATATCGGTCACCTTTGATATTTTCCTTGCTGATTGCCGCTTTCTAGCTTGCGCCATCGTGGTCCCGATTGGAGTGAGTCATAGTGCTTACGGGAGCGGCGGAGAGTAGCATTTCTGACCCATGAACAGGCGGAAGCTTCATCTCTGAGAACACCAGTGAGTCGAGTACACCCGTGTTATTTCACTTGCAAATACTGATTGACATATAGTCCTCACACACGAGCGTTTGTGTATCGTCGGTGTCGGTATGTGCTTCGTTGCCCACACTTCAGGCGTTCGAAAACCACCTAACAAGAATCTTTCCTCAAGACTCCGGCGCTCAGCCTCTCGTGAATGATGATGGCTCTCTCGCTCTGGCTGTCAACGGCGAGATCTACAACCACCGCATCCTGAGAAAGCACCTCAAGGCCGACTACCAGTTCAAGACACACTCTGACTGTGAAGTTGTAATCCCGCTGGTGAGTGTGACGAAATCTGGAAGACTTGTTCCATCTCATAACAGAAGCTGATGAATGACCAGTACATGGAATACGGACTGGATGCCCCCAAGCACCTCGACGGCATGTTCTCGTGGGTGCTCTATGACAAAAAGCAAGACAGGGTTGTCGCTGCACGTGACCCCATTGGAATTACCAGCTTCTATATTGGCTGGTCCTCCCAGACTCCCGGTGCTGTTTACTTCGCCTCTGAGTTGAAGTCTCTGCACCCCGTCTGTGACAAGATTCAGGCTTTCCCCCCTGGCCATGTCTTTGACTCCAAGACCGGCGAGTTCACCCGCTACTTCCAGCCCAAGTGGTGGGACGCCACCAATGTCCCCTCCGCTCCTATTGACTACAAGGTCATTCGCAACTCGTTGGAGAAGTCTGTGCGCAAGCGTCTGATGGCTGAAGTTCCATATGGTGTTCTTCTGTCTGGTGGCCTTGATTCCAGCTTGGTTGCCTCCATTGCTCAGCGTGAGACTTTGCGCATGCAGGAGGTTGCTCGCAGTGCTCAGGCGCAGGGAATCTCATCCGACTTGGTTGGTATCGATGACGAGAACGACCTCTCCACTGTCACTACCTTCCAACAACTGCACTCTTTCTCCATTGGTCTTCCTGGTGCCCCTGACACTCAGGCTGCTCTGGAGGTTGCCAAGTTCCTTGGAACCAAGCACCACGCCTTCACCTTCACCGTTGAGGACGGCCTCAACGCGCTCTCTGATGTCATTTATCACCTCGAAACCTACGATGTCACCACCATCCGTGCTTCCACCCCCATGTATCTGTTGAGCCGCAAGATCAAGGCCATGGGAGTCAAGATGGTTCTTAGTGGAGAGGGCAGTGATGAAATCTTCGGTGGATACCTGTACTTCCACGCCGCTCCCAACAAGGAGGAATTCCACAAGGAGACTGTCAGACGTGTGAAGAACCTTCACCTAGCTGACTGCCTTAGAGCTAACAAGTCTACCTCCGCCTGGGGCTTGGAGGCACGTGTGCCTTTCCTCGACAAGGAGTTCCTCGAGACTTGCATGGGCGTTGATCCTGCTGAGAAGATGATTACCAAGGAGCGCATTGAGAAGTACATTCTGCGCAAGGCTTTCGATACCACCGACGAGCCCGATGTCAAGCCTTACCTACCTGATAACATTCTGTGGCGCCAGAAGGAGCAATTCAGCGACGGTGTCGGTTACAGCTGGATTGATGGCCTCAAGGATCAGGCGGAGGTGCAGATCACCGATGAGATGATGAAAAACCCCAAGCCTGAGTGGGGAGATGATATCCCCGACACCAAGGAAGCGTATGTGATGCTATGTTTATATTCTGTGTCAGCATCAAAGTGTTGTGAGCTGTGAGCTAACTTTCGAATCCAGGTACTGGTACCGCATGATGTTCGATGAACACTTCCCCCCCACTTGTGCGGGCACTGTCGAACGTTGGGTACCCACATGGTCCAAGCAGACCGACCCTAGTGGAAGGTAAGCAAATGCTGTTGAATCCAAAATGAAAGGTCATGCTTGCTAATAGTGATTGTGTCTCCAGAGCCATTTCCACCCACAACGCCAAGTATGACAACGCTGTTTAAACGAGTTTTTATGCGATCCCAAGTAATCTGCGCGGGCCCTCAACACTTTTGGGTATAGAAGCATGCATGGGTGGTTTTATCCTAGAGTCAGGCATTGGGACGCAAAAGTAAGACTTGCCTTATTTATCATCTCATCTCACAAACTGGGTTAAGGATGGTCTGGGGTTGTAGCGTCAATATCCCCAATGTATTCTACTTTTTGGATAGAGTGCAAGGAGTTTGATGGAGTGTATGTTATAATGTTTCGTGATGTAGACTGTCATGGGATTGAATAGACGATAATTCAAGTAGAAATGCAGATGAGAGTGATGCCGGTCAAACGATCGCTGGTATCCCTTTCACCGTAATCCGTAATCACAGCCGAGGCAACAATGACGACTCCGCCAACTGCGGAGTAAAGTAACTATTGATTGCGCCAACTCAGCTTGCAGGGAAGGGAACAGAAGCACGGCCCCAGGCATCAACATCACGAGACTTAGCGGCTTTTACCGGTGCCCAAGCATCCACCAATCACAGAGAAGACTTCTTCCCGTGGCTTCCCCATTGTTTGTCCGCTTTGGCAACTCAACCTCGACCTCTTCCTGCCCTGTTTCCCCATCGTTTCCCTTTCCCTTCCCTTCTCCCCTCGTCACCTCATTCTCTGCCGTCCATTACCTCCCACCACCAAGACCTTCTACTCCTCCACTCACCTTTTCCATTCACAATGTCTGCTCCTGCTGCTTTCTCCGACATTGCCAAGGCGGCCAACGATGTACGCTGTCCTCATCAGTCGTTCTGAAATTTAACACTCTGGACGACAGGAGTTCCAGGAAGGGATTTTCGTGCTAATAACCAGCGCAATAGCTCCTTAACAAGGACTTCTACCACGCCAGTGCCGGTAAGTTTACCACTACCTTCCGCGCTCCTTCGATGACGCGGTCAACCTTTGCTGGCGCGCACTCCTGCTGACACTATCCAGCCAGCCTTGAGGTCAAGTCCAAGGCCCCCAATGGCGTCACCTTCAACGTGAAGGGCAAGTCTGCCCACGAGGGTCCCATTGCTGGCTCCGTAAGTGTGACTCGGATTACCATGAAGCGCATTGCTTGGATGCTAACCACCATCCTTTCAATAGCTCGAGGCCAAGTACGTCGACAAGCCTACTGGTAAAGGCCCCAAATCGCGCAGAATTTCACGCGAACATCCCTTGCGCAAACCTCCCGACCCTCCACCTCAAAAAGTGCCCGAGCACAGGCTCATGCTCATGTTCGCGTGTGGCTATGTCCCGTCCGAGCACCTCTTCATCCAAGTCATGTCAAAGATTTCCCAGCATGCGGTAGTGCTAATGTTCCGTCCTCGTTCAGGCCTCACCCTTACCCAGGCATGGACCACTGCCAACGCCCTCGACACCAAGCTCGAGCTCGACAACAACATCGCCAAGGGCCTCAAGGCTGAGATCCTCACCCAATACCAGCCCGCCAAGCAGTCCAAGGGCGCTAAGCTCAACCTCCACTTCAAGCAGCCCAATCTCCACGCCCGTGCCTTCTTCGACCTCCTCAACGGTCCCTCCGCCAACTTCGACGCTGTTCTCGGCCACGAGGGCTTCCTTGTTGGTGCTGAGGGTGGCTACGATGTCCAGAAGGCTGCCATCACCAAGTACTCTGCTGCCGTCGGCTACAGCGTTCCCCAGTACTCTGCTGCCATCACCGCTGGCAACAACCTGACCGTTTTCTCTGCTAGCTACTACCACCGCGTTAACGAGCAGGTTGAGGCTGGTGCCAAGGCCACCTGGGACTCCAAGACCGGTAACTCCGTCGGCCTCGAGGTCGCCAGCAAGTACCGCCTTGACCCCTCTTCCTTCGCTAAGGTATGTGTCTGATTTGCCTGTCAAGCGTGACAAGGTCTAACTTGTTCGAACACAATTATAGGCCAAGATCAACGACCGTGGTGTTGCCGCTCTGGCCTACAACGTTCTCCTCCGCCCTGGTGTCACTCTTGGCCTTGGTGCTTCTTTTGATACCCAGAACCTGAACCAGGCTGCCCACAAGGTTGGCGCCAGCTTCACCTTTGAGGCTTAGATGAGCTACCATAGTCAGCATCTGTCCCCAGCCAGCGTCTAGTGCATACGACTTTTAGCCAGGTACATTGATTTGGAAGCTATTCGAGAGTAGAAACTTGATTGTCTTCTTCTGGTCTCTGGATGGGCTGTTGGGTTGCGCAGGGTTGGTCTTGTGTGTGGATGTGAGTGTTATGGATGTCTAGTTAATAATCATGTATCGTACCTATCGACGATAAGTGTATATCAAGTCTACAATTCCCTTTGTTCATTAATGTACATGCTTCAAGATATCATTTAATCCAGCCTGCTGAATGGTACCCATCCCAACATAGATACTGTAACCGCCGAACTCCGAGACCATGTCAATCTATCTGGCCGAACCCTTCCAATGCCAACCGAGCTCAACAGGGTCACGTACTCAAAAACAGATACCAGGACCAACCTGTAAAGACACAAGTGTTCATGAAATCAACTGATCCTTTTGTTTTCTCGCTTTTTCACCCGGCCATTGAACAAATCCCGCCACTGTTGCCGCCCCAGCCAAGATCCCACACACGGCGGCAAATCGCATGGCGGCCGCCCAGGGGCTCCCAAGGTACTGATTATTCAGGGCAGCGTGCGTGGCTCGCTCTTTCCGCTCTTTCCGTCGCATATCCTCGGCGGTCTGAGTTTTGTAGTGGCCCCGCGCATTGAAATGATGAACCGTGTTCCTATCGATAAAAGAAGTCGGATCGTCGTCACTTTTCGGGTTGGTGTTCTGGCCAGCAGCACTACCACCACCTCCACTCTTAGCAGACCCCGGCCCCGGGTTCGTCCTCCCCGTGCGCCCATACCCGCCATTTGCGTAGAAACTCGGCGGCGGGCCTCTAAACGTCCCACGGCGGTTACTCAACCCACTGGCGGGTCGGGAGCCGGCGTAGGATGCCCCCTTCGTGTGGAGGTTCGCGCCGTGACTGCTGTAGCTGCCCATGGGGTGCTGGCCGGCGGTTGCGGTGGAATGGGTGTTCTGGTACTGAGCGTAGATGCCATGGTCGCGGTCATAGGCGGCGCGTTTGTTCGGGTGGCTGAGGACGTTGTAGGCGGAGGAGATGCGGGCGAAGCGGGAGGAGGCGGTGGGGTCATCACGGTTGCGGTCGGGATGGTGGCGCATAGAAAGGGTGTAGAATTTCCTGTGTTTGACGACGGAGGAGGGGTGAAGGTCAGTTCGTCTGATTCGTGCCGTGTGAGAGAAAAAGGGGGATCTGGGAGCAGAAAGGTAGCGTGAGGATAGACGTACTTTTTGATTTCGCCCTGGGAGGCGGTTATTGGGACGTCGAGGACCTCGTAGTAGTTTGGTTCGCGGGCGGACGCGAGATCGCGGGATTTGGTTGAGAAGAAAGTAGTTTGTGTTTTTGAGAAGATATGTCTTGGTGGAGGTGGGGACGAGCGCGAATGAGTGTGGAACGTGTGTATGTCAGTCAATGTCAGAGCTGGACCTGGGCGAAGATGAGGAGGATTAGAGCATTGACGTTTAGTGGCGGAGGCAATGGAATAGGATGCAGTCCTCAGGCAGGGGAGTGACATTTCCCGAAGCTATAGCTGAGAACCTATAATATTGGTGGTGTGAGTTACAAATATCTGGCAAGCAAGACCAATCAAGGACAGTGAGGATTCGAGAATGAGAAGAAACAGTAGGGGTAGGAGGTGGTTGAGGAACGAAAATCCGTCGTTCTACGGAGGCGGGCCTGCGTCATCGGGTGGCTTATCTGATCGAGGCTAGATCAGCCTGATCAGGTATACTATGTGTAATAAGTTAGTACGAAGTACTCCATAGTAAAAAACTACTCCGTCCTATGGTAAGGCTGGGCTCAAGCACACACGACCGGGTTCTCTTCTCTGCGTCAGGGCTGGCGCTACTGCACGGCTGCTAGGATGCTATATTTCAATTGAGCTAAAGCTTGGATCCCGATCTTTATGGACTTCGCTGCGCGGGAGTGTAGGAAGACCTCTGCTAAACCTGAGGGAAATCTTAGTTTGCTGATGGTTTCAGACTCCGTACTCTAAATAGTATCATTAAGCATGATGGCGAATAGTGTCTCAATATGTTTCCTCGTTGCTGGGAGTGGATGACTGCGATGTCCAGCACTTAACTGGGAATTAGTCTCCATTGACTACTCAAGATATTTCTGAGCTGCTTATTTATGTCTTTGCGCTGGAACTACTCGATCATCGCACATTGCATTCCCAGTGTCAGTGTTCCTAGTTTCACTGATCATGTGTAGAAACTGATAATTATGGCTCATTCGCCAATTGGTGTTGTCGCCGAATCGCATTCAATCTTCGGTCTTGGCACCGACCGTCTTTTCCCCGTCGCCTCCGCCGGACTTCCATTTCCCCTCCTTTTTTCTATCCTTTCTTTTCACTCATACCATACCCGGTTTCTCTCCAGCTTTTTCAACATGGCTGCCCAGGCTAGTGAAAAGCTGCAGAAGCTCGACCGTAAGTGACGTGCCCACTTATTCCTGGTCCCTGGCCCCTTGGTTCGACATGTGACTGATAAGATTTCCCGCGCCATTAGTCAACGGTCAGAGCGGCGATGCAAAGGTCGACGCTCCCGCCGCTGGTCAGGCTGGAACCGGAGATGCGGAGGATGATTCCGACGACGATGAAGTAGAGGATAACGCTGGCGTTGAAGGTGCAGCCAATGGAGGTATGACCTGCATGCTTATTCACAGACTACATACACCACGATTCAGGATTAACATGGCGTTTCTCGATTGCAGCCGCCAAGAAAAAGAAGAAGCGCAAGTCCAAGAAGAAGAAGAAGGGCGGTCCCAAGGTCCAGAGCTCTCCTCCGCGCGTCCCGATCTCGACCTTGTTCCCGAACAGCCAGTTTCCCGAAGGAGAAATCGTTGAGTATCAAAATGAAAACTCTTACCGGACTACCAACGAGGAGAAGCGTTATCTCGACCGCATGAACAATGACTTCCTGCAGGAGTACCGTCAGGGCGCTGAGGTGCACCGCCAGGTCCGTCAATATGCACAGAAGAACATCAAGCCCGGCCAGACCTTGACAGAAATCGCTGAGGGTATTGAGGACGCTGTCCGTGCTCTTACTGGCCACCAGGGCTTGGAGGAGGGTGACAACCTTAAGGGTGGTATGGGTTTCCCCTGTGGTTTGAGTATCAACCACTGTGCCGCCCACTACACGCCCAATGCAGGCAACAAGATGGTTTTGCAACAGGGCGATGTCATGAAGGTCGATTTCGGAGCCCACATCAACGGACGCATTGTTGATAGTGCCTTTACCGTTGCCTTCGATCCTGTCTATGACCCTCTATTGGCTGCCGTCAAGGACGCCACCAACACTGGTATCCGGGTATGGTTTCCGTATATACATTTTTCCTTGTCCACCATGAACTAATCGGCTGTGGAAACTTCAGGAAGCTGGTATTGATGTCCGCATGAGCGATATTGGTGCAGCCATCCAGGAAGTCATGGAGAGTTACGAGTGCGAAATCAACGGAACTGTGCACCCCGTTAAATGCATTCGAAACCTGAACGGTCACAACATTGACCAGCACATCATCCACGGTGGAAAGAGTGTTCCCATCGTGAAGGGCGGAGATCAGACCAAGATGGAGGAGGGTGAAGTCTTCGCCATCGAGACCTTCGGTAGTACCGGAAAGGGCTATGTGCACGAGGATGTGAGTGCTGAGTGTTCAGGTCAATCCATTCGCTTACTGACGGCCTATGCTTAGATGGAAACCTCCCATTATGCGCTGGTTCCGAACGCTACTCCGGTGCCTTTACGTCTCTCTTCCGCAAAGAATCTGTTGAACGTTATCAACAAAAATTTTGGAACTCTTCCCTTCTGCCGTCGATATCTCGACCGGTTGGGTCAAGACAAGTATCTCCTTGGGGTAGGCGCAGAGCAGCTTCCATGTAGGCCTCGTGCTAACAAAGATCTACAGTTGAACAACCTGGTGCAGTCAGGCATTGTACAGGACTACCCTCCCCTCTGCGATATCAAGGGCTCTTATACTGCCCAGTACGAACACGTATGTCTCCGGTTCAGTATTTATCGACTCTATTTCCCGCACGCTAACCTTATCATAGACCATTGTTCTCAGACCTACCGTAAAGGAGGTAATTAGTCGTGGAGACGACTATTAAAGAAATGCAGGTTTGCACGCCTACAAGTCTGGGAGAGCATGCAACATACTTGCTCAATCTAGCATTGATAAGATTCTCAGAACAGGATTTTGTAGGAGAAAAAAATGAACAGCATCGGCATTTTTAGGGTCACGATTGGCCCATCTTCACTCAATTGAGCGCTGTATTTGTTAAACAAAATGAATCAAACCATACTGTAGTCAACATGCGGGTAGCCCCACGTGGAAAGCGTGTGCTCCGAGCCTCTCAGCTTCCTGCTTAATCAGATCACTTTTGTTTCCACCTTGCCCTCTCGCCTCATCTCCTTACTTCCTTGTCTATTCTTCTTATCCATGGCGTCGACTTGCCATTAGACCAGCCTTTCATTCCACCGTCAATTGTTGCTCTCTTCAGTATGTCCTCCTCCGTTATTGAAGCTGCCGCCGCAGCTGGAACTTCGCCGCATCTCCGCGTGTCTGCGATCAAGAGTCAGGATGCCCAGAACATAACACAAGGCGACCAGCTCTCCGCCAGAATCGCCCCTCCGGAGAAATCTGCCGTTGAGGACCATTTTTTCTGGACTTACACGGAGGAGCCTCATCGATCCAGGCGCCTGGCTATTATCAAAGCTCATCCGGAGGTGCGTCGTACCTATTCCCACGGCCTCAACCGTGTCTTCTATCCCCGTCGACCAGTCCATCATTAACAGCTCTCGATCCTTTGTAGGTAACCAAGCTCTGTGGACCAGAGCCCCTGACCAAATATGTCGTTCTGGGTGTCGTCTTTCTTCAGATCCTTTGCGCCTACCTCCTCCGCAATACCTCCATGCTGTCCTGGAAATTTCTCGCAACCGCATACGTAATTGGGGCCACTTCAAACCAAAACCTCTTCCTTGCAATTCATGAGATCTCCCACAACCTTGCCTTCCGGTCCGCCATGGCCAACCGACTACTGGCCATATTTGCCAACCTTCCAATTGGCTTGCCCTACAGTGCCGCCTTCCGGGTATGTCGCTACAAAGAAATCTCGCACGCTCAAGCGCTCGCTGCGGAGACGTGGCGACCCACTGCAGAAATGCTGACTCCATCCTGGACCACATAGCCTTACCACCTCACCCATCATAAGTCTCTCGGTGTGAGCGGGCTGGATACCGACCTCCCTACCGCCGTCGAAGCCTTCTTCCTTGATTCGCTCCTAGGCAAGGCATTCTTTTGCACATTCCAAATCTTTTTCTATGCCGTCCGGCCTATGTTCATCTATAGCCCTCCCTTCACACACATCCACCTTCTGAACCTCGCTGTCCAGCTCTCCTTCGACTATTCTCTCATTCAATTCTGCGGTGGTTCAATCCAGCCCGTCCTCTACCTTCTCATGAGCTCGTTTCTCGCTGGCTCCCTCCACCCTTGCGCCGGCCACTTCATCGCGGAACATTACTTCTTCTCTCAGGTTTCACACGGTACCGAGTCTCTTCAAGAGCTTAAGAACAGTAAAGAGGACCCCGCCAAACTGGTTCCGCATCCGCTCGACTCTCTTCCCCCGCCTGAAACTTACTCCTATTATGGGCCCCTAAACTTCTTTACATACAATGTCGGACTGCACAATGAGCACCATGATTTCCCCGCTATACCCTGGACCAGGCTTCATGAACTCCATCGCATCGCCAAAGAGTTCTATGAGCCACTACCCTGCCACCATAGCTGGGTGTGGGTGATCTGGACCTTCATCCTGGATAAGAACGTCGGCATGTGGTGTCGCGTCAAGAGAGCACAGGGCGGTCGTCTTGTGGGTGGAGGCGGCAATGGTCGTGGTGGAGAGGGAATTTCGGCTTCCTCGTCGGCTGGTCCGCAGGAACCCGAAAATGGGTGGAAGGAAAGCGAGATCCAAAACTGATTTGCTCGCATTATCGACCTCATTACGTTACTGTATACGGTGTTTTTTGATTGACGACCCCACATCCAGCCTTGGGAAGTGTACTACTATCCAGATACTATGCTTGCAACTAGACACGACATATATCTTTCGCCCGGTCTTCAGTTTTGAGTTCCTCCTTCTATCACAGACTGGTTTGCGCGGCTCCGAGTTATGTAACCGAACAAGATGGAGATTCGCAATGTTTGATTGGTAGCCCGATCGTCATCTAGCCAGAATATATTGATGAACCGTCTAAAAAGCCATCCGCAGTTGAGGAATGAGTTCATTATCATGGGACTAGCAGCTATTGGAACAATACCGGAGACAGTATGAGAAAAATGGGGGCTGACTCCCAGCATGGGTTTATGGACATTAGTGGTGTATCATCATCGTAAATAGTTCATTGGGTTTCACTGCCTGAATGAAGAAGGGGCGTGAAGACCGTCTAGAACAAGTTCTTGCTCATCGAACAAGATCCGGACACAATGACAAGGGACGAGAAGAAAAGCATTGTTGTTGCATTGAGTCGAAGGCGACAAAATCAAGAACCAACAAACTCAGATTCAGGATGGCTTCCGACATGACAGCGCGTGAAGTATGTGGTACTGGACTGTCCCACTGTGGAATATGTCATCAGTGTCTAGGCTTCACGAAGCATAGCTTGATTTCCCCACGACATTAGATGATGGAACATCGGGTTTCCATGTCTGAACATGTCTGACTGGAACGAAAATTCTGCCTCCATTTACATCGTATCATCAAATGTGGAGTGGACAATTAACAAGTTAAGGACAAGACAAAAGGGTGATCAAATCGCAGAAAGCGGCAAGGAAACCGGGCCGAATAAGTACGACCATGGAGAATAAAGGGCCGTCAAACAGAAAAGAAAAATAAAGCACCGTACCACTGCTGTTGCTGTTGATGTAGTAGAGCAAGGGAATTGACCGAAGGGGATACAGTTGGTGTGTAAAGAAATATAATGAGAAAAAAGGGTCACAGGAAAGGGAAATCAAAAGAGTGGTCACAAGGTGGGATTGAATCAAGACGATCAAAAGAAAAAGTACGCGATCAAGAAGCTTAGCAGGCATAGACCAGCCACCATCTGCACAGGCACACCAGCCTCCACGGACTGTGGTTGCTGTTGCGCCAATGACGCAGGCGCCTTCTCGACTTCGGCTCCGATCTTTCGCTGTCTCAAACCCTGGTCTGCCAACTTCTCCTTCAATGCTGAGATTTGCGAGTTGGCTTCGGACAATTGGGCTCTCAAATCTTCGCTAGTTTCAACGGGTGACTTTGACGACGTGGCCGAGCTTCCGATAGTCTGAGGGCTAGAAACCTCCCGCATGGTCTTGTCGCTGAAATCTGGCGGTGGGATGGGTGACGTGTCATTGGCGCTCTTCGTAAGCGCAGCAGCCGGAGTCTGGTAGTTGGGGTTCGGAGAAGTGTAGGAAGGAGGCTCTTCATCCGGTACATTCTGTGAAAAGTAATCAGTCACCGGAATGAGGAATGAGGAAAGTAAGGGGCTGAAATGACAACTTACGCCAGTCGGCTCGACTCCTTGTTCCTCGGCTGGGGTATCCTCGGCGGCCAGCCAGTTCACACGAATTTTGCGCTCTTGGAGTGCTGTCTTGGGGGCCTTCTCAAACTATCAAATACCGTTAGGTAACGCTCCGCACTGGACTTGACGGCCCGGGTGAAATGTGCAAGACTAACAATCGAGGTAACATTCGCGAACTCCATATCACGAGTGACCGCGACAGTCTGAACGAGGAACTTGTCCTTGCACTTGGCATCGAGCGCAGGCTCCTCCTTCATGGCCTGCAACAGAACTATTTGACTGGTCAGAGGTCAAGCCGAGCATATGAAGGCAGTGAAAACCCCCGAGAGACTGACCTTGCACATCGACATGTTTGCCAGGGTCTATCCGGCCCGAGTTGGGACGTACACAGTAGCTTGTCTCAGTCAGTTGTAATTCGAACTTCTCGGTTACTCAGGGGTGCTGAGCAGCAGTGGCCACGTACTGCTTAGGGGCGGTGGTTTTGACCTAGTGTACGGGAGCTTGTTAGATGCCTTGCTCAAATCATCTACCATGTCTGCTTCTTACACGTACCTTAAACACAACAGGCTCCGCACTTTCGTTCTTCAAATGTAACATCTGGCACACCTCACGGTTGAAGGGGCCTGGAACTGGTGAGCGGGGTGATCCATCGGCTGTATAGATGCTCGACCAGAGGAAAGGGAAGATCGCTCACGCTGAAAGCCCAGCTCCGGGGGATCGAGAATGATAGACATAGCGAATGCGCGGTGCAGAGGTAGTCGACCGGGAAGGAAGAGGGCGTGCGGATAAAGGGTGGTGTAGGTACCAAGGAACGGCTCGGGAGTCTTAGAGAGCGCTAGAGGCTCAAAGAGAATCAGCAGGGTCAAAGGTTTGACAGCAGCGTAGAGAGACAGTGGGGAACGCTACCTGACAAAATCAAGAGAAGAATAGATAGCTGAACAAGATGGCCACAGAGAGGAACCTCGAGCCAACCGCAGACGAATATATGTTTAGGCGCAATTGGAATCGGGAGGGGGAGAAGATAGGAAGAAGAGACGGAGACATGAATAATGATGGAATGAGTTGGACTCCGGCGTCGCGACTGCTGGTTGGGCCGGGGTTAGCTGACTCAGCACGACCATGGGAGTTCAGGTCAGGTGATGTCATCAGGGCGGTTTGACATGTTGTTTCAGGCAATCGTGGCCATTATTTGACAAGTACCTGCATTCCTGGGCAGAGAGATGGTGACGAAGGTACAGTACAGTCGTACTTGAACATGGTGCTGAGATGGTTGCTGCTTGCTCATGGCCGTTGCGATCGGACATTTTTGAGAGATCTACCGGCTCCATCAGTTATCGGACACGCCTGTCTGGATCCATACTCCATAACTATGGATTATTCCGTAGATTTGGGATCCACAGCCCAGTGACGTCTAAAAATACTTCTCTACTGATTGACATTCTCCTCACAGTATGGACATGAGTATTCCCAAGTCACAACTCCTCGATTATCCACCAGAGGTCACCAATGTCTTTACATGCTTCATTGACCTCTCATGGTCTCGTAAAGAACAATCCAGACCTCTGCAAGCCACGGGACCTTTACCTTAGTTCGTCAGTCATGATCTCTGGAATGCGCGGTCTCACTTCGCTACCTTTATGGCTCCAAGGGCTTCGTAAATCTCAAAGGGCAGGTGGTCTCATGATGACAATCTGTTATGCACACCGATGTTTTGAGTCTGTCAGGAAGCATCACCATTGGTCTCGGGCGACTCACCGCTACGCTACACGTCGAGCAGAAAGAACACTCGACGAAGGTAACTACCATCGGCAACAACGTGTACAGTACTTACGCGGCTCAGGCGCAGCTGGTGCGAAGGAGCTTCACGCTCCTGTTATGCAGATTCATGAGGTAAAGCTGTGTGAGATGAATACAGAAAAGGCAAAACAAAGGAGCCTAAGGCCTCAGCTTGACACAAGGGGATGGATCTGTGATCTACTGAGTAAGGCGATAATTATGGTCATTACTGTAACTACCTAGTAGTTAACTAACTAGTTAGTTCGTGGTAACTGCTGAATAATTGATGAGACTTTGTCTGTGTACACCGTACTTGAGGCAAACGATCCTAGAAGGTTGACCGTCAGCGTATGGACCCCCTTGTAAGCTCAAATAGTATGAGACTCTCTCTTCACGGCTCAACTCTATGTGTCAATCTCATGGCTGCTGCGAAGACTTGCGGATGCATCGAGAGGCCCAGACCGTTGGGGTGCAAGAGGAACCCAAGCTTAGCTGGCGGGTCATCCCGCGCTTGATTGATTGTTCCTCCGCTCCGCTCGCGAGCTTTGTCGATACGTCACCCGCTGCCTGTGCTCCATGTTGACCTTTCCAGCCTCATCCACTCCACCATCGAACCACTCACCATAACTCTAACTACTGAATTAGAAAGGCGGTGCTACATACCAGTCGGTCACTTTTCTCACCCTACACGCTCCAGCTTCGGCTTCGTTACCTCGCTTCTGGGTCCGCCCACTTGTTTGATCTCAGATCGATCGCTTAATTGAGCAATCATTGCTCCTACCGTGCGCAACAATGGCGTCCTCCGACCTAGATCAGCTCATCGAGATGGGCTTTGATAAGGAACGAGCACAGCTGGCGGTAGCCAAAGGCAACGGAAGTACGGTTCTTCTCTAGTCTTTGCGATCGCTGAATACTGACGTTCTTCCTTTTTCACAAACGCAGTACAAGGGGCTTTAGAGTGGCTCGAGCGGAACCAGGACAAATCGCTCGATGAGATAAAGGAAGAAAATGAGGCTGAGGGTCCTGCAAATGCGCCTGATGAAGAGGCTCGTAGTCTGGTCTGCAATGAGTGTGGCAAGAAGTTCCGGGGCCACGCCCAAGCTGAATTTCACGCATCCAAATCTCAACATACCGACTTCTCTGAGTCGACAGAGGAGATCGCGCCACTGACCGATGAGCAAAGACAAGCCAGGCTTCAGGAGCTGAGGGAGAAACTTGCCGCCAAGCGGGCGGTGCAATCTGAGCAGGACAAGGTTGATCAGAAGAGGAATGAGGTACGCTAACTACCGTTGCAGCTGACTACTTGTACCATACTCACTCACCATATCACCAGGAAATCCGGAGGAAAGCCAACAAAGATTCACAAGATGTCAAGGAGGAGCTGGAGAGGAAACAGAGATTGAAGGAAGCGGAGCAAAAGAAGAAGGATAAGCTGGCAGATATTGAAGCGAAACAGCGGGTCAAGGCTAGGATCGAAGCGGACAAGCAAGAGCGACGACTCCGAGCCGAGCGAGAGAAAGCCGAGCGAGCTGGCGTAGCGCCTCCTGCACAAGCAGTCCCAGTCCCAGCGGCGACGACATCTGGCCCGGTAGCCTCGAAGCCTGCATCAGCTTATACGGAGACCCGTCTGCGGTTCCAAACGCCCAAGGGCAACGTCATGAAGACTCTCCCAGTAACCACCACCCTATTCGAAGTTGCCGCAGCCCTCAAGCAGGAAGACGGCATTGAAGTGCAGAGCTTCGTCCAGAACTTTCCTCGGAAAGTATTCAATGCGGAATTCTTTGGTGAATCCTTGAAGGATTTGGGGCTTATACCGAGCGCGAGTCTTGTGATTCAGTGAACTCGATTGTTGTTATACTGGTTTAACCTTGCCTACCCTCTATGATTTTCTATAGAAAGTACATTGAAGGAGATAGCGACAACAATCAAGATATTAATAAGAGCAAAGGGACAGGACTACGGTTGCATTGGAGATACGGAGGTACAAGAGTTGAAGGTTGCCTGATTCCGCCTGCCTTCATCGATAATTGACTCATTTTTCCTCGCTTAAGTCCACGTCGATGACATTAAGGGTCATCATACATTTCAACCAACCTCCTTGGTTCAGTCATATAAGCATATAGCCCACTGACGATCGTACTATTGAATGAAATCATTTGTGTGAATTGACAACTTCCATCGCCATCCTGAGCGTCGATTACCGTCACGTGAGATCGCGATAAAGCCGTGTCGGCTGCCGTCGCGCCTCAACACGTCCCGAGGGGTCTAACATCATCTGTCGACCTCGCAATCATAGACTTATATGGTGGTCGTTGCTCAATGACATATTGGAGCCGGGAATCTACAAGGACATAAAATTTGCTATGCCCGCGTAAGTTTTTCTTGTGCCTTTCAACCCCAAATGAAGCCAGCATTGACCGACCGCGCACGTCTTTAGTGTTGGCGACCAGCACCGGGGCGGCCCAGCGTCCATCACGATGCCCAATTCAAGCGGGGGTCTCTCCGCCAACCCATTCGAAGAACCACAACGTCGCATCAGCGAATACACCGCACAGGAGATCGCGACATTGCAAGCACGTCTCGATAAGAAATTAGGGCCCGAATACATCTCATCTAGACCGGGTGCTTCGGGACAGCGCGTACACTATCTATCGGCTGATAAGTGTATCAACCTTGCAAACGAGGTGTTTGGCTTCAACGGGTGGTCGAGCTCGATCCAGAACATTCAGATTGACTTTGTATGGCTTCTTTCTGGTTTCCTCTCCGGCTGCTGCGCGGTCTTGGGTCAGATACTGATAAAGCTCGGATTGTTAAGGTCGAAGAAAGTCAGCATACCGGCAAAATCAGCCTTGGTCTGTCTGTGATAGTCAGGGTTACTTTGAGAGATGGCACATATCACGAGGTACGCGCATTGGACTGAAGATGCGTCGGCCAGACAATAGCTGCTAACGCAGTAGATGAACACTAGGACATTGGGTACGGCCACATTGAGAACTGCAAGGGAAAGGCAGCTGCGTTCGAGAAGGCAAAGAAAGAAGGAACCACAGATGCGCTGAAGCGTGCATTACGAAACTTTGGCAATGTGCTGGGCAACTGTATCTACGACAAGGACTATGTTTCGAAAGTCACCAAAGTGAAAGCTGCCCCCGTACGTGTGAAACCTTACGAAAGAACTCTCACGCCCACTGACTGCTTCCAATCAGGCACGATGGGACGTGGATGAGCTGCATCGCCACCCGGACTTTGTTCCAGTCAAGAAAGAACCCGCAAATCTCAAACCATTACCAGAGGACGATGATCTGCCGCCGCGTCCAGCGAGCATCGCACAACGGCCCAACTTCGACGATTCAATGGCTTTTGACGGCGACGGAGAGTTTGGAAGTACGCGGTGTTCTCGCACGTGCACTTAATCCCGAAGTGATCGCTAACCCTGTGTGTTAGGTGATCTTTTCGACGAAGCTGATTTCGGAGTCGGTGCAACGGGCAACCCAGACGAGGTGGTCCTAGGGCCCGAATCACAGCGGCCACAGCAACCGCCTACACCGCTTAACAATCATCAACGACCTTACGCTAATAACAATAACTACCGGGGACCGGCCAGACCTCACTCGGCTCTGGTAACGCCTTCCAAGCCACCAGCCCCTAAACAATACCCTACTCCACAGCCGTTCAATGGACACCCCAATGCCCCCGCAGCTGGCGATCAACAGAGGCCCGCGCCTACTCCGGGCCCCCGGCCAAACTTCCAGAATGGAAGAATGATCCCACCTCCAAATGTGCCCGCAGCCGCAGCCCCGGTAGCAACAGCAGCCGGGACTAACTATCAGATGTCTATTCCCATCAAACGTGAAGCCGGCGCGACAGGTACAACCGACTCCCTCCCACCGGGGACCCCGTCCGCCTCATTCTTCTCCGCGCGCGCCGTCGATCTCCTCCGAGACAATCCTCATGGCGGAATTCCCGCCGCGGCGCCGGTATTCGACCCGCATGCCGAAAGTCCTTCCATCCGCAAAACCGCCGGCTTCGATCACAGCACCAGCAAGCCCATCTCCAAACCCATGCTATCCGGGGGAGACAACGCATCGCCAGCTGCTGGCAGCACCGCCGTGCGTGACTTCATCAACCCCTCGCAGGACTTGCACCGGAAGATCGGCGCCCCCGGGGGCAATAATGTCGGCAGTCCCATGATGAACAGGGGTCCATCCACCTCATCCTACAGGCCTTTGACCCGTCCAAGCATTGATCCTCGGAATGCAGCGGCCACGGCTACTGCTGCGCCAAACCGTCCAGGGCCGCCCGGCGGAGGCAGCGGCGGTCCTCTTCCGGCTCAGAATGTCAACGGTAAACGGCCTCCCTTGTCGGATATGACGAATGCTCAGGCTTCAAGCGGCAGTGGGACTGCTCCAGTACCGGGGCCCGTGGATCCGAAGCGACCAAGGATGAACCAGAGTGGGGTGCCTCAAATACCACCTCAGCAGCAACCGCCACCTCAGCCCCAGCCCCAGAAGCAGTAGAAGTGGCCATGTTATTTATATACTCTATGGATCGAAAGAAGTTTCCTCATATTCATATTTCATCTTCGGACTAAGGGTCTTCATGGGGTCTGTTGGCGTTACAGGGACTAGGTATGGGAACGAAAATGAAATGACTGGTTCGATCAATAAGATCTGCTCGCTGGACGATTGAATTGATATTGGACCTACAAACACGTGTTTTTTTTTTTTTTTTCAACGAGCATGCGGGCTTTGCACATCTGTGAAGAAACAAGACATTCAAGGACTTGACGTAAGATGCGGCAGACTTAGAATAAAGGTGGCCTGCAGTACTCGCCGATTACACTCGTCCCGAAGGACTCAGAGCAGAGGATAACGTCATGTAATTGATCCCAGACGACTTCCAGTTCTGAGCTTGATGTTGAATCGAACGAGACTGACCTCATGTAGAAACGATGTCGTACTCGGGGTAGAGAGATGTTCAACTCAGAGGCTTGTCTAGCGCGGACGTTGCATACTTGGAGCCCTCCAATCCTCTCGAGGGCGCCTGGACTGCTGGAGGCTTATTCTGGAGCATCTTCGGTGCGTGAATGGACTTTTGTAATGCGGGGGAAGCGGCGGTTACGTCTGCCCGCAACAGAGCTGGTGATACTGGGCTCAGCCTGACTGGAGTAGTGGCGGGAGTGGTTGGACCGAATCGCCCAGCAAAGGACGGCACCACAACATCGCTAAGGACGGAGACGGAGTGCTCGCCTGTGTCGAGAGTCTGCGCTATCAAGGTTTCAGAATAAGCAAGACCGTTAGGAAAGAGGGACTCGAAGGGAAGTAACTACTTACCATCGAGAGGTCGAGTCCCACTCCTACCGGGTAGTTGATGATCTCCGAATAAATGTACTTGTTTTCCATTCAAAGTGGCCAACTCCCGTGTCTCATTCCTACCGGGTAGCAAATGACCCCCAATGAGATGACCGAAAATATTATGTGTCTCAGGCAGTCCGCGAAGTGTACATTCAGTGTTTGTGGTGTTGGATTTGCTGGTCGAAGGAGAGCGAGGGGCTGGATAAAACGGTGGCGCATCGGCCTTGAAGCGTGTCTGCACAGCAGGGCTGCGGGACTGAGACTTGTGTGCAAGAGGCGTCGAAGGGTGCTTCACACGAGCTGCGTTAGTCCGTACAGTAGCTAGCGGACTTTGGCAATAAGTCTTGTGACGTTCCGCGCAGTCACGGCAGTGTTGCAATTCACAACTGAGCTCCTCCTTTTCGCGTAGTTCGGATTTGAGCTGCTCCGTCTCTCGTGGCTCAGATGTAATCTTCTCCTTATCTGGTGGTTCAGATATAACCCCTTCTTTGCCCTCCTCGTGAAAGTCCTCGAACCATTCGCGGCCTGCAGCTGACAATGAAGTGCGCCGCAGGTCAACGCAAAGTCTATCCATACGTTGCTCCATCACCAGCTTATCACCGGCGGCCCCACGCCCAGCAACGGTGGTATCTTTGTTAAAAAGTGCTCTTTCAGTATCTGGGAATCTAGTTGGTGTGAAGGATATTTCACTCGAGGATGAATCTGGCGGAGCAGAAGACTGTGTACTACCCTGGCGGAAGACAAGTCCCGCTAAGTCATGACACGAGGGACTCATTACAACTGCAGAGGCAAGATCCTGTTGAGCCAGCTCATCCTTGGATGACGTAGGCCCATTGAGATCGAGAAGCTCACCACAAGCCACAGCCGGAAGTACTTTCTTCTTCTCGTCCTCCTGCAGAACCGAAGTTCCAGTCCCATTTGACCTCTTCGGCGTTGTTGGAGCCGTTGTGTTTGTGGTGGGCAGTTGCACGACTACTCTGCCCACAACCTCTTTTGTTACAGTCACATGGTTCCCTGACGCGCGATTGGCTCCGTTCGCTGACAAACATGAAGACTTGACATCTTCTGGAAACGCTGGCTCTCCTGAAATATGCTTTGTAGCCCGCTTCAACGGTGCTGACATATTCTTTAGAACTTGCGGCATCGGAGTGGAGCATATTTGTGCAGCAGCCTGTGATGGTGGAGACGTAATGGGAGGAGCTCTCGGTGGGTGTTCCTTGCCGAGATTTGAAGCAGTAGAAACAATCTTCAGTGTATCCTGCCTATGTGCTGTTCGGCTTGGGCTCAGCGCTGCAGAGGACATCCTTTGACTTTTTGAGGGTTTGATTTCGTTTGCGGACGAGAGCGCAGTCTTTTTAGAAGAGAATTGAATTGTTTTTATTGATGCAGAAGGTGCTCTTCTGCTCGGCTCTCGCGCTAAGTCCGCCTCCGAAGGCCAGTGCTTCTTAGAAGATGCTTGACTCGAGGGGTCGTAGGTTGCAGCTGAAGGCCTTTGAGTGAGAAGTTTAGGTGCTTGAACCTGAGGAGTAGCAGACTTTCCCGAAGGAGTCGGGGTAGGTCTAGTGGCGGAAGAAGGCTCCTGGTTTTGGCCAATATCAGCTCCGTGTGCAGGCTGCGGTGGACGAGGCAAAGTTTGACTTCGATTCTTCTGCGCGAGGGGTAACTGGCTTGGTGCCGAGCTGTCATCATCAGAAATTGTTCTCACAGCAGCAGGCCTCATTTTAGAAGTCCTCGCGTTGACCATCTCTTGAACAGCTGCCATAAAATCCTCAGGGGCACTGAGTTTTGTGGAATAGTCAACCCTGAAGACAGGCATCAGATGGGCTAGTGGGGAAAATGAAAAGATAACTTACATGGCCCTTCGAACTTTATGTGTCGGGTTAGGGACCGGCTTTCGAGTAACTAGAAAGACTTGATGAGCAATAGAGTATGGAGTGTGGCTGGATGACAAGGAGGTCTCACGTGTCTGCCTCTGGTCTACTTTGGAAATGTGATTTCCAATCTTCAAAACGCCTCCTTGACCGAGTACCCTGATACTGATGCTTCATGTGTAAGTTAAAGCTTTCTGACTTTGATTATTTGAGTCGGCTTACTCCGATATGCATGGCTTCTTCTGACGACCTCGAGTCCCTGCTACGCCACCACCCCGGCCACGACTCACACCTCCTCTCACTAGACCCATGTCGTAGGCTCTAGAGTTGGCCCTATTCACAAGCCCAAGACGATGGGTCTGGCCATCAAGAAGACTGTCAAGATCCTCCAGGTCGCCAGTGTCTCCAATGGTCTTGTGTATATCTTCAAAACTCCGTCAGAGACAAACAAAACGTGCTAAAGGAGAAGCAGATCCATAGAAAGGATGCTGGAGAATGCACTTACTGGCCCATTCAGCGAGTTGTGCCCGGTTTCTCTGCGCCATGAGCTGGGCTTCTGTTCCAGGCTTGTTGGACTCTCTGCATGCCTCGATATGTTCCAGCCTCACGTTGAAAGCTCGCTTTCTGTCATCGTGGGTTGAAATATATTCTCGCCTGGCGGTTCCGAGGTCGCTCTTCATGAAGGCTTTCATGTTAGTTGAAGGGAACTGAGTCAATAGGTGGTACTCGGTAGGTTCGCACAGCTTACCATTTGAAGCCTCTTCAGGCGCTCAGTAGCAGTTGGATCCATAGTCACTGGCGGTTGAAGGATTGACTAGATGCCACTCAGTAAGAAATCAAGGGGGAAATAAAGAGAGTGGGATTTGAAGCAACAGGGGCAGGATTAGGTCAATCCACAGAAAGCTGATTTACCGAGGGTCATGCGTGTGTTATAGACACGAGTCTCAGCAGAGAGAACTCACTGAAGACTTGACTGGGGCTAGAGAGAGGAGAAAAAGAATGAGAAGAGGTGACTTACGAGACCAGTACTTCATACATTCAAGTTTTCCGAGTGAGTTCAAAATGTACAACCTGTCTGTTCTTTGAAAGTTGAGAACGTTGGAACGAGAAGAAAGGGAAAGACAAGGCAAGAAAAGAAAGCTTGCAAAATGTGCAGAACCCAATGCTGATGGGGGGATGTGGTGTGGGGAAGGAAGGCAGGCAGGCAGTATGGAAATGGACAATTGCGTTACCATCATGCAAACGCCTACAACGTCGCAGAGCGAATCCAGTGAATGATGGCATGCTCTGGAAAAGTTGTGTCGCAAGCCCCTCCCATTACCTCCTCAGTTCTGTTTCTCGTTGTCTGAAAACCCTACTAGAAGGATGTTAGTAGTAAGCCATATGATGAATGCTAACCTATTTAGCACCCACAAGATTTCAAGGTAATATCTCGATATCTTCGTATACTTGAAACAAAGCAACTATTTTTTTATCCCCCTCGGGCTATCTCCTAGTGCTCATGGGCAGAGAGACTCTACTCGGTCATACACCATCCTTTATGTACATTATTGTGAACCAGAGAATTGGCTAAAGTCTATCACTTATAAGACATGGATTGAAGAAAAGGTTAAAGGCTGCAGGATCTAAGTCCCTGGGTAATACTCCGTCTAAGCACTACAGGTGCCTGCACCGCCTTCATCTATCAGAAAGGTAACGCTAATCAGCAGGGTAGATCTTAGCATTCGAAGAAGGGTCATGTACGTACTGCTTATCATCTTTGCGACCGCTTGCAGCAGACTTACTGCCATCACAACAACTCCGAAGACAATGCATAGATACGCGGGAATCTTTGCTGTGCGGGAGGCATTGCTGAGCTTGATGTAGCACAACGGAGGGAAAATATAGGCCAGTGCTGCTGCGCTCGTTGCGCCGATTAGCTCGAAGACTGCGCCCAGGTCGCAGGTAATCAAAGCCATGCCAACCGCAGCGACAACCAGCGCCGAGGTAAAGATCAAGTGCCGGTTCATATTGAAGGGTTCATCAGGAAAGTAATAAGTTGTCATAACTGATCGGCAGACGAATGCCTCTAGGGGGAGAGTTGTGAGCATGTTCAGCCCGAAGCATCTAGCAAAGTTAGTCTCACCGATTTCTTTCACATGAACGGTGAGAATATCACTTACAGCCGGGCTATATTGATCAGGAAGTTGTCCGACGGAAAATTGTTAAGCACATTGCCTTGAGTCTGAGAGCCAAAGAACAAGAACCCGGAAACACCCATGGCTAGGCAGGTCAAAAGAGAGACTGCTGTCGAGTAGTGTGTCACTTTCGCGAAACGATCCAGAGTCGGCTTTTTGAGTGAGCCATAGATGAGAAGGCTATTATGGTCTTCCAATTGTTAGTCCCAGAGTGGTGTAATGTGGAGGACGTTACCTACGGCAAACGAATGCTGAGCCCATTAGTACAATTTACCGTATCGAATATAGGACAGGTTCATACCAAATGAGATTACTCCGACAGCTTGAAAGAAGCCCGAATTGACAAACAGTAGACTTTTAACGTCGCCGCGCGACTCGGAAGGTACTCTAAAGCCCTGGGTGATCACGGCAATGACGATCACAACCATGCTGATCAAGGCTAACGCAGATGCCTTTGCTAGCTATCGAGATGTCAGAAATATTTAAGGAGTGCAGAAACGTGGAAAACCAAACCTTGGCAATGTCCCGGTACAGCGACAGCGGATATGAGATCCCCAGGACAAGAAGCACAATGATGGCTCGTCTGTCAGTCAAGAGCCACAGGAAGGACATGTCTCGCAGCGAGGGAAACAAGGCACCTAGGACATGCGGTATAGTATCCCCGACAATGATACAGAAGGCAATCATACCACCGAAAGCAAAAGCCCACTGAGCAACCGAGATTGCGACGAGCCCGCTTTTGCCGAAGCAATGCTGCATTGTTGCCTGGAATGAGTCTGCTCCGCTTAGCTTCGAATTGACAACTATAAGCCGGATGGTCCAATCCACCGCAACCGTAAGCCCAACGAGCAGCACTAGCCCCATAACTAATCCTGCCTGGCGCAGCGCATAAGGTTGTCCTATTATGCCGGCTCCTATGATGCTGTTGGCCATGTTCATGAAAGCCATGCGCATTCCACTCCTTGGACGAGCGTTCTCAAGATGCTCTTCCGGGAAGAATTCATCTGAAGTCGCAAGCGTGACACTTGGTGCCTCGATATCCGTCAACAAAGGAACCATCTGGCGCCGCCTACCCTCACCGCGACCGTAGTCCTCTTCTTCAAGCCATGATATATCGTCTGAATCGCGGGAGTCATGTTCTGAGCGACGCTCTTCTTCTGGTTCCTCCTCCAGGTCGAAACGAACGCGGTTCATGGTCCGAGGGGTGCGTCGCTGTCCTTCTGGGACCGGCTGGGATATAGAAGAGTGATGCGGCAGTCCGCTGCGGGTCGCGCTGACGGAATCTGCATGGTTTGTGGTTTCGTGGTCCTCAACGGATGAAAGAAGGGGCTGGGAATCCAGCCCCTTGGGGCTACCTTTGTCCGCCAGGAAATGATTTCCACCTTCATCCCTGGGCATCGCTGATTGTTGAACTCCTGAATTCGAGATTCCCAGATGCGGAGGATGTCTAGGGGCCAGATAATCAAATATGATCACGTGTTACTCTTATCGATAAGCGGTTCCAAAAATAGTGGGACTATCACAAGGCGAGGTAGCTACGTAACTAAAGGTCCCTAAGGTTGGAAGCACTGTCACTACTGTATCCTTGAGATGATGGTAATCAACCTGATGGTACAAAGCCTTGATCAAAATCTGTAATTACAGACTTCCACAACACAGACTGATTCTTAGTCGGTGCTCACATGGTGTGCATCTCCGTAGCTTTCTATTTTGGTCTCGCTTATCGTGTGTCTGGGGCCTCGGTAGCCTAGGCCCCGAGCTATTTGATGAACCTTAGAAGCAAAGAAACACTATGAGAAACCATTTTGAGAAGAAGATGCGCATCCTACATACCCATAGGTTCAGAGCTGAGAATAGTGTACCAATATCTCTCTGTAACCATGACACTAACTTAAATCAAATGGATCATACTACTACACTTTTGTCAGGGCTGCCCGCGTCCGCTATTAAATATACCGCCATGCTCCGAGTCCCATGCTCAACCACATCCAGTGCCTGCCTGTGCACCCAACTTCAGAATGCTCCACCTTGACGATCCTCACCAGGTGACACATAATGGAATTATATAACTTCCTAGGCAGTGCAGATTTTATTTCCACCAACAAAGATTTCAGCCTCCGAATGGATGTCTCCATGCTTATACAACCTCTTAGAAGAAATTCAAGTGTTGCACGCCGTACGGATCTAAAGCATCAGCTTGAAAGAGGAATGATTTGGGTTTCCGAAGCATCAGTGACCCGATTGAACCTACAGATCAGTGCTCATGACGCATCAGATGTCCTAGTCTCCGCTTTTGTGCCCGCCGCTGGGGAGATGCTACGCTATTCAAAGGTGCTTTGAGACGCCCACCCATCTGAGCCCGTTATGCTGCTAATACAGCACTCTCATTCGCAGCTCTGGAAAGAGTTGGGCTTAGTTCTTACGTTCAAGAGCTGCCAGTTTTGTGATCAGGAAAACCCTCCATTCTTCCAGTTATCTTTCGGAATCGAGAGATCACTTGCACAGCCTGTTATGTTGCCAATCGCAAACCGCAGAGTCCCAGTATCCGTACAGACACCGGGCAGCCTGATCCCTCCTCCGCATGTCGACACTGTGGCGGTCTCTGGGATCACCATAGCCCTGCATCTTATGCCCACAGATTTGAAGGTGCAACCACATTCTCGCGTGCCGATAATGCCTCATGTAAGCGAGGAGCTATATGAAGCGTTGGGTCCTGCATTTGAGAAGCCGGAGATGGACCTCACCTCTGAGTATGCACTACTGCATAATCGGGACATGCTTGAGAACTCTAACATGGAGGAATTCATGGAAGAACTTGAAGACCTAGATGATAGCCAAGATAGCACCCTCCGGTCAAGTGCTCCGGAGCAGCAGGCGCTACATGAACTGCTAAGCAAAGGCATCAGTCACTTATTCATTGACAGCAATTCCGAGCAAAGACAAATAATGCAAGGTACACATACTTTAGGACAATTGCCGAGCCTCTCAAAAATGGCGCCGTCGCTCTTCAGTCCTGGTTACCATACAGTAAGTCGTTTTGTCGAGTTGCTTATAATAGTGACGCCTTCTGATGACTTGGTAGTCGATGAGTCAACGTTCATCGCTGATAACATCGCTCGTCAAATCCATGAAGTCCATGTTGGATTTGCCAATGCATTTTCATCAAGATCTCACTAGTTCTTTGAAGGATATTTATATACCGGAGGACTTCCCATCGACGGCGCCAGACACACTGGACATCTTGAAGACGGCTTTTTGGACTCTTGCCCAAAAACAACTATATGAAGCAGAAGCATCACAGAAGTTGAGACCATGGGTGTCTTTGCCCATCCTTCCAACTAAGACACATGCCGATGAATCCTTGCTAGAGATTAATTCTATGGAAATGGATCCCGACTGGTATGATCATGCTCTCGAGCAGGTCGATTTGACATCTGACTACTACTTGGGCACAGAAGATCATTTGAAGCTCAGCAGCGAATCTCAGACACACTCTCACCACTCTCACCTACCAACCCAAATTGACTGTGTAAGCTCCGTCTATGAGAGCTGGTACGACTCAGCGAATGAAGACCAAGCAGCTGCAATGAGTCAACCTGGATTGGACAATTTGAGTTTGTCACCGTGGTCGAGTTCCCCAGGGCCCATAGCCGACCTGCCCGCCTTCGGAAGTGGTGATGACATGATATGTGAAAATCTGTGACTAAAGATCAGGAACTACGATATTTATGGGCATCGTCATCAGCATAATATATGATTGTCAGCTGATTAGCCGAGACGCAATGATGATCGTGGAGAAATAGCTCGGAGCATACAGCCTGAAGGAATTTACTCGAGGTTATCAAGTGATGTGGGTTATCGTCTACATACTTATATTATAGTCTGCAAAAAATCTGTCAGCTCTATTGTCGCTGTCGTATTTCGCTTGACAGGCTAGAACCCCTTGACGCATCCCTACTATAACCCATTACATCATCGGGAGCACCGGGGTAAATCAATGATAATCGAGTATATCGTGCATCTAATCTGGTCCGATGTGGTAAAAAATACTTGAGGCATCTGAACACTGCCAAACGCTTTGGAGTCTTCGAAGGCCTCGGCTGAGGCGCACGGTCCCCTGATTGAGGAATTGATGGCCACCATCTCACCCAAGGAGGAGCGAAGGCGTGATTGCAGGACGAGGAGCAACAAGGGAATAAGGTTGAGTCTTGTATGAGCCGACATGATGGCCAACATGGATTGGTGTTGACCTAGTTGTGAATCCTTTGTCGCCAACCACCAAACAGTTGCGATACTCGGCTTATCATCGACATTGGAAAAAAAAGTGATCTGAACTCCAGGACACGGGGCTTTCAAGTCACGCGGATTTTGCCCAGAGAAGGTAGATGCCGATTCGAAGACGAGGTCTGATCCATAGCATTCTCTTCGGACAAAGCCTTGGCATGGTTGGAAGATTGCCACATCTTCACTTCAGAGACTTGTGCCAGACTAGAGAGTGGGGAAGCATCAAACGCTATGATAAATCTCTGATCCAGCGGCCTCGACTTGGGGAATGAATGGGTTTGATACTCAGCAAGCGTGTCCTCGATTCGCCAGCCTTGGAGTTTGCGGAAGCAGGCAATCACGCAGCCGGTACGATGCTGTACCATATATCAATTAGCCAAGCCTGAAGGATGTTCTGAGTAAGCCTTACTTTTCCCTTGTTGCAGTGGATAAGGACAGGGTGATTGGCCTTGTCGAGCATGATCTCCAGTATTTGACATATGACATAGTCTGGAGATTTAATTGCAGGGTCCTTGTTGGGTTCGACAAGGATACGGATGTGCGCGATCCCCGTCTCCTTCAAGAAGCTCATGTGCTCCGGAGTGTAAGGCTCATCTACCAAAGTGCTAATGACTGGTCAGTAAGGATCAGACACATACAAGTGGTCCACATACACAATGGTCCTAAGGCCTAGCCTTCTGAGTGCAGAAAAACTCCACGGTTGCGGAAAAGCAGAACGGTAGACTCCGCTGACGACCTCTCCAAAGTTCTCAGGCAAATCAGACTGCATGAAATCATTTCCCATCGACGAAGCCCTGCGACGCACTGATTCTGCTCAAGTTAGGTTGAGTTCAAGAAGACGATGGCATGGTGAATATGATAGGGATCGTCACCGAGGACCACAGATGACTTACCATAAACACTCTGAAGAGAGCTGTTGGAGCTCTGCATGGTTAACGGTGAAGTCATTGTGATAAGCTGCCAGCTCCTCGTCGCTGGCTGGCTTAATGTCTTGAGAAACGAATGAATGGAAAGCTCAGGAAGCACTAAAAACTGATACGATGCCAGTGCGATGCTTAGAGTGGAAATAAAGACACAAACCAATCCAAGGATAGGTTCTCATGCAAGATCTGACCAGACTGCGACGAAGCGAGATCTGCGAAGTGAGAGAGGTTGGCGGTAGACTAGATGGGTCTAGCCCACAAGGTTCAAGCCATCACCGTACTAGAAAACCGAGACATGATGACCAGTATAGAGACCGAGTTCAATCGAGTCAGAAATTGGCTGGAAGACAGAGATTGTGGTGGTTGAAGGAAGAGAGCACCTTCATGCGCAAAAGTAAACAAGGAAAGAGACAAGAGTAAGGGTGGTGCGACTACAGGTACAGGGCGGTGAGCCAAGGAAAACGAAAATGTCATCAGGAAAAAAGCCGTGTGTGAATCACACCATCAATTTCTTGAGGTAAGAAGCACATGTGGCGAGCCACCAAGTGCTGTGTAGTGAACCTAGAGAAGGGCAAGATGGGAAACTCTGAGGGGCAGTGGAGTGGAAGGGTCTGCTCGATTATGTACAATGCTGGCTACCTACATTTGACTAGTTGCCTGTTCCTCCGGACATATGGAAGGATGACATGTCTCAGGATCTTATCCCAACCCCAGAAAATTGGGTCATTACTCCTAGAAACCTGCGAAGCTGATCTATCACTCCGTCGGACAACTCTGACTGGTGCTATGCTTGGCGAGAACCGTGGTTCTCGGCGATATTGGTCCGAACACCACCGATCCAAGAATCCATAATGGAGCAACAAAGAATGAGGGACGGGATTCTTCCAAACACAGATCAGGTAGGTTTCATTATGCTAACTCTTGCTCAAGCTTGCCTCATCACTTCTACATTCTAGGATCTATTATGGATGCACTGTGGAGCAGAAGCTCCTTTTGCAATAGTGCCACGCTCATGAAAGACAGATGAATGGGTAATTTATGGTGTGTCGACACCCAGCCCAAACATTCGAATTGAGTTATTCCATGCGCTGAGCACTTAATTAGCATCTTAAGGCGGAAAACAATTAAGCGAGGAGGAAAAGGAGGAGGAAAAGAGATCGAAACTTACGCCTCGCAAACCTCTTCCACGGTAATGCCTTTGATTTTGGCGATAACATGCGCAACATGAGCGATTGCGGCAGGCTCGTTGCGACCCTTGACCATCAATCCCTTTTGCCACTTCTCCTTCTTGACAGCCTTGGGAAGCGGAGGGGCTCCTTCGAGATACTTCGCAGACGCGTGGGACGGACGGATTTCACACTGAACAGCCATTGTTAGTCAAGGTGCTTGAGGAACACAAGTAGACGTCTGCGTACCCAAGGGCCATCGGTCTCAATCTGCAGCCGTTCTAGTGGCAGGGCTTTCACCACTTCCAGATTCTCTTCTGTCTTCAAACTACAGCCGTTAACCCCAACATCGAGACCTAGGGCAACCATTCGGTTCATTTCATCGAGAGTGCCAGTAAAACTGTGCACGAGACCCTTCTTGGGAAGCTTTTCGAGACGAGGCGCCAAAAGCCGTTCAAAGTCTTCGCTGGCAGCTCGGGAATGGAGGAACAACGGAAGCTGAACCTCGACTGCCAAATCCAACTGAGCCTCGAAATATTTCAGCTGGGGCTCCTTTGCGCTTAGGAAGAGTCGATCATAATCAAGGCCAAACTCTCCAAAGGCAACAGCATGCCCTGATGCTTTAGCCTCTAGGACTAACGCTCTGAGCTCCTCTAGCATTTTTGCTGGTCCGCCAGGAAATCCGTCGAAGAGCTTTGCCTGACAAGGGTGAACCCCAACCGTAGCGTAGCAGAACCCCGCTGTAAAGACGGTCAGGTGGAACACAAACTGAACAATATCGGGTGGCACGTACGATAGTCTTGTGCAATCTGTATAGCACGTCGAGATTCCTCTAAGTCGGAGCCTGTTACCATGAACTTCTCGCAGCCCACATCTCGAGCTCGTTGGACAACATCATCCATATCGTTGTCGTGAACTTGCTTGCCATGGTAATTACCCACAAAGACAGGGTCGCTGAGGTTAATGCCGATCTAAGTGACCGTTAGCTGCTACTCGATATGATACAACGATGTCCTAAGCTTCGTCGCGATGGAGTCACCAACATCGACATATCTGATGGGCTTCAAGCTCGAGTCACCCATGTTTTCAGAAGCTGGGAACGTGGTTTTATATACAGAGCCTCTTTCCGTGACTGCGCGAGAGCTAGGAATAGTATACCGGTTCCCAGGTAATTCACTAGAAAATGCTGCACCTGAGTAAGTCTCACAGCCCCATAACAAATCCTATAACGGACTGGGAATGAGTCAGACCTGAGCTGCAGGCAAGCAGCAAGGTCTCGATGAGGATCAATACATACCTGGTCTGCTATGGATACTTCGGTGTGGCCGATCAGAACGTGACCGCCGGCAGTCTACAGCAGCAGCTGTGCTTGCTCCTATGGCTCCGCGGCTCCAGAGATTTTTACTGATTCCAGATAGTCTGAAGAGATGGTCTATACCAATAAGAGTGTGCATCAGAAAATTTCGGAAATTCACCCTCCGTTACAGCCACAGATCACTGGGAACTGAGGCAGCCAGCAGTACGAGTGAGTCAACGTTCTAGCTCTAGGAATCAGGGACTTCTGTGCCTGCTGAACGAGGGATCCGTATTAAGCTTCGTTGCCTGAGGCAAGAACGCTTTTCGCCCACCATGTCACGTGCCATGCTTGCAGTGGTTTGTTATGTACGGAGTACGGTGCAGTAAATACAGTAAATATCAGCTTCAAGTACACTACATAATCTGAAGGGGATGGGCCAGCCAGAGTGCTGCCATGGCATATAATCGAGACGGGAGAGAAGAATCATGGCCTGTTATGGCTGGGAATGTACTCCGTAACTTATGGCGTCTCCGTACGGAGTACTGTTTGTGACAATTTAAGAGAGCGATGCTGATGTCATTTGTAGCCTGAGGCTCTCACTGAGAATCGGAATGATCCCCGCATGCCGTGGCAGCCCTCCCTCGGCGATGCTCCGTGATTGATGGTTTGTTCGTCCCTGAGAGAAGGATGTACTGTACTGTATTGTACTGTACATTACAGCTGTATAAAGTCAATAACCTTGCAACGTTGGACAAGTACGCTCAATCTCTTAAAGGCATGAACAGGTAAGGTCATGCCAACAATAGCAGAGCGTTTGACTTGAACTTCAGTTATGGTATCAAATTGGGCAGTGCCAGGTTAACCGAGGTGACAGACTTAAGTTACCTTTTCTCGGTTTTCACTATGCAGGTGTTTCAAAGCATGCAGCCCAGGTTACTCCGCATTGATGTTACCCCGAACCAATGCGCATTTACCGATCTGGGAACTTATATGATCGAGGTCCCTTCTCTGTTGTCTGCTGTCGTTCGTCTGCCCCTCGAAGTCTCAATTTCTTCAGAAGTTTCACGCCTAACGGAGTGGAAGCCATAGCCAAATCTCCTCTCTTGGATCACTAGCACTTGGACTCCAGCTACCACACTGCGTGTTCTCTCTGATATCGCTTGACCCGGGGAATAGAGTATAGTATAACATGGCAGCCAAGAAAATCTTGTCTACAAACCAGATCTCTCAACACAAATCGCCCAATGACTGCTGGATTGTGATAGACAACCAAGTTTGGGATGTAACGGATTTTTTAGAAGCCCATCCAGGAGGGTCCACGGGTAAGTGAGTCCCAAGCTAATGGGAGTGCTTCGAGGACATCCATAAATGATGTATGTTTTGTATAACCCTGCAGTCATTCTCAAATACGCGGGTCGAGATGCTACCAAGGCATATTCACAAGTCCATGCTCCGAGTGTGATCGAGAAGGAACTACCATCAGAGAGAAAAGTGGGTGTACTGGATGAGACCACGGTCACTAATGAATGGGTGAAGCCACCGCCCACTGCAAATGCACGGGTTATGCTTCAGAACGAGAAGCCACCGTTGCACACGTTGATCAATGCCCATGATTTCGAGATTGTGGCATCTAAGACAGCCAGCAAGAAGACTTGGGCGTTCTATTCCAGCGCCTCAACTGACTTGATCACACGAGATGCCAACAAATTGAGCTTTGACCGCATCTGGTTCCGGCCTCGGGTTCTCAGAAATGTGCGCTCTGTCAATACGACAACCCGGCTTCTCAGAACTGACACGAGCCTTCCATTGTTCGTAAGTCCGGCGGCAATGGCCAAGCTCATCCACCCGGAGGGAGAGCTTGCCATTGCGAGGGCGTGTGAAAGGAAAGGGATCTTCCAGGGTGTGAGTCGGATCATATGTGCTGTACTCTGACCAGCCCCTAACGCTTTTCTCTAGGTGTCTAACAATTCATCTCATACTCTCGACCAAATAAAAGAAGCTGCACCATCTGCTAATCTCTTCTTCCAATTATACGTCAACCGCGACCGGGAGAAGTCAGCCTCGCTTCTCCGTCAATGCTCGTCCAATCCAAACGTCAAGGCGATCTTCGTAACCGTCGATGCTGCCTGGCCTGGCAAAAGGGAGGCGGACGAGCGTGTCAAGGCAGACGAGGATTTGACAGTTCCCATGGCTCCTTCTAAGGCTAAGAACGACAAGAAAGGCGGCGGTCTTGGCCGTGTCATGGCCGGCTTCATTGACCCAGGACTGACATGGGAGGATTTGACATGGGTGCGGCAACATACGCACCTGCCCGTGTGCCTGAAAGGTGTCATGTCTACAGATGATGCCATCCTGGCCATGGAGGCCGGGCTTGATGGCATCCTTCTGAGTAATCACGGTGGAAGGAACTTAGACACCAGCCCCCCTTCCATCATCATTCTGCTTGAACTTCACAAGCGGTGTCCGGAGATTTTCGACAAAATGGAGGTATATTTAGATAGTGGCATTCGCCGCGGTACGGATATTCTGAAGGCGATTTGCCTAGGAGCCACTGCCGTCGGTATGGGGCGGAGCATGCTCTTCGCCGCTAATTACGGTCAGAACGGGGTTGAGCATCTGATAGATAGTAAGTGCTGGGTGCTTTTCTTGTTCATGTAAAAACAGGATGCTGATGTGAACAATTTACAGTCATGAAAGATGAGCTCGAGACTGCAATGCGCAACATAGGGATCACTAGCCTCGAAGACGCAGGCCCAAACCTGGTCAACACAGCCGATATTGACCATCTTGTCCCCTATTCTGCGTCTCATCCGTATGCGTGGAAAATTGCAAAAGGGCGACGCTCAAGGCTATAGTACAAAGATTGATGTTTACCGTATCACATCGGTAGCGAATTTTCATTATACAATAAGCACCGGTGTGGATCTTTCTCACGCAATAGAGTCATGATCTTTTGCTAGTTACTGTGTCTATAATCGTATTTCCTGGCCTGCAATACTGCTTTTGCTTCTTATATCTAGCAACAAGCTACCAAAGGAGACCAGCATGGGAACTTTTCAGAGGTAGGAGCTAATATGGCACTCGCGCTCATTATAGCTTTAAGTAAGGTCCTCGCTAAAATTTGAGTGGTCTTGCGCACAAGGCCTTGCTCAGAGGATGGGAGATGATACAAACACATACGACGTTGATGCTGCTTGGAGTCATCCATGACTCTATCTCTGCTCAGGGAATACGCACAACAGCCCTTCCATCAATTTCCGAGCGGCCCAGTCGATCCAGAACCTCATCTATATCTTCCAGCTCATATCCCTCAACATGCGCCTCAACGTCACCTGCTACAGCCAACTCCATCAACTCGTCCATCTCCTCTGCAGTGCCAGCCGAGTTGCCTACAATCGTGAGCCCTAACGTGAAAGTCAAAGTCAGACAGCAGTTCTGCCAGTCATCAGTCTTGAGTCTTGGACGGACCTTTGACGATCATATCAAATGGGGTGGCTGGGAGCCGGAACGGTGCGTTCGGAATACCGACACAGACCAGCACTCCTAGCCGACGAAGCAGGCTCATACTCTGAATATACGCTTGCTCGCTATTGGCGGTACAAATCACGGCGTGCGCACCTAAGCCGGATGTTAAGCTTTTGACCTCCTGCTCGATGTCGTCCGTCTTGAAGTCTAGGAAACTGGTAGCCCCGCGGGAGAGGCACAGTTGTCTTTTCTTCTCGCCGCTGGATGAGAATGGTGGCTACTTGTTAGCCCTAGCGTGATCAACAGAAATAGTCTGATCGATAGGGCCTCCAGCCTTGTGCAAAGTCTGGAGTATTTACCTATCAATTGCGATAACCTTGAGACCTTTCTTGACGGCAATCTGAACACCCCTGCGGTACCCCAAATTTAGCCCATAGCCTGTAGGAGTCATTTGCCAAAGTGAACTGTAGAGCTTACATGTGACCCAACCCGCCGCCTGCTCCGGGAAGCACAATCCAGTCACCCGGGCGCGTCTTCGTCTTCATTATCGAGGAGTACATGGCGATCCCAGCTAACGAGTTTCAAGGTCATATATGAGTCACACAAATCACGGAAGTCCAAGGTTTTGAGATAAGAGCATACCACACAGAAGCGGCGCAGCGACATCTGGCTTCAGTTCCGGAGGGATTATGGTGACATGATTCGCAGGGCTGACAATATATTCTGGCCTCACGCCGCTCTTGTCAGCGAGATTGAGTGGTATGAAACTTGGAAGTCATGATTCACTTACGTTGAAATGTTCCTGGGACATTCTAGATCTCTCCATTAGTCCCACGGACTCTGCATCGAAACAGATAGCTCAGAGAGAAACCCACTGCTCCGGCGTTCTTTTGATATGGACACGCCGTAGTATTGATGGCGCATATCTCGCATCGCAGGCAGGAACTGTATAGCCAGCTGTGAATACCAAACCACTAGTCGTTAGCTTTCATCGCGTTACTCGATGCCGAGGTTAACTCCATGTGCGAACCGTATGCCCACTCTCTTGCCTAACCAATCTCGTTTTTCAAGTCCACTGCCCACTAATGTGTCACGCATTGATGAGCAAGCTTTCCATGAAGAGCAAATAACAATAATGTTGATGAGGAGCCGAGTACTTGCCGCTGACCACCTTCCCTACGCCTTCATGGCCCGCCACGTCGGTCAACATAGGGGTCTCCCCGCGCACGCTGTGTACGTCTGAGTGGCATACGCCCGAGTACTCCAGCTTCACGAGGATTTCCCCTTTCGTGGGTGATGGCACGGGGTGATCATGACGGATTTGGAGGCGCGCGGTTGGTGAAGCTCCTGTTGGGGGCAGAAGAGCTGCCGTTTGGGTAGAAGGAATGTCCATCGTATCATCCATGTAGCGTTCAATCATGCCGTTAGATCTCCAGATACCAAAAGCGAGCTTTGAGAGGAAAGTCGGTTCCAGATTGTGAAGTATTGCGGGGTAGTCTCGAATATAAATTGAAGAATGCGGGAGATAGGAAGTGCGGGGAAACAAAAGATCTTATCGGACATTGGAGAGCGGTTTTGGAATTGCAAATATCTGAGGCATTGTACACTACTCTGAGACCTTCATTTTAATATTTTGTCGGTTGCTCTGATTAGACCTGGGTTGTTTATCTGTGTATCGATGTGATAACCAGCATCCGATACTACTGATAGCAAGTGAGGTTGTCGATAGGCATCGGTATGTAGTAGATAAGATTGTCTGAATGTGTACCCAGATCAAGACTTCCAATTTATTCTCCATGAATAATAGTGATTATTATACAGAAAAAGTTGGCTTTTCTGTATGATTCGCGATAGTGGACCTGAGCTCGAAAAAAGCGTGAATGGTTGATTGTGATCTGACTTGTTCAATTATTCTTAAGGAAGGCAATTATGGTCTCAGTGGCGCGCACCACAACGCCCTGGAGAAGAGCTTGGGAACAGGACCTCGGTCAAATCTTGAGTTAATGACTCGTACTCTATTATCACCGTAAGCACTGTCTATACCTACGCTGAGCCGGCCAATCCTCATCATTGAATGAATTAGAGTATTATGCAACGTATAACAGATCTGAGGTCAAAAAGGTATAGTGTATGAAGGGCAGCCCTGCCTCGAACGGAAACAAAATGGAAAAAGGCAGACGGGCGACAAGAGAAGCTCCTAAACAAAGCCGGCACATCCACATATATCTGTGGTATTTATGCCACCCGGGTTTGAGGGTGTATCAAAAGCAAATCTATGGCATAACTGGTATCACAACGTCACTCTCAGGCGTTCTCCGACTGGAGAGTTTGCTACAAGGACACTGTCAGCATGGGCGCACAAAAAAAATCCAGGATCAAGCAACTTCACTTACAACCAGCCAATCCATCCCTTCATTCAAGCCTTTACCATCAATGGCAGAGCATGCGACAATGCTCCAGTTTCTGTCCCGCAGTTCGCCCAACTTTAAAGCCTCCGAGATCTCACCGGCGCCCTTGGCACCCGGCTGGTCCTGCTTGTTGGCAAACACCAACAAGGCCGCATCACGGAGTTCCTCCTCATTTAGCATTGCCGCAAGCTCATCCGCAGCCGTACCGAGTCGTTCAATATCTGTGGAGTCGATGACGAATATGACAGCTGCGGTATTGGCGTAGTAGCATCGCCAGTATGGACGGATTGATGTTTGGCCTCCAAGATCCTGTGAGAGACAAGGAAGTCAATGATCGTAAATCTCCAACCCAGTTTTTATCCGGGACAAGAATTTGCAGTTGCAAAAGGGTGATGTACTCACCCAGACATTGAAGTTTAAGTTCCCGTACGTCACCGACTCAACGTTGAAGCCGATTGTGGGTATCGTTGTGACCACTTCGCCAATCTGTTATACACACCATCAGCCTCGCGCCAAGTACCCGAACATAGATTCAATATCGCACCTTCAGTCGGTAGAGAAGGGTTGTCTTTCCAGCATTGTCCTGAGTAAGCGGAAGCATCAGCCGCGGAATTATTTATGAGCTAGTAGTAGCGTGACGTCGACAGAACATACAAGTCCAAGGATAAGGATGCGAATTTCTTTCTTTGCCCAGACAAAGGACCAAAGACGTGATAGTGAGCCTCCCATCGCGGCGAAAGTGATTTATGCTGATTGTGGGATCGAGAGAGGAGTTGGGGGCGTGAGATGGAGGAGACCTTGGTCTCTTGTCTTCGCGCTGGGTTGGAGCGGTGGCGGAGATGCGGGCGGGAGGACACAAACAGCACGAGGATCAAGGCCAAACTACTGCGCCGACGGTGACGAAAAGTACTGGCCAAGAACAACAGTTGGAGGCGGTGGATGCGAAGTCTTTGTATTGTAAATTGTAGGAATAACAGATAGGACTAAACTCACCGCGACAGCTCAGACGAGCGAGTAACTACCATGAGCTGACTAAATGGCAGTGACCGCCGTTGGCCTGCGGACTCCTGCCGATCGGGCTGGCCCGAGCTCAATCAATAATATGGGATTGAATGGAGAGGGTTGGAGTTCAGTGAGGTGGTGAGTGTGTATCGTTCCGATCCTTGGTTAGTACGCCGCGGTCTATAACTCCCTCATCCTTCAATTCCCTCACAACCTCCCTTTTTTTCCTTCCTTACGGACTCCACGCTTGTCGCACCCCGTGCATCTTCGTCAGAGCAAAGTTGTAATAACGCACATGGGTTCCACATAGACCCGATCGTCCCTGTTCAGCCTTCTTTAGAACAAGATCTCCGTCGTTTGACCTACGTCGCATTCCCGACTACATAGGTAACTTTACAACATGGTGGGCAAGAAGTCGGGCAAGGCTCTCCTCCGGGACGAGGGTAGGTTCCTCTACCTATTTTTGACCCTACTGCTGTCGTCTAATTCATCGAACTTAGGCCTGGAAAGAACCGACAATAACATGGAATTGTCGAGCTGGCCGCAAATACCTCCCATCAATCAGAAAAACTATTATACGTTCGTCACTCCCTTGTTCCCAGAACTCCTCTATCATATCTCACGTTGCTGACAAGCTCTCGTCGCTCACAGTGATTATCTCAAGCGCGATGATCAGTATCTGGCTTTTCGGCTGCAGAATGAGGAGGCGCGAAATCGAATGGCTAAGACCGCCAAGGACCGGGATCGCGCGCTGGCTATGGCCAAGGCGAATGACCTAGGATTACCCGAAGCAGAGGCAGAGGGCGATGGCGACACGAACTTGGAGGACGCTGAGGAGACGACTGCCGAAATGGCAGGCTCGAAAGTGATTGTGGTCCACGTCGGAAGCCAGAACCTACGCATTGGCTTAGCCAGCGATGCTTTGCCGAAGACTATACCCATGGTGATTGCGCGAAAGTCACCTACTAACGAGGCTGAAGATAACGAAGAGCCATGCCCGAAACGACTGAAGATGGATGACGGGTCGGACATGGAGCCGGAAAAGATGTTCGGTCCTGAGGTTTGTCCCCTAGTCTCTTCTGCCAATCCAGCGCTTCAACTAAGAATTTCATTCCGGTGTTAGTTCGCTTCTCAGTACACAACAATGGCGGCAGAACTCAAAGCACATATGCGACAAAACAAGCGGCGGACGCTGCCAAACTCGAAAGAAATGGTCATTAACTACAATCGGAGGACTGTCCCTGAAACCATTTCAGAGCACAATGATCCCATGCGGGTTGAGTGGACTGAGCTCTCAGACCCTGCTCCCGAATACATTGTGGGGCAAGCAGCTTTGAGGATACCTGATGCTTCCAGGCCTCGGTACAAATTATACTGGCCAATGAAACACGGCTGGTGCAACGAGAAAGACTACGATAACAAAAGGCTCTTGTTCCTGGACATCTCGCTGATACTTGAAGATGCGATTAAATCGCAACTAGGGCTCACGAGCAAGAAGGACTGGCCGCAATATTCATGTGTCTTCGTCATCCCAGACCTCTACGAGAAGTCATACGTCACCCAAGTCTTGGAACTACTGATGCGAGAGTTCGCTTTTGCTCGTGTCTGCTTCATTCAAGAGAGTTTGGCGGCCACATTTGGCGCAGGCTTCACATCTGCCTGCGTGGTTGACATCGGTGCCCAAAAAACATCGATTTGTTGCGTGGAAGAAGGGATGTGCATCGAGAACTCGCGGGTGAACTTGAAGTATGGTGGTTTCGATATCACCGAGACATTTGTCAAGATGATGCTTTACGACCACTTTCCATATGCCGAAATCAACCTTTGGCACCGTTATGACTTTCTGTTGGCAGAAGAACTAAAAAAGAACGTCTGTACGATGAATGAGGCAAGTGTATCAGTGCAGGTCTACGACTTCCATCTGCGGGTAGCTGGTCAGGATACTCGGAAGTACACATTCAAAGCTTACGATGAGATTCACCTTGCGCCCATGGGCTACTTCCGGCCTTCCATATTCAACCATGATGAGAAGCTTAAGGGAAGGCGGAAGCTCATTGCTCGCTCCGTTGATATTTACGATGGGCAGCCCAATGACCCAACATCGGCAGCCCAGTCTGAAATCTTGACTGCTATTGCGCCTCCTCTCAACAACGGTCAGGTGAATGGCGATCTTCAACCAAACACCTTGGAGGTGCAGGCTACACCGAGTCGATCTCAACAAGTAAACGCTCTTAGCCGTGTACAGGAATTGGATTCTACTCCCCGATCCTCGGTCGCCGGATCCCCGGCACCGGAGACACTGGGTACACCCCATCCCGGCGCAGCTACGCCTGTGCCTGCTGGCCAGGCTCCAAGCGCATTGCCCCGCGCACCTACTGTTGAGGAACGCGATGACGTTTTACCAAGCTTTCCGCTAGACATGGCAATCCTAACTTCTATTGCGCATGCGGCTCGTTCGGACGAACGTAAGATGCGGGACTTTCTCGGCGGTATTATGGTGGTGGGAGGCGGAAGTTTGATTAATGGCTTTCACTCATATCTTGAAGAGCGTCTTCAAAACCTTAGACCAGGTTTCGCTAAAGAAATCATGATTGGCACACCTCCCCGCGATCTTGATCCGCAGGTTGTCGTCTGGAAGGGCGCAAGTGTCTTTGGTAAACTGAGTGGAACCAACGACAGTTGGATTGGGCAGCTAGAATATGACCGCCTGGGACATAGGTTGATGGCGTATAAGTGTATGTGGTCCTACTAATTTTCGCATGATGCTCCAATGCATTTTTGGCATTTCCCAAGTTTCTTGAAGAATGGTCGGTGTTTGCAGGATGGGAATAGGGATTACTTTTACTCTGTTATAGTCTTGGTTGACACGCAATATCCCCTTTTTCTCCTTGAAGTCACTTACAGAGAAGTTTCATTCGCCCAAAATTAAATAACTACCTGTCTAGTATGAGATCAATCGGACCGTCTCTTGCATTCACGGATAAATCTTTGCCCGGAACTTCGAACGTCGAGCTTATCAGATATGGTAAGCGGTCATGCAGGGCAGAATGTCTCCAAGTCGGCAGGCGAGTTTGTCTTGTATCCTGTAGTGTTTAGCCTGTGCTGCATTCATGCCCTCAGGACTCACTTTCGTCATATTTTGGGTGCCAATTTGCTCTCAATTGGGCTCACCTGTAATACTTTTACCGATATTTATAAGCCGGTCCCCAAACCTGAAGATCCTCGGACAGCTTCCATCCCAACCACCAGGGTAAGCCAAAGATGCGACATTCAACACTGAGAGCGCCTCTCCACTGACAAGCTCTCAGAGGCAGATCATCCTTAGCGGACCTCGCCCACGCCTCAATTCACTATTTTGCTCCATTGTCCAACTTCATAGAACAAGATGTCCAAATCTAAGGACAGCAGCTCCTCTGGGAGCTATCACCAGGAGTATATTGCATCGCTGCGCTATCGCAACGACCTACCTCCGCCGGATATGCCGCCAAAATTCCTGGAGATCCCTCATGAGGGTCTCCAACGTTTTTTGACCCCGGGCTTCACAGCTAATCTGGCTCGTCGCGAGGAGCCTAACATTGATGTCGACGCCGAGGGCGGTATGCCGCTCGATTTGGTTGGAATTCCTGGTCTTCATCTCGGCGATGAGAGTGGTACGTTTGTTAAATTATCTGCGTACAAGCCCCGCGGAATGGTCGCTGATGTCATTCGACCCGTAGCAATTATGGCTCCTGAGAACCCCGAACCGCTCGACCCTGCTGATCTCGCACTTCTCATGACACCGGAGCAGCTGAAGAACCCTGCGCCGAAAAACACCAATGTCAGTTTCCTCCGTCGCACACAGTACATCTCTGCCGGGCTTCGAGCGCCAGATAGTCCCAAGGTCACGACTGTCAGAACAAAGTCGCGTTCCCTCGAGAAGGGCCGTTCACAAGACGATCCCATCTATATCAAGAAGTACCTCCAGAAGGGTTTCGATATCGCATACCCCAGCAGCAAACATGTTGGGGAAGATACAGCAAGCAGCATTAAGGGTCACAGTGCAACGAAGCTTGAACTCGATGCGTGGGCCCACCCAGTGCACCCCGATAATCCTAAGTTGAAGCCGGTCGGGTTCTTCCCTCTGCTCCCCGATCTACAGGGATTTCCCGATCCGGGAGGTTTTGTTCAGTTCAAATTCGATAAAACGCCCATCCAAGAGGCATCCAACAAGAGAGACAAGCGCATGGATGTCGCGATTCTACATCCGTCCGCACCGGAGGAGCGCATATGCGAGGAGCACGCGACCAAGGCCGCCTTGCACAAGTCGAATCCTGAAGTGTACCCTGATCCTGGTCCCGTTCCCTGGGACTACGATCTCTTCTTGCCAGAAAAGAAAGATATGGCCAAGAACGTGTCTGCAAGCTTGCAGTTGACCAACCCAGAGCGCAATAATGAAGAGTTATATACTCACGACGGGCCTGACGGCACCAAATTTCACCGCTACGATCGTATGCGTACATATGCTACCAGCGCTCAGACCCTTGGCGATAGTCAAAAGCAGCGCGATATTGCGGTGACGCTTTTTGATCCTTCTGAATTGCGGGGCGCACAGCGCGAAGGCTTGTCAGCGAGACAGATGGCCGCTTACTACTATCCGATTCTCGGAAAGACGCGCTTGAAGCCCGAGAGAGCTCGAACCATTGCCCAGGCGGGTCTTGCTCCTACACGGCCGAAGACGAAGGAAGATCAAGTTGATCAAATGCAAGTGGTCATTCGTGATCCGGACGAGGCAGAGGTATACAAGCGAGCTCAGCACAGAGTTGCCATTGACCCGAAGTATTCAAAGAGCATGCCTGCGGCCCCGGAAGAGCCCGAGCCAGAAGCCACTAAGGACGATGACAACGCTGATGCATCTGCTCACCGCCAAGCGAGTCCGGAGCAGGAGCCGACTCCTCACGATGCAGATGACGATGAAATGAGCGACGAGTAAACCAGGCATCTCATCGTTCCTGTCCTACCGCCGCTTCCCCTTCCTCATAGGGCCATTATTAGCTTTGTATATCGTTTCATCATCCCTTGTAGGTGTTCGTGACACCTATTTTCATATTCTTCGCGGCGTCATAATACGAAGCTATCTTTCCGCTTGTCTACCAAATTCACTGTCATCCGCCACGCTAGATGCTTCCGTCATGTACGAAGCAAAAATTTACACCTTGGAAGACTGACACGGCGATGCAGTCATGGTAGCAGAAGCACAGGCGTTCTGTGGAGGTATGACTGGTCTTGGAGTTTTAAGACAGCGAAATTTGAATTTAGCCCTGGCTGGGGTCCCTTTCTCTTCTTTTCACGTTGAAACTATCCTGCATTCGCCGACACTTGACGTTGATGCTTATATATGTGCTAGGTAGGGCATTGCGGGTAGTGTTGACACTTCTACCTTGTATTATCCCGTAAATATTTTCCTATCTATCAAATGGACATGAGTTTCACGATGATCTGATGCAATCCTCAATAACCCGGCACACCGCCCACGAATCTCGAAAAATATGCCGGATAAATTTACCCACCGCCTTGATAACCTTCCGTTGTCGGCTTCGGTTGACACAAAAGAACCCAGGTGGGAATTCCTGCATGTTCACTTTGGTCCTCTCCATCTCTCTCGACTCGGGCTTCTTGTTCTGCACCTTCTAAGTCTGTGATTGCTACTCAATCTCAGTACTCGTCCCACTCTTCTCTCACTTCTGCAAAGAGGTCTTCTTTCACTTGCGCCCATCTGAAGCATTAGGCGGTGTGGTAGGTTCTAACTTGGTCGTTTTTCCCTTTCATGCGGATAAGTTGTACGGCGGGTTCCACTCCGTTTTCGCGGGGAAAGGGAGGAGAGCCGCAACCCCCAAGACGTGACCATGTGCATCGGCATGAGATTTTGTGTGGTCAGGCATTTCTGTCACTTCGGAAAGACGTAGCCGTCTGCATTGCTACGACTGTATCTATCAATTGGCTCAATCGCAATGCCTACAAGATGCCTACACACCCATGCATGTTCGGGGTTTCTCCATCGCATACACTGTCGCAATGGCCCTTCCCTGCCCCGCTGTGTACTTCAAAGTTGCAGCATTTAAAGCTCCTATCCGCATTGACTATGTCCACTTGAAATCACTTGTTTTCAGATCTGACTATTGGAATCCCACACAGCTCGTTGGTCTTCCTACGAACGATTTCTTCCGGGTGAAGAGCGCATACCACCGAGAACGAAAGAGGATACATTCTAGGCCTACGTTCTCCGTTCCATAACCTCCCACGCAATGGCCGTCAACGCAGCCTGGAGGGTCGCCCGAGCTCGCGCGCTTCCGCCGTCTCTGCGCCTTCAGTGCGCCTCATCCACTTCTCCCTTCTCGATGCTCTATCGGCGGTCGACTTATTCCCCCGTGCGACCAGTGCGCCAGGTGCGATTTGCGTCGACGACCGAGAAACCTACAACGGCTGCGGCTGAAGCCACGGAAGCGGCAGTGAAGGAGAATGCGCCCAAGGTGGCTGAGACAGTGGCGAAAGAGGCGCCTAAGAAGGCCGGTCGCTGGCTCAAGAGGACGGTGATTGGGACAACCTTGACGTTGGGTGCGCTCGTCGGTTATGTGTATGCCACGGATACTCGCGCCAGTGTGCATCGGTATGGTGTGGTTCCGTTGGTCAGGATGTTGTTCCCCGACGCGGAGGATGCGCACCATTTCGGCGTGGATATTCTCAAGACGCTCTACGAGTATGGTCTCAATCCTAGAGAGCGTGGCGATCCGGACGGAGATGGGTCTTTGATGACTGAGGTAAGGCCTGGCCTCTCTTTGCACTCAGCTGAATGAGGAGGTGGGTCTGCAGCCAGTATTTATGCTGATTCCTGTATCTTTTTTTTTTATTTCGCACTAGGTGTTCGGCTATACTTTGTCCAATCCCATCGGTATCTCTGGTGGACTGGATAAGCACGCTGATATCCCGGATCCGCTGTTTGACATTGGACCTGCAGTTGTCGAAGTCGGTGGAACAACCCCCCTGCCGCAGGACGGCAATCCCCGTCCTCGTGTCTTCCGTGTTGTCTCCCAGAACGCCATGATCAACCGCTACGGTCTCAACTCCAAGGGCGCTGATCACATGGCTGCGGTACTCGAACAACGTGTGCGGGATTTTGCCTACGCTAATGGTTTTGGGGAGCATGACTTGGCCGAGCAGCGTGTTCTCAATGGTGAGGCTGGTGTGCCGCCCGGCAGTTTGCGGCCCGGCAAACTGCTTGCTGTGCAGGTAGCCAAAAACAAGGTCACTCCAGATAACGATATTGAGGCCATCAAGCGTGACTACGTGTACTGCGTTGACCGTGTCGCCAAGTACGCTGACATTCTGGTGGTGAATGTCTCGAGTCCTAACACTCCTGGTCTGCGTGACCTTCAAGCAACCGCTCCTTTGACGGCCATCCTGAAGGCTGTTGTCGGAGCTGCAAAGAGCATCGACCGCACCACCAAGCCCTATGTCATGGTCAAGGTCAGTCCCGACGAGGATGCAGACGAGCAGGTCTCTGGCATCTGTGAGGCTGTCTGGAGGTCGGGTGTGGACGGTGTGATTGTCGGTAACACCACCAATCGTCGTCCCGAGGCTCTTCCGAAGGGCTTCACCCTTCCACCTACTGAGCAGGATACCTTGAAGGAAACGGGAGGTTACTCCGGCCCTCAGCTGTTTGACCGTACTGTGTCCCTAGTTGCTCGTTATCGGGCAATGCTCGATGCCACTCCCAACACTCCCGAGCTGATGGGAGCCGCTGCGGAAGCCACCACGACTGTGACAGGTGTTGAGCCTGACACAGAGAATGTCCCGCTAGTGGAGCCTCCCAAGCCCTCGGAAATTCTGCCCCGGAAGGTCATTTTCGCATCTGGCGGTGTCACCAATGGCCAGCAGGCGCAGGCAGTTCTAGACGCCGGAGCCTCGGTCGCAATGATGTACACGGCAATCACTTACGGCGGCATGGGAACGGTCACGCGCGTGAAGCAGCAGATGCGCGAGAGAAAGAAGCAGCAGTAAATTTGTTGCTGGGGTCAACAAGAGGGGCCGGTGTATTTTGTATTTTGGCACTTGTCCATAGAAGGAGATCCCGGGGTAAACTGTAAATAGTATAAAAAGCAACCGTTAGACCATCAACAGCAGTCCCGCCGAAGCCGGCTCGAGAGGGGGATGAAGGATGAAAGATCGAGTCGATGATCCACAGTTCGCCGCATTGAGCGGTTGGGGGATGGTCAGGTGCCCCCACGTGTTTTTCTTTCCCCTCCGTTGCACAGCACCGCACAGTTCGATGGGGGTCCAGATCCCCGGAAGGACCAAAAACAACCATCCCGGGGACGAAGCAGCAGATTTTAGGGATTATCCATACGGCAGTTTGTCACCACACATGATCGCCTCAATACGTCCAGTGGAGAATTTGGGGATGGTTTCGGCATTGCCGTTTAAAGAAATTCCAGCAAGTTCGGACGCATATTTCGTAGTTCAATTCGGACCATGCCGGGTCAGGCACGCACGCACTAGAAAGAGAGAAACAGTGACCTCTGCAAGTCTCGGGCTCAGTCAACGACTCAAGCTAGCGTCTCTTCAACCTCGCGGACAACTCTGCGAACACCCTCGATTTCGTGGGCGAACCTCCCCAGGAACATGCCATCGACGGCCTTCCCCAGACCGCCCGCGCCCCACAGCCCGGGGCCGGCACTTCCCCCATATAGAAAGCGGACCTCTCCACTCGCCGCGCCCCTGGTGCCGATCGCCGCCTTGATGCCCTCCACCACCGCGGTAATATGGTCCACGCCAGCAGGCGCAGGTTTCCCGATTGCCCACACCGGCTCGTAGGCAAAGATGACCGGCGCGTCGGGGGGGATGGCGTTCAACACAGCCCGGACCTGAGTCTCACATTCTCGAACCGCGAGGCCCACGGCCTGAGAAGCCACAGGCCCGGGGGCGGTGATTTCGCCGATGCAGACCAAGGGCACCATGCCGTTGGCGCACACGGCCGCCGCCTTGCGGCCGGTCTGCTCGTCGGTCTCACCAAAGAGATCGCGCCGCTCCGCATGTCCAAGCTCAACGATGGATACTCCCATGAAACGGAGAGCGAGCGGAGAGACCTCCCCCGTGTAGGCACCTTGTGACTCCCAGAAACAATCCTGAGCGCCGAGCAGGAACAGAGAGGACTGGTTTTGGTCTTGCTGGGGCAATGTCGCTTCCCACTGCTTGATGATCTCCGCACATGGGTAGATGGTGAGAAAATCGGGAACCAGAGCCAGCAGCAGCTTGGCGCGATTCTCCGATCGTATAATGTCGTTTTTCGGGTTGAGGAGGGCCCGGCAGTAGTCTAGCGTTCGGTCTGGAGTGAAGTACATCTTCAACGAGATGATGAGAAGGTTCTTTGGTAGTGTAGGATACACCATGGTGCTTGCTGGCTGGAGATGGAAGTGGAGACGGGAATCGATGTTTCGTGGTGAAGCTGAAATTTGTGGTTAGCTCGCTGAAGGTATGAGATGGATCTTCCAAGCCACTCCGAAGAGCCGAGGAAAGACAGGTTGACTAGTATCGAATCGGGGTCTGTTATTGCCGATACTGCTTTGAGAGCATTTCTCGGACTAGGTATGTACCTGGATCAAGCCAATGTCAGTCAGGTTTTGGATAAAACAAGCGTCGAACGATGTGGTGGGGTAAAAGGTTGGCGGGCAAAGAGGGGCTGGGGTAGGGGGCACGGCCGCAGTGCCAACCGGTCCACACACCAAGCGGTAAGTCAGCGAAAGCAATCAACATCACTGGAGCCTAGCCCACAGACATGTTAGACAGAGCCAACGAGACTGGGCGCAGAACGGAGGTGGTGAAAGCTCTTGCGCCCATTGTTGGAAGAACACAAGACACGAGGTGATGTCAGAGTACAGAAACACATTATGGAGGGGTGTAAGCTCGCGTCTACACCATTGAACATGGAACTTCCTTAGTCCTGGCCTCAAATATCTCGTCGGTGAGAAAAGGAGAATGGCAACATAGTAAGGTGGCACGGCAGGAAGAGGGGTTGATCGGCCATGGTCTTCCCTCCGCAAGATAGTGGCTTAAGTTGCAGCATGGCTGGGAGGACAGGCTAGGAATAATTGAATAGAAAGGCACAGGATTTACTGCAAGCATTTGCTAGGTCTGGCACAGCAAGTGGCGGGACATCGAAGATGCAGGATGCTACTCCGTATTTAGTACTCCGTAGATACTCACCTATCCTCCTCGAATAGACACAAGATATTAATATGAACTATGAAGACTAGCACAATACTAGTCTGGCGTAGGAATATTGGCAGCTCTCAGTCAATCAGGCATGGGGCGGCGAGTGGAGAACCAACGATGCCCCGAATCCACAACGAAACCCACCAAACACCCTCTTGTGTCGCCGAGTCTGGATCAAAAAATTGTGGCTTCAATGAGACGCATCAGCTGTACCGAGTAAAGTCGGCGCACATCTTATGCGCATGCCAATCAACACCACTTCGATGCGATGCTCAGTTCACGCCGCTGGGTGTCATCGTCTGCGAATTCCTCAAGATTCGGTCAACTTCAATAATGGCGCAGAGAAACATTATCTTCGGCGCAAATCGTTTCTCCTGTCGGTTCCGACTTTACCCTGGCCCGTACTTGCAGGACAATTTGATAGGAGGAGGAAAAGCCTCGCTTAGTGTAGAGATTTTAGGTCCGCGAGTCATACTCTTCTGGGTTTAGAAAATGCCCCAGAGCAATCTAACCACGGCAGCCATTCCGGCGTAACCAGGCACAGACTCTAGCCTTGCATGTCGTCCGAGATAGTGGCATCGAAGAGGTCTTCCTGACCATCATCGCAGACCAGATTTCTGAGTAAAAGGGAGGGATGTAGGAGGGGAAGATCAGTCGTCATCAATTCAAAGCCGGTGTGCAGGTCGCTGAATTATCAGAATACGTCGATCTGCATGTCTCATGTCATCTTTCAGAAAAGTAATGGAAATGATCCTTTGGTCCTCGAATCCTCTGCACGCTACCCATTAAAAGAGCGAAGGCAGATGTCAATGGCGACTGAGGAATGCATGACCGATGAGTGAGAGAGTGAGTCGTAGACTTCAGAGGCGTAGTCGAAGAAGTAAAGTCGATTGAGGCGCTATCGAAGTATGGTTAGTCGGATCAATAATATGTGAGAACAATGCGACCAGGGATCCGTTGTGAATCTCCGCGACGCCGGATTTCCGCATTTACACCTTAAGGTTGATAGGTGTAATTAAGCTGCATGAAATCGCCTCTCCCTTGCCCCGACGGTTAAGTTCATGACGCCATGGTGGACCTGCCAGAACCGAACATTCAACCTGCGTTCCCCAAAGCAGGCTCCTTGGCACGATCGCTGTTGTGGGGATTCCCAAATGAGCTCGCAAAGTGCGCGCGTCAGATATTGTCAAGTGTGCTCAATGCACCCGGTGCAGGTGATGGCGCTGATTGGAGCCATGCCACCTCCCCTCATTAATCACCGAAGTTTGGGGCTTTGGGTCTCAAGAGGTACGCACCGCTCAGCCTTGCATTCTTGTCGGATTTGAGGAGAAGAGTACTCAAGGATGGGCTCGGTGGAGGAGGATATAAAGGCTGATTCGATCCCAGTCCCAGACGATATTTTTTCATCATTGTTCCATCATTCTTCTCCCTTGGCCTTTATCAGACGTCTTTTTTTTACCTCCTCCCTACCCTTCACCTTCACAAGATTCCTCCACTTTAAACACCACCAGTTTATCTCTTGAAAGTGATCATGTCTGCCGATCTCAAGCCCCTCCGCATTGTCATGGCCTGCGATGAGGCGGGTCAGCCCTACAAAGAGACCCTCAAAGCCGCCCTGGAAAAAAGTTCACTGGTCGACTCCATCCTCGATGTGGGCGTCAACTCCACCAGCGACAAGACTGCTTACCCTCATCCTGCTGTCGCTGGCGCCAAACTCATCAAGGAGGGCAAGGCAGACCGCGGGCTGTTCATTTGCGGGACTGGTCTCGGTGTCGCTATTTCTGCAAATAAGGTGCCTGGAATTCGTGCTGTGACGGCTCACGACTCCTTCTCCGTCGAGCGCTCTATTCTCAGCAATGATGCTCAGGTTCTCTGCTTTGGCCAGCGCGTCATTGGTATCGAACTGGCCAAAAAGCTCGCCAACGAGTGGTTAACCTACCGCTTCGATCCCAAGAGTGCCTCTGCCGAAAAGGTCCAAGCTATTTCCGACTACGAAGCCCAGCTCTTCGGCGAAGCTGCTGCTGCTCAGTAGACGGCATGGATTGTCAACGAGTTCCATATACATTCACGATACAATAATTCGTCAATCAACCAACTTGAAACTCCCTTCCTGCCTTTCAGGGAATGGCAATTAATCTAGCCTTGTCTACGATACCTTCCACACGCGAGACGAGCTGGTTGCGGACTGGATCCCAGCCTATTTGCGGAGTACGCACTTTTAAACACTGATATGAATATCTCAAAACGAATTCGACGATACCACGAGATGAATGGGAGGATCATGGCCGGCCAATCTTCTCAATTTCTAGCTCTAAGTGGAAAGGACTAGGGAAATACATGAACAGTTACTGAGTATGATTTTGGCGTTCCGTAGCTGGTAAACCTGTGTCTCAAATGTTCTTCACTTCCCCAATGCCATTTTGACGATCTTCCCCATACTTTTGTGCTGACTCATCCATTTTTCTGCGGGGGTCGATCAGCTTCGATGTGCAAATGACCGCAGCAATTCGCAGATACATCAAGGATTCTTTTCTGCCTCGAAGATGGCACACAAAACTCCTGACTGCTCTGGGCCTGTCCCTACGAATGAGGCTAGTGCTAATCTGCTCCTCCCCAGTACCAATTAGCATCAAAGGTCTTGCTGTCCTCTTACCACAAGGCACGCTGACTGTGCCCCCCTTCTCCTGCGGTCGTATGTTAATACACCGCAAAGCATACCCCTCTCCCGACCTCATCTAAAACAATTGCGTTGCCTACTTAAGAATAGAAGCATTTTCAGAACTTCTCCCGCTTCTTCTACTGTCTCGCAGTACCGCATTAGCTCCGCACCAAGCAGTGGATCAGCGTCAACTGAGCCCCACCAGAAACCGATCGCTCCGTTCAATTACTCATTCCTTTGGCACCAAGAAAATTAGGGATCAGTTACTCTCACAAACACATTTCGAAGACCACAAATCTTGCGGCTTTCGTTACGTTCTGACTGGAGCTATTCAACCCCAATTCTGGTCTTTTCTTTCGTCACTGTGTCCCTTGAGCGGTCGATAAACGAGCACGGCGACAAGACACGGCGCAACCACACCCACGATGTCTTTCGATCTAAAGGAAAAGGGCAATCAGCTCTTCAAGCAAGGCGATTATGCCGGGGCGGAGGAGATGTTTTCCCAAGCGTGAGTCTAACATCGATGGACTGCGAGGCCTCTTGAATCCTCCGAAACTCTATGCTGCGAGACACTTACCCCTCAATTCGTTCGGCCATAGTATCCAGAAGAACCCGAAGGAGCCTACATTCTTTTCAAATCGGGCTATCACGCGCATGCGACTTGAGAATTGGGCTGGCGTTGAGAAAGACGCGCGTGTGGCGATCGACTTGTTCGGCGCGAAGAACCCCTCTAATCTGAAAAGTCGCTATTATCTGGCACAGGCTTTGCTGGAACTGCAGCGGCCACAAGAAGCACATGAAGTTGCGGTCGAAGCATATCAAGCGAGCTTAGCGGCCAAGAGTGCCCAGTCGGAGAATCTGTCTAAGACGGTGCTGCGCGCGAAGCAGCAGCTCTGGGCCGCTAAGGAGGCGGCACGGGTGCGGGAGCAAAACGAGACCCTGGCGAATATGGAACGGTTGGTCGAGGCCGACCTACAGAGAGCGCTGAACGACCTCCAGGGACAGTTGGACCGCGGAGAGATTGGCCAGATTGGATTTTCGGAGGACCAAAAGGCGCTCCGAGAGGATACGGAGAAGACGCTGCAGGTGTTGCGGGAAACGTTCGCCATTGCATCAAAGGGGGAGATTCAAGAAAGGGTAAGCTTGCGATCTGGGTTGCCTTTCCTCAGTCGAGGCTTTGTGAAGACGGAAGCTGACCTTGTGCGACTATCTCAGGTTGTACCCGATTATCTTATTGACCCGATCACATTCGAGATCATGCATGATCCGATGATCACACCGTCCGGAACCAGCTTCGAACGCGTTGCAATCACCAAGTATGTGGAACAATCTAAGGTGGACCCGATCACGCGTGTACCGATGACAGTGGATGACCTTCGGCCCAACTATGCGTTGAAAGGAGTTTGCGAGGAGTTTCTGCAGAAGAACGGCTGGGCGGTTGACTGGTAATCTTCTACTTGTTTTGAACACTTTTTTAAGCGGCACTTGATCAAGTTACAAAATGGTTCGGCGTTGGTGGATGGATTGAAGACTAGAGCTCCTCTTCTTTTTACATACTTTCCTGATGTTCATAATTTCCGTGTTAAATTAACCCTCCTAGATGCATATAAGCATTATATACTTATCATTACTTCTCATTAATAGAACCAAATCCCTCAATTGCCTTCTCCTCGGCACGGGCAATGCGTAGCGATCAACGTGATTTCATCATTTCAACCATCTCCTTTCCCCTCCCCCGTGTCAACCCCACCTCAACTAACCCAGAGCCAAACCAAACAAACAAACTCCTCCACCCCCACCAACTCAACCCCTCCATCAATCCATCGATCCATCCTCCTCTTCCTTTTTTTCCTCTTTCTCCTTTCCATCTTTTCTTCTCTACCACTCATTTCACTCATTCGTACCCTATACACTTCTTCCGACCAGAAGGAACCCACATTTCAAGATGTCCACCACTGCCTTCACCACCGCCCTGTCGGCCGCTCAGTCCAAGGCCAAGTACGCCCCCGCCGTGCAGACCGCCGCCGAGAAGGTCAACGCCGATGCCCTCTCCACCGCCGTCGAGGCCGTTCTGGCCGGCGGTGACAACGCCTCGGTCGAGGGCGAGCAGGCCGACGCCCTGAAGAGCGGATTCGAGTTCGCTACTCTGCTGGTCAAGGAGTTGGCTTCCGAGCCTGGACAGACCGAGATGTTGACTGTATGGCTTTTCTACCCTTCAGTGTTTCCCCCCCCTGGTTCATCATGATGAACTAGTTTGTATTCAAAATGGTTCTTTCTTTTTCTTCGAAGAATAGTATGCAACGGATGGATGCTGATATATATCTTTGTTTTGCCCTTCACTACAGCTCTACAAGTACTTCAAGCGCTCGCGGAATGAGGAGCCCGCTCAGCCTTCGTTCTACCAGATGGAGGTGAGTTATCATTCAAATTCCGTGTTCTCCGTTCCGAGCGTTCCGGACGGCCGGAAAGGCTACTTCCCTGGATTGTCGGGGAGAAAACATGGCTAATCGTGCAACCTGAACGAATAGGCCAAGTTTAAGTACAACGCCTGGAAGGAGATCAGCCACATCAGCCAGCAGCGCGCTCAGGCCCTTTACATCAAGGAGGTCAATGACCTGATTGAGAAGTACCACACCCGCGACTAGAGAGCATCGATACAGAACATCCTTGGTTATGAATGATCTGGTTCCTTTTTGCTTGTGATATCTTTCTGGTACAGATTTTCCATTTGGCCTGTCAATGGTTGGATGAGTGTTCTGTCTGTTTTTAAATATGTAAAGTCATGAGCGAGCATCATACTTCGCTGTCTTGTCGTTGAATTCTTTTCAGGGAAGATCCCGAGTGTAGAGTGCTGGTGGATGTAGGTGTGAGTTGGGTAAGTTGCATATATAGGTCTATCGGTGGGTGAGTGGGTGAGGGTGTATCGGATGATCTCGTTGCTCAATTCAGTTAACCTTCCCATGTCTGTCCGAGCCAATCGGGCTCGCTGTGACTCGCTGTTGCGCACCAGGGGATGTCGTCTGCTCTGAATGGGCTTAGAGGGAGGTCGTATGGCATTCGAAACCCAACTGTCACGGCGGCGTCTGCATATACTGCGAGTGGTGTATCCGTTTTGCAACACGGTACCATCGCCGTCTCTGCAGGAGCAGTATCCGTGCTCGGTGGTCCCCTGGTCAGTAACTCCGGCCATACCACCACCCCGATCTCCCAGCTGCAGATCCGCACCTCCCCGTTCGCATTTACGGCCGCGCCCCAAGCCTGCGTTGACAAATTTGCCGACGTGACCATTGCCCAATCGATTGTAGTCATATCTTCCGAAGAGAACCGGATGTACGTTTTGATATGCGGTGCCGCACGTCGACGGCCTGCCTCTCGTCGGGGTTTGGCGGGCTTCTCTTCGTCATCTCCCGCCCAACGACACAAAAAGGGCCGCAAATATTGCAGCTGCCTCTGCTGGGCTGCGCTCTGCAGCTTCATATGGATAGACCCACCCGACCCGTATCCGTTCAGGGAGCGTCGGATCTCATCTGGGGTGGGAAATATGATCGAGTAGCGCGGTTTTGGGTCTTCTACTTTGGGTGCCAGAGACGCGAACAAAACCTCTTTGAGCCACTTGTCTGATTGCCCAAGCGATGCCACCGAGGATATCTGTGTTTATCAGTATGCTTTCCCCACGACCACTAGTACGAACCGGCACATGTTGCAGAGCAGAAGTCACTCAAACTCACCTGGACCACAATGTGCGGCCTTCTCTTCCCCCCACCTCCTTCTTGCTCCTGCTTGTTTTTCTTGACATGATCCAAGGCAGGGACATTCTTCAGCACATCCTTTAACGCAACCCAACCCCAGAGGGTCTTGACTCGCGAATCCGCCTCGTTCAGCTTCTGCTTTGAAGGCACACTAGCCACGAGTGCTGCTCGAACAGCACGGAAATCATACTGACTCAATTGCTTGACCAGCGGGCCCGTCTTCTTAGATCCATATTCACTCAGGTAAGCCAGCAAGTCTCGTTTGAACCTGGCTCCGGATCCGGGGAGCTGCTGTCCATCGTCCGCATTGGTGTCTCTCCTCGTGCTGCTCACAAGAGGAAGGAGCGGAGACCGCCACAACGCTTGGGTCATATTCGCCCAGTCGCCTGGGATCATGTTGGCCGTGTGGATGATGACCCTGAGACGAAATTATTAGAGCCTAAAAGCTTCCTTGAACAATAGCACGGATGCACTAGCTAGGGTGAATACAAAGAACGCACTGGGCATAGTCATCATGTCGCAAGAGAATCATCATTTTGGAGTGATGGGTGCCAAACGCTTCGGGCATGTAGGCCACAATAGCTTCTACGTTTGGGTATCGTGTACAAGCTTCCTGAAGCGACCATATTAGTGCCAGCAGGAGGCTTGGAATGTGGGGAAGTCGTTGACTCGATGAGGGCAGTGAAGAGATAGAAGAATAACGCACATCGATTCGCACCCGATTGGGCGCATCTCGTTTCCACGATCCATGCACCACCTTCAGCTTGACGAGTGCTCTCACATCCTCGTCGAACTGGCTCATTAAGAAATCCACATCATGGAGGTAGTTGAATTGCCAGCATTCGCGGATCATGGGATCGCCCAGGATGTCGCGGAGACGGACGGTGTCGACATTCTTGCCCGACGAGGGTGCAAAATCCCGGATATGAGTGAGCTGAATAGGCGAGGGGAGAATCTTCTGATTCGGCTTCGGCAGTGGTGCTTTGTGAGGAGAGGAAAAGAGGCAAGGCGTTTGGGGTGCGGAGTTCCTGGCTGAGCGGGAGAACAACACCGGCGGAGGTGTAATAGAGCGGCACAGAGACGCTAGGGGTTTGTCAAAATCGGTCCCATTATCATGACTTGATGAGTAGTCTCCAGGCTCTGCCTTTGTATCTGGCTTAGAGAGTTTTGCCCTTTTTGAAGGACGGTCTGTTTCGCCCATTGTGGTGGAGACTCTGTGAGGGTGGAATCAAGAAGTTCGAGAAACGAGGTTTGGTGCGGAGAAGGAAGTGGACGGAACAAGCCAGTGTCGGCACCACCACTTCTCACCCTTACATTCTTTTGACATGATCATGATGTCTGTTCGGCTTACCAAGAACTTTGCTACTATCATACAAGGCACTGATATTACACTATGCTACAGACAATCTATCTACTATGCAGACTAGACAGAACTTCAAACACAAACTCACCACATAAACCTCTGGACCTTGCCGGGTTCCTGCGGCCATTCAAACCCACAGTACAAGAATATATAACCAGTCACCGCGTTAATGACCAGGAACCAATATGTCTCCAAGAACAACGGAAAGTTGGTGGCCATCTTTGCATTGAGTTCATCGATGGCATGCTGGGGACGCCGGTGTACCAGTGGCGTCGGCTGGGGCGGTAGATGAAGACGCCACATCACCCACGGAATGATGAAATATCGAGGCTCAACCAGAGGAGCGGTGATGAGAGACAGCACTGTGGCCGCGAGCCAAACAAGCACGAAGCTCACCTGGGGTGCACCTTGCTGCTGCTTTTGACGCTGAATGAGATGTGCTTGAATCTTGGCAAATGCCTCCTCAGAAATGGGCTGAGGTACAGGTGCCTTAGCAGGCTGCTTCGATGTCTTCTGCTTTGCTGCCTTCTGCTTGCGTTCCGCCTTCTTCTGCGTAGGCTCTTTCTGCATGGGCTCCTCCTGCAACTCCGGATACTGCCAGGCTGCAGGCTGGGTAATCTGCCTCATCTGGGGCGGCTGAGGAGTAGTGGAGAAACCGAGGGCAGAAATTACCATCCACGCGCAAAGGAAGTAAACGACAACAGCGGCGTACTTGGTCGCTGGATGGGTCCGTAGGAGGATCCGGAAAGCGTAGAAGACGTAATGGCGATTGTCAGCGAGCGTGAACGGATGCACAATGGTGTTGAAATGAACCACAACCAGCATGATGGGAATGACGGTAATTGCTGTCAGCAACTTGGGGAAGCCCTTTTGTTTCTTGGGAAAGCCAAAATCAATGAACTTCGGAAGGAAAGACTTGGGGAGAGCCAAGTTGATGACGGGTCCGAGAAGTAGTGGCCAGGAGAAGAATACGATGAATGGCCAGATGTACAGCATCTGCGGCAGATGAATACCGGCAGTGTGGAATTCCTTATGTCCTGGAGGTTGTCAGTGTGCTATAGGAGGCATGCAGGAGCCGGGCAGACTCACCCAGGACAACACCATCATTCCAGAGGACAAATGCCCCGAAGCCTGCAAGTATAAGCAGGTACGGAATAGCCGTGCTGATCACGGTGCCCAAATTACTTAAGGCAACCGAGAGCAGCGAAATAGAAGTCTTGAAGTAGTCTATTATTGGTAAGCAAGCCTTCAACCACTCCTGAAAATAGGAAGTCTACCTTCAATGGAAGCCTCAGAAACAAGAGGATCATAGAGTTCATTCTGCCATCCCTGTCGAACAACATCCGCGAGACCCGAGGACCGACACGGCTTGGACTTCAGTTTCAATTGCCGAACAACCTGCAGTCCACCCAGAAAGATAGCAGCCCAGAAAATGTTCGTTTGTCTAAATACCAGCGTCACCAGTCCCAGGACCGTGAAAACGATCGTCTTGAGCGGGAACCATGCATCACCCGACGAACGTTTGAGGTCCCAATTGTATGCTTCGACAATCACGAGCAAGGCAAGAATATCAGTGTAGTAAAGCCCCGAGAAGAAGAAAATTGGCGGGAAGAGGCAAATGTTCAACACTGTATGGCTCAGCCAAGCCCCAGAGGGACGGGTATTGCGAGTTTTGCGCAGTCTATCCAAGAGCTTCTGCAAGCGATATGGTAGCGCAATCGCGGTAGCTGCCACGTTGGTCGCACGCAGCACTTCCGGGGTAAGCTCCGCAGGAGAACCTCGTAGGGAAAGAAGGGCAGCGCATAGCCCATACGACCAGAGATACAGACCCGGCGGGGTTGTGATCTTCGGATCCCAATGGGTCCATTTGTGAGCCCAGTAAGCCTGCGCTTGAGGGATGTGGAACGCCTCGTCCAGATATGGTTCGGGGACATGAGCATTGATCCTGCTCAACCAAATTGGGATCAACAGCAAAACAAAAGGCACAGCATAGCGGGCGGCCAAGACCACACCTGACTTAGATTGTGCACTCATGATAAGTATGGCTTTCAAGAGCAAATCATGCTTCCAACACTGAAGGGTGGGGAATCGCAATAAAGTCATGGACGAGGAGTGAGTGACAGCTCCGAAAAGGGAAGAATAAATCCCGATGCAAACCGGGCAAACAGGCCGCCTTGCACGCGCCAGTCAATCTTTCTTTGATCTTCAATGGCATGATGGAATAGATCGCCTTGTCGCCTTGCTCACTCCTGTCTAGAGAAGATTGACGCCAGGGCATGGAATGTGTCCCTCTGTTTTGCCTTCACCTTCTTTCCATAGCCCAACTTGCCTGACTGACGGGCAATGGCCTTCCCCCTCCCGCGGGGCATTACGCCCCCGGAGATCTCCTTCCTTGCCGAGATGGAGATGGTCACTATCCTGCCGCGTCAGCGTCTCGAAGGCTTAGAGTTGCTTGGTGTAAGTTATTGCCGTTGAAACAAACTCAAAAGAAACCGATACCCCGTTCGCGTTCGAATTCCTCTTCTATAACCACCAACATGTAACCCCTTCGACCCGCGACTATATCTCTCCCCCTCCCCTTCACCCTGTTATATAAGCATCTCTCTTTTGCGCATACGGAAAATCTAAAGCTCGGAATTCTCTTTAGGGCCCCGTTGAGCCTCTCATTCCTCCTCGCCGCGCCTCTGTTCCCCTCTGGCTAGCTCTCCTCCTCAAACGCCAACGCCGCGCGAACATCCTCCCTCCATCCTGGCTCCACCCGGAATCCCTCTCCTTCATCCTCGACATCGAGACCCAATACGAAGAATATAAAGAAACCTTCTCTCCTCCCCCACCTCTACCAGGGCAACCGTTTCTCCATGACCGTGGCGAGCGAGCCGTCGCCACCCCACGCTTCACCCCAGACGGCGACAAATATTACCCCGCGCCGCCCTTTCTACCGCAGAATGTCGCGCGCGACCATGTCCCCGCCCAAGAGCTGCAGACGCTTCCCTTCCACTGGCTCGAAGTAGGCAATATGCTTCTCGAGGCCGCCAGCGAAGACCTGGTGGACCCCGATCAGACCCGCCGGCTGCTGAAGGAGCTGCGAGAGGTGCGCATGGCCAAGATCCGGTCCGGAGTGGACGCGCTGGATGCCGCCGCGATGGGCGGAGGCGGAGTGGCACTGACAGGTGTTGGAGCAATTGAGCTCGGTGAGGGACGGAGGTTCATCTCGGGGGTGATCGATGGGCTCCGGTATGGTACCCCCTTCTTCTCCAGGACATCCGACATGGAAAGTCTCTTGTTCTGCATCTTGCTAACTCCGACTGTGCATTAGACGTATTGGCGCATCCAGAGAGCAGGCTCGGAGGGAGGAACTGGCGGAAGAGATGGCTAATGGTGGATACGATGCAACGCAAGACGATGACGATGAAATGGAGTTCTAGAACTCGCGAGACGACCCTCCTTTTGACCCAGTGCCCATCCATGGTCGGCGTTACGGAGACTTACAGTAAATTATTGGCATTTGCAAGACCCATGTGGAAACGTCCTATGTATATATACCCTTATAGTCGTTCGATAACAGATTTACTATATCGCATGAAATGCAGGATCAGACAAGATCCACGCATGATCAATCTGTTCCAATCGTTCCAACTGAGAAACATGCTCCATAAAAACAAGCCGCGCCTTGTGCGCGCGAAGCTGTCCATAAAAGACAGGAGACTAGTGAAGGCACCATCGTCAACTTGAGGCTGACGCTCTGAGCCGAGCCTAGCCGAAAAGTACTTCATTGCTGAATCAATCCTTGAGCCTTCCTCAACGCCAAGGAGAAAAAAAAGGTATATAGAACTAACAATAGGTGCTGGTAAATAAGACTCAGGCCGCAGCGAGGAAAAGAGCAGTCCAAATTGGTCGAAGAAACCTGAGGAGAAGGAAGCCCACAATGACAATTATGCAGACCGTGCTAAGTGACAACAAAAGGCAAGTGAAGAGTAGGGAGCGTCAACGCGCGAAACCATGTCAGAATAGGAAAGGGGTGCATATTATTGAGCCACCCCTTGGTCCTTCTGCATCATCTTCCTCCTCGCCGCCAAAATCATATCGTCCCTGCGTTTCTGGAGCAGGCGCTGTCGCTCCTCCTTGCTCTGCGACCAGCCCGTGGATGGCTGAGCCTGCGAGGTCGCAGCATCCTCCTCCGCGCCGACTTTCGAGCGAAGGTTGTACCGAGAGATCAGGTCCTGGCCGTCTGCCTTGGGTGTAGCAGTGACAGGCTGTACCGGTGCGGTGGGTGTAGGGATAGCGACCTGCGGTTGGAAAGAAGGAGGAGGCTGTCGGGGTTCACAGTGTTAGCTTCAAGGCAGAGTACCACCAAGACTGAACGAGGAACTTACCACTTCTAGTCCACGACCCGTCAGGATTCTTTCCGTAGTCGCGGCCATGTTTCCTCCGTTGCGCTGCAAATCCCACATGATCTCGCGATGACTGAGTTGAGGGAACATCTGCGAGATCTGCTCGACCTGCGCTGGATCGACGCCATTTCCTCGCGCGCGGCTGCGACCAGCCCCGGCACCAGCGTCGCCGTCACGGTTGAAGAACCATCGAATCACGAAGAAAGAGACAACGGCAAGCGTAAGAAGGGAGGGGATATTCAGGGACGGCTCTTCGTCGGGCATGGTGACAGGTCACGTGTGGAGAGGGGGACTGCGTCAGTGTTGGAATATGAGGGGGATGTCGGGACGTTAGAGGCGCAAATTTCCAAGGGAAAGTGAAAGGATATCTCTGGCCACAAAATTTCGGCGAAAGGGGCAACTTTGTCCTTGAAAGGTAAATATCGAGTGGAGACGCTTCTAGAGAGAGGGGGGATGTTGGTTGAGTTGAGGAAAGCCGCGGCAGATTGGAAGAGCGGCGAGGTGGCGGTGGAGCATGTCGGGAGGGCGGAACGGGAGGGCGGAATCCCTTCAAACGTCCTTCATATCGCCGCTAACGGCGTTCTATCCAACTCTTTAAGTATACCAGTCATTTTCAAAATTCTTTGACGCACCATGGTATGGAAATATCCACGAATATCATTAAAATGTAACAGTAAAGTCATCCAGGTTCATATACATCATTCAAAAACACCCCACAACAAGAAATCGCCATGGCCCCGTCATATAACGCTTCCTGTCCCTGTCCTTAACCAGAATAGCCCAAACGAAGTATGAACAAACGAAGAATCAATTTCCTGACTGGAGTGTGTCTATCTGAGGTCCGCAGCAGTCAAGGCTTGGACCACACTGGTACCCTCGCTGAACCTCGTACGGAAAATACGATTGGCATTCTGGAACATACCATCCTTCAGCGACACCACGATAAACTGAGATCCATTGAAACGGGTCTTGATCAAGCGACCGATATTTTGTGTGTGTGACAGATCTAGAGCAGCGTCGACCTCGTCCAGAATGTACATTGGGGCCGGCTTGAATTGCAGTAGTGCCATTATCAATGAGAGAGCAATAAGAGATCTGCGCATGCGTTAGTTCTCCGGCTCGCAACGTAGTATCTCAGGAGCTTTTACGTACCTCTGTCCACCACTTAACTCTGTTAAACTCTGCTTCCAAACCTTACCCAGAGATACCTTCACTTCCAACCCATCTGTGATATCCTTGCCCTCTGGGGGATCCAACTTAGCGAAACTGCCCGGCAGAAGCTCGGAAAAGATTTGACCAAAATCGCCATTGACCTTAGTCCATGTCTTGTGAAGAGCCTCTTTCTTGTACTCATTCAGGTTGATGATAGTTTCCTCGATCTTTCGCTTATCTCGAATAACAGTCTTCATCATGTTCTTCAGAGCGGCCTCCTTCTTTTCCACGCTGTCAATCATGTTCATGACCTTAGGGTTGATCTTCTTCTTCATGCCCTGGGAGCGCTCCGTGAGGTTCCGCAGCGTCGACTTGCATTCAGCAATGTTGTGGTTCTTGAAGTCGTATGGCGTGTTGGTTCGTCCGAAATTATCTTTTTCATCCGCGATCCACTCATGCTCGTTTTCCATATGGGCAACCGTCTGCGCAGCCACCTGCTGGTCCTTCAGTAATTTCTCCAGCTGATGGCCTAGCTTCTGCATTTCTAAGCCGCCTTCGGTAATTTGTGAGCTCTTAGATTTCATCGCCGCCTCAAGTTCGTGTAGTTCGTTATCAAAGCCCGTCAGCCTGGCTCGTTCGTCCTCAAGCTGAGCCTGTGCGACGTCATGCGCATCCTATCAAATCTCTTAGCAAGACAGTTTTCTGTGGTTGAATTAGACGTTTGCCTACCTTGATCCGAGCCTGTTCTCTCTTCAATGACTGAACTTCCTCTATCTGAGCTTTCAAAGTGTTTTCGGCTTCGGAGCTCTGCTCCTCTGCGGCTGACAGGTCACTACCTACCTGCTCCAACTCTAGCCTTGAGTTCTGGAGCTCCTTCTGTAGGATTTTGGCAGAGTTGGAATTCTTGGCAAGCTTTTTTTTGAGAGAGTCTAGGGAAGCTTGCAGCTCCGCTAGCTTGCTATCTTTGTTGTCGTTGAATTCGCTCATATCTTTTTCGATTCGCTTGATATCCTTGGATGCTTCACTTTGTCGAGTCTTGGCGTCAGAGATATCCTTCTTCAGCTGCTCGATATTCGCTTTCATCTCTTCAACAGCTTGGATGATCTGATTTAAGTGAGCTTTAGTTCAGCCTGAATGTCACAATTGGGTGAATTCTTACGGTTGAAGACGAGTTACCACTAATCTGCTCCTCCGTGAGCTTGATCTCATGGGTCTTGAGGTCCAACTCCTGCTTGATCGTGCGAGCTGCGTCAAGCTTCTTCTTCTCCTTCCTCATAGTCTCTTCGAGGGTGATAAGGAGTCGCTCCTTGCTGCGGATTTCTCTGGTGATCTCATTTAATTTCCCGAGCGTTACAAGAACACCGCTAGAGTTTGGGGAGCTGCCACCAGACAAGGTGCCTGAAGGGTCATAAACGTCGCCCTCAAGTGTCACACTCTTGATGCGGACAGATGGATCAAAAGTAACACGCTTAGCCGTCTCGGCATCCTGGCAAATCAAGGTATTGCCAAAGACATAGTTCATGGCCGCCGTAACCTCATCATCGAATCCAATCAGAGACAAGGCAATATCTACCTTACCCGGGGCGATATTCTGAGCAGCGCCGATCTTCTCTGCGGAGGCCCTGAAAGATGAGATCTTGTTCAAAGGGATGATCGTCACACGCTTCTTAAGTCGGCCGTTCTTTAGAAGTTGCGTACCAGTCTCAGCCGAGTCGACGACAACATTGTACAAGCGTCCACCAGCGCAAATTTCCAGTGCAGTCGCGGCTTGAATCTTCTCCTTATCCAGGGTAAAAAGTTGCGCCACAAGACCCTTGACCTTCGAGCGATCGAAATGCGGGTAAGGATCGGCGTATTGGAAGTCGATGTTTGCGACCTTTCTTTGAAGCTCATCAGCTCTGCGGCGCAGCTCACGGATGTCCCTTTGTAGCTCCGCTTGTTCTTGGTTGAGCTCTTCTTCTCTACCTGGCTCATATCCCAGCCTAGTAAGTTCAGCCTCTAATTTCTTCGCTTGAGACCTCAAGCCTTCCAGTTCCTTGAGGAGACCAGAATTCTGCTCCTTCGCCTTCTGTGCCCTGGGCTCTTCCTCCTTAATTCTTTTTTCCAGATGCGCGATTTTTAATTTGGCCTGCTCCTGTCCTGTCGCAGCTGCGCTGGCACGATTGCGAGCATCCTGTAGCTGACCTTGGTAACCACTCTCCTGACCTTCTCTCGAAGCAACACCAGTCTGTAGCGTCTGAAGCAACTCTTCCTTTTGCTCCACCTCAGAGGTTTGGGCGTCAAGTTCTGCTTTCGCGGCGTTGAATTCGGCCTGTATTTTATCGTAAACCTTCTTTTTCTCCTTGAGGACCTTTTCCAGGTCGCTAACTGTTTTCTGGGAGTCTTTCATCTTCTCCTTCTCCTCGGCAATGCTGGCATTCTTGAGGTCGAAGACCGTTGCCAATCGAACGAGCTCGTGCGAGTTGGATTTGACTTCGTCTTCCAAGGCTTGAAACTTGCCGCCTTTCCGGAGCTCCTTATCCCGAGCGGCTTTGACCCTCTTAACATCATCCTCCAAGTGAGCGATCTCGCTCTTGAGCTTCGTTGCGCTGTCTTCGAGGTCCTGTACTCTCTGCTTCTTGTTCTCGCATTCCTCCCCTGTTACACGAAGCCGCTCGTTGCTCTTCAAATAGTCGTGAGCAACGACCAGTCTCGTCAGCCGCTCCAGATCATTCTGTGTCTGCTGGAAGTCCAGGAATGCTCGCTTCTCCGACCGGAGCTTCTCCAGCTTGGGCTCAATTTCCTCCTTGAGCAACTCTTCGATTTCGCGCAGCTTGAGCTCCTTTTTGCTCATCGTCTTCACGGCCTTCTCCCTTCGATCCTCGAACATGCGCGTACCCGCCGCTTCCTCGATCATCGACAAGATCTCAACCGCCTTCATGTTCAGCACCTTTGTGATCTTTCCCTGCATGATCAGGAAATTGGGGTTATTGATATTCAGCTGCACGCTCTGGAAAAGGTTCTGGACGGTCTGCTGCTGCGCCCGGTGGCCGTTGATGAGATATTTGCTCGTTCCGCCGAGGACAATTTGGCGCGTCACTGAGATCGTCGCATATTCTTCGAAGCCGATGGGCGACTTGGCCGTGTCGCGGTTGTCAAAGACGATGGTGACGCTGGCCTTGGTTACACCGGCCTGACCGCGCTTATAAATAAGATCCTGGAGATTCTGTGCGCGAACGGTGCTCATATTCGTGATACCAAGAACGAAACAAATGGCATCGAGGATGTTCGATTTTCCACTACCATTCAAGCCGGTGATAGAGTTGAAGGAATCGTCCCTAGACAACAAGTGGAAGAGGAGTCAGCTTCATTAGCACTATAAGCTTGCGGAATGACTGGTAGGTCCCTCAACGCCTCTGTAGCGCATACCATCCTGAGATAACCGTACGCACGGCGTACGATTTGAAGCCCTGTCGGGTAGTCAGTAAATCACATCTCACTTGCGGGCTGAATCAGTCCATCGGCGCGGAGAGACCCGACTCACGTCAATGATAATTTCTGTGATCCTCATGACTGCGACTCCAATTCTGCCCCATCAACTACAAGTTCGGGTGCATGGGAGATGAAGGGAGTGTCGTTTGCTGGTTTGGATCCGGGAACTGTTTTCGCGGGCGGTGTTTTCCCGGCGGGCAGCGTGTTTACTGTTTGCTACATTGGGTTTAGCCTAGGATGCTGATAATGTAATCATAGAGGGGTCATACACGTGATCAGTCAAAGATAGCCATGAGAAACACTAACCAATTAGATTACAGTGCGCCTCAACCAACAACTATACGTATTGTGGCGAGGTGAGTGCAGTAGGGCGCTTGAATGCGTAGTAAACAGTATCTCCCACACTGCCAGTAAATAAAAACAATTCTCAGCTTAATGCCACTCCTGGTTGTACCATAGCTTCTTCCTCCCCTTGTTGGCATCGGTGCAGCTTGACCCGCATCGAAGTTGATGGAGAAGACATTGAAAACTGCATGCGTTGATTGGCCTTAGCGAACCTTGTCCTATAATGAACAATCCACCTGAATCGGAAAGATATAGCTAGAAACAGCAGCTCGCTTATCTACTCCTAGTAAGGTCGACACTTTGACACTACAAGCCGTCAAGTCTATCGAGAGCATCCATATGCCCACGGTCTGTGCATGGGACTTGTGTACCTTCGAGACCCAAGCGCGGGAAGAGTAAGTAACCTGAACAACACCAAACTCACCCAATGGGTTCAAAAGGGACTCTATCATATTATGGGTGGCAAAGGCTAGCATAAAATCGTTTTGGCCATTTTTTTTAAGAGTGATACCATCCAATGTCAATTGATATCTGCGTAATCAGCCGGGACTAGCGAATACGAGCTTCATGGCATCATGACGTTTACCGTATGCATGCCTCAGAAGGGATCATTGTCGCCGAGCGATTCGACTACATCACATCGAAGGAAGCTGTCAAAACAATTGCATACAGAGCCAATACCATGCCTTGCTAGGATTTAATCCCTGCATACCGAGATCTGTCCCCCAAGGTGCTCCGGAGACATCTCGGAGACATTCCTATGCAAGCCCAGCAGCCAACAGCCACCAGCCAGAGTTAAGAAAGCTATAAAAGAACTATAAATGAACGCCCTCATGCGGGTCTATCAGTTGCTTCTTCCGAATGCCGCTCCATTCCGTGCATTCGTGTCGTCGTTGATGCCACCTATACATCTGAGTAATCACGGACTGACCCTTTCAGCAAACAATGGCCACCTCCCAGCCCAAGATCCAGAACATATCCTACCACACTCCGGAGTTCCTAGCCCGCTACTACATTGCTGAGAAGCTCACCGGTCCCTTCGTTGCACCTCTGATCACTCACTCGCGCATCAGCCAGCAACTCCAGTCCAATTCTCGTGTGATCCTGGACAATGCCTGCGGATTGGGTATAGTATCGAGCATCCTGAACCGCACGCTTGACGACAACGCCAAGAGCCGCTGGAGCTTGACATGTGGCGATCTGAACGAGACGATGATTGAATCCACTCGGAAACGTATTGCACTGGAGAAATGGCCCAATGCGGAAGCCAAGGTGGTGGATGCGCAAAGCACTAGCTTTCCAGATGAGTTTTTTAACGATGTTTTTGCGGCTTTTGGTAAGCTTTTGTTTTTCCGCCTCAGAGAAGAGGTAATGGCGTAAGAGGATGGTTGGAATAAAGCTTGGCTGACCTCGAGGTGTTGTTGTAGCATTTACCTTGTTCTCTGATCCAGAGGCAGCGATGGATGGTAAGTTGTGCTCGGTCTAGAGCTTCTGTCCCAAAGTATGCGAGGACGAGTCCTCTGATCTGCAGTTCGTCGCAACAGAATGCTACAGAATTCTAAAGCCTGGTGGAACGCTTGCGATTTCGACCTGGAAGAGCCGTATGTACCATTCCTTTCTAAAGAAGTCTTTACGTTGTCGTTACTGACTTCTCTTCGAAGCTACCTGGATGTCTCTGCTAAGGGCTGCGGTCACCGGCATGTCTGAGGACCTGAAGTTCCCAACCATTGAGGAGTTTCTGGCTATGCACAATGTGGGATGGGACTCGGAACCATTCGTTAAGTCACAACTCGTTAAGGCAGGGTTCAAGGAGGTTGAGGTGATCGCTGTGACGGAACCGATCCAGCTCCCGATTTCTGAATTTGTGGAGCTGTCGTCAAGTATGCTTAACATGGTTATAGAAAAGTGCTGGACTCAGGAACAGCGAGGACAGTACCAGACGGAAGCACCCGTGGCGGTGCAGAGGTATCTGGAGGAGCGATTCGCAGCAGATGGGCTAGTGAGGATGAATCCATCGGCTATCATCGCGACAGGGAGCAAGTGAGTAGGACTGGTGATCGTTCACTTATGATGCTCCAGTTTACCATATGGAATATGCAACTCATAGCCAATAAGAACTGAAATTCAGATCATGGGAGTCATTGTTCGAAGTAAAGGTATGTACTTAAGGTACTTCCCACAGAATGTAGAGACACCGGGTGCTATGCTAGTACTAGCAATCTTCAGATCGACCGTTTACGGGACAGTGCAGTGAGCCTAACACCGGTGCTGATCTCATCCCACCTCTGCACATGCTCCGTGCTCGACCTTTATGACCCGTGGTGCGGAAACCCGACACGCGCAAGCCCTCTGTTGGGATCCACACGGTTGTCTAGATCTTCATAGCGAAGGATAAATTCACGCTGCAGATCGCTCAATCAGTATAATGCTACGTCCAGATGAGACAGGCAAGATGGAGGGAACATACTCTGATCTTCTTCCAGCTAGTGGGATCCCACAAGAGGTAGACACCCCTTTCACTAACACCACGCTCCACGTCGACAGGGCCGGGATACGTCTCGTCACGAGTGAGCCAGCACCGCTCGATCTTGTGATATCTCCATTTCCGGCCCATTAGTTCCTCCGCTACAACCTCCTGCAAGACATCTCGCGGCATGCTGTAGAAAATGTAGAAAAGCGTCTCATCACTGAAGCTAGGAATCCTCGACTGCAGAGGTTGGACGTTGGCCACGCTATAGCATGAAGGGAGGGCGAAATCCTGCTCCAAAGGCGCGCCCGTCATGGACGCCACAAATGGTGAAGCGAATGACGTATGTAATGGTCTAGACGTGTCAGTCAGCATAATATTCACGGAGTGTTCAATGGTAAGCGTACTCTGGCTGATTTAAATCCAACCCTAATGTCATCAGATCCTGGCCTACTGCCAGACTGGAGACATCGGCGTTGTCACTATGAATCATGCGCAACAATCCTGCTAGCCCGAACTTGTCAAGTTCGCTCATTTCAGCGAAAGGCGACTGATCGGCTGTTGGTGCAGCCCCAGCAGATGCTTCCTTGGCCGTGGCTGGGAAGCCTGGCGGTCGCATGATTGTTGGTTGCTCGCTGTAACCAACAGAAGTAGACGCTACAGAACTGCTGACCTCCGGCTATATACTCATAAGAATAGTTCGAAGGGGATAATAGGGTGCCGGGTTGGGTACCTCTTTTTCCGAGCTAGGAAGCCTGCTAGAACCTTGATTCACCGGCGATCGCGAATTCTCGATTCCTAGAATGTGATCTTAGCGCTGCATGTGGTGCTCCTGCCTCTGCTGAGGCTTACCTGCTGAGCTTGCGTTCCCCGGAGACATAATCCTTTCTTGTCCGTTCATGGAGGTAGCGATCATGTTCCGACTTTGCGCAGTTTGGGACTGGGTGACTCCAGCAAAAGGCATACCACTGCTGTAGTTCCCAAGCCCCGTACCTTGCATCAGCGATCCTCGTCGGTCCTGACCTAGCTCCGCAGGCGCATTGCGTCCGAGCGGGGGAAATTCCTCGATATTGCCCGTCTGGGGTTGTCCGCCAGCGGTCAGTTGGCCACTGATACCTTGGCCACCGTTCCGGTAATCTTCCAAACGATTCGCAAATTGTGCGCCGGAGGGAAATACGTCATCATGTGCGGGTTGGGATTGTTGTTGAGGGTGCTGGGTTTGTGTTTGTGATGGTCGCGACGGCGCTTGCGATGTAGCATGTTGCGGTCTTTGAACAGGGGTCTGCTGCATAGCACGCTGGCTAGCATTTGCCCACACCATGTGGCTTGGATTTTGCGTCTGCGACTGCGGAGCCGCGCCGGAGAGCGAAGGGAAGTCCCTGTGAGGAGAGACAATAAATCTCAGCCAGAAGATCAACAGACATGCTTTCCTCTATGGGCCAGTTGATGAGTCAAACCCTGCGGGTTCTAAAGACACACTCACGAGAGATCCAGGGGCGTGGTCGGCTGAGATCCACTTAAGCTCTGAGCGAATGTGCCCATCGTCCCGATGCTGCGTTGTTGACTGCCTTGCATCCCTGGTGTTCCGCTTACGGGTAAGTTGAAGTTCCAGTTCGCTCCGCTCCCTACTCCGGCCACAATTGTCAGTTCGCGGGTGTATGCAACGCCCAATATCAGAAACAAATCGCACCAAGTTTGCCGTTCGGTAACCGCGCCGTTGCTAAAGCTGCGTTTCGAGCCTGTGCCTGTTGTTGTGCGGGGAAGCCGGCCATGCCTCGTAGGGGTTGTGGGCCTGTTCCTAGTGGTTGAAAGAGCGGTCAGCGACAAGCTCAAGGTCATCGCTAGCACATATCGACACCTTGCGACTGCTTCAAGTCGGGCCAGAAGGGTGTTGTGGGGATGCTGCTGCTAGGACTCGCGGTCGGCCATGGAGACCCATGAATAGACTTTTGCAACTGGATCCAACATCGAAAAGAGCTGTGGTTCCGTGCATCAGCGTCCTCTGGACCACCTACATGGTGGTTGGGAGGATGGGAGACACCACAATATCCAATGTCGAGGGCGTATGGGGCTGCTGTAGCAGGCCCGGCCATGACGACGACAAAGAAGGGTAGAAAAGACAAACCTGGCCTGTTCATTGTGCAGAAATTTGAGTGATCGACAGACTCTATGGAAAGCTTCGAGTCCGAGGCGCAAAACCAAGAAGACAATCAGTGCTTCAGCGTAACAGCGATAAGAAATCAAAGTGCAGCTAGGATCTCTACCCACACTGTTGCGCCGGTACTGGGAGGTGGAGTGGCTGCAACCGCGCGCTTCAATTGAATGCACAGACCAATCCATCACTAGCCGCCCGGATCACGAGACTCCAGAACACATCCTGGTCACGTTATCCCGTGAATTCACATAATCCGTAGATTCACATTCGACTGGTATAGAGTATAGTGAATGAATGGACAAGGAAACAAATGCTTTCAGGTGGGTGACAGAATAGGCTTGACAATTCTGCATCCAAGAAAAATGTATTAGTGCGTGCTAGGTAACTATGAACTATACATTTGCTAGCCTTCTCCAGGTTGAGTGAAGCAAGCCTTTACTTTTGAATTGCTGCTATATCTCCATGAAAAGTCTGCTACCCTTTCAGCTCAGTGGACATGGGATATTTGCTTGGCTCGCCCTATGGGCCGCCGATATTTAATGTTGCACAGAGTGCATCTTAAGGGCGGTGGTTGCACGTGATCTAGCCGCCCAAACTCCGCTCCGTAAGCTTTTGATCCCTCAGGGACCGCAGACCAGGCATATCGTGCAAGACATTTCTTCGACAACGAAGGCCGTTCTCCTCCTCTGATGCATCGCCAGTCACTTCTGCGTCTGGCTCGCCAGACCGGCGCTTTCCCTTTGGTTGAATTGCCTCCTCCATATCTCGCCCCGTCTCTCCATTTCTCTCTGCACCGGTCGCCGAACCAAGCCTCGAACTTTTCGTCCACAGCAGTTGCCGCGGGTCATGGACGTGATCTGAGCAAGTCTCGCGGTGTATCCGCCATCCACCGCACCGGTCCCAAATTCAAGCTGGGTGTATCAAAATACCAATTGCCCAAGCCCGTCGCTCGCGGTGAAGTCGCAAAGCGTCACCCGACCCCCGATCATGGACTCTGGGCGTTCTTCCCGAAGGACCGACAGGCTCTAAGCAGCCCGGAGTACGATGTCGCTCACGGTTTGTTTTCTCTTCTGTCTTCCTGGCCAATCGTCTGATGCAGGCTACTCACTTCCCGAATTATCAGGCCGCTCTTGGTCGATCCAGGAACTCCGCGAGAAATCATGGGACGACCTCCACGCTCTGTGGTGGGTCTGCGTCAAGGAGCGCAACCGTATAGCCACCTCCAACCTAGAGAGAGAGAGATTGAAGGCCGGTTATGGTGAATACGAAGCGACCGAGCGGGAGCGTATTGTACGTTCTGCCCCTTTGGGTTCTACCCTGCTATCATTGCTTTGCTCAGGTCGGATGCGGTTGATGCATGTTGATCGCGGCGTCAAGCCAAGTTCTTGCTGCGTTGCTCAGAAGTCTGAATAGTTTGCTAACCATTGACTGATTCGGAAAGGTTCGTCGCACGCAAAATGGCATCAAGCATGTCCTGCGGGAGAGATGGTACGCTTGGGAAGATGCTCAGAAGCTTTACAAGGATGGATATCGCCCGCAGTATGATGGCACTCCGGTTGCGTCTGAGCTCGAGACGGCGTCTGGAGAGCCCGAGAAGCCCGGCAAGGCGTAGTCCCATGAGATATGTCATTGAAAAGACACATTCAGGGCTCCATTTTCCTTAACCGACGTCTACCCTATGGGTCCTGTATTATTGTATGTAGTATAGTTTGCAACCTCCCCCTTATATGCATGCCTTAGCTTGCTTTACAATCTGCACTTCCGCTCGAACCATCACGAGCAAATGATTGTGAGCTCGTTGATTGACGCGTAGAGACCAGCCATTGGAGATGAAAATTGCCGATGGTTATTGCAGTAATCAAGCCATTAGGGCACCGGTATGAATAGTGTGTCACTAGTTGCAGGGGACGGGAGTTTAGTCACATCGGCCAGTCCAAGATAGACCGTCAATAGCAAGAGCAATAATTCTGATGACTCTTCGGACATTCTCGATGTGCTACGTTGTCCGACTGGGAAAAGGGGCAGGAGTTTCAGGAGGTCGCAGAAGGAGAACTTGGGAGAGGGGCTCATGATTAATCCGAAAGATTGATTAACTAACTTGGGTTCATGGTCCAAATGCATTGTTATTGAGTGCCTAACTATAGTATTCAAGTCGGACTGTAAGACTCAGGTCTAGTCTAAAAGGTGCAAAGTAACTCTTATAAGTTTAGTTTCAAGTCCAAAACATGATGATAGTCTCGCGTGAGTTAGGAGGAGGTCCAATTCACCTTGAACAGAAAAGCCAACGTTATTTGGCTTGGTGGAGCCTGGTGGGCGGGCGTCAAATAAAAACGGGTTCAAGAAAGTGATCGATGATCCGCGGGGGGGTGTCCCAAATCTACCCTGACGGGTCGGCCTCCTTTCGACGGACCTCCAGGCTTCCTCCTCTCTCCTTCTCCTCTCCTCCTCTTTCTTTTCGTTCCCTTTAAACTTACTGCTTCATAACTCTTCATCTTCTTCACCCACACCTACCCTATACAGTTATTGTCCATATTTATTTTATCCCCCTCATCACTCCTTTGGAGAATCATTTGCACATTGCCCGTTATCCCCTGCGTTATCTCACATCATGGATGAGATTGCCCCCGAGTATGATGTTGTGGTGCTCGGCACTGGTATGTTGCTACCCCGCCATTCCACCACTGCTACTCTGACCCCCCCTCGCAGGCTTGACTGAGTGTGTGCTGTCTGGGTAAGTTCTTTCTAGTGTTATTGGAATTATAGCAGTCACTTATTTGTGTCATAGTGTTTTGAGTGTCAAGGGAAACAAGGTGCTTCACATTGACCGCAATGACCACTACGGCGGGTAAGTTTGGGCAGCTCCCCGAAAGCTATCTCCCCACCACATTCGCCATCGTGACAACACCACTAACCATGCACTCAGCGAGGCTGCTTCTGTCAACATTGAGACCGTAAGTATTTGTGCTCATTTTTAGCACCATATCTGAGTGTCGCTAACGGCTCATTTTCACCTGGCAGCTTTTCAAGAAGTACGGCAACGTTCCTGCAGGCGAGGAGCCCTGGAAGAAGTATGGCCGCGTCAACGACTGGAACATTGACCTGGTTCCCAAGCTTTTGATGGCGAACGGCGAGTTGACCAACATTCTGGTCTCCACCGATGTCACGAGATACCTAGAGTTCAAGCAGATTGCGGGCAGCTACGTCCAGCAAGGAAAGGGTCCCAAGGCTACTGTCGCTAAGGTGCCCTCGGATGCCGGTGAAGCCCTGCGCTCTTCCCTCATGGGCATGTTCGAGAAGCGGAGAGCCAAGAAGTTCTTGGAGTGGGTTGGCGAATTCTCAGAGAGCGATCCCTCCACTCACAATGGTTCGCAGAATCTGGAACGTGTACTAAGTGATGACGCTAACAGGGTGTAGGCCTCGATATTAACCAATGCACGATGAAGGAAGTCTACGACAAATTTAGCTTGGAAGATAACACTCGCGACTTCATTGGTCACTCCATGGCTCTCTACCAATCCGATGAATACTTCCTCAAGCCCGGAGCCGCTCCCGAAACCATCAACCGCATCCGCTTGTATGTTAACTCCATGGCCCGTTACGGCAAGTCGCCATACATCTATCCCCTTTATGGCCTTGGTGAGCTTCCTCAAGGCTTCGCTCGTCTTTCTGCTATCTATGGCGGTACCTATATGCTTAACACCTCGGTTGATGAGGTTCTCTACGATGAGGGTGGCAAGGTGTCCGGAATTAAGGCCACTATGAAGGACCGTGACAACGAGGGTGATGCTATGAGCTTCACTACCAAAACGAAGAAGATTCTCGCCGACCCCTCGTACTTCCCTGGCAAGGTTCGCGTCACTGGCTACCTGCTCAAGGCCATCTGTATTCTCAACCACCCTATCGATAAGACCGACGGCAGCGACTCTCTACAGCTTATCATTCCCCAGTCGCAGGTCGGAAGGAAGCACGGTATGATCACTATCAATCTGTCCTAGGTTTGCAGGGTACTAAACATTTCCTAGATATCTACATTGCTATGGTCTCTTCGGCGCACAACGTCTGTCCTAAGGGCTACTACATCGCGATCGTCTCGACCATTGCCGAGAACGATGCCAACCACCATATCGAACTAGAGCCTGGATTCGAGCGCTTGGGTAAGATCGAAGAGACCTTCTTCGGCGCTCCTATCCCTCTCTACGAGCCCCTCGAGAGTGGTGAGAAGGATAACATCTTTATCTCCAAGAGCTACGATGCTACCTCCCACTTCGAGACCACAACGGGTAAGTCTTGCGTATCATGCCTTTCACGTGTTAAGAGTCCTTTTAACTAAAATTTGCATAGACGATGTCCGGGACATCTACCGTCGTGCCACGGGCGAAGAGCTGAAGGTTGAAGGTCTCCGGGAAGGTCAACAACTTGCGGAGGAGTAAATGTGCCTCCATCATTTGCATGTTAGGGTAAAGTAATTTTTCTTGTCGCTTCGGATGCGCTTTTTGACTTGAGCCATAATTCCTCTTGGACTTTCCTTCACGCTCATGAAACATACCACATACTCTCTTGGACACAGTCCGCTTCCTTGTCTCTAGCGTACCATATTATTATAGTAGGGACTTAGTGCATATGAACCTGGCTCGCAAGTGTATGGCATCTGTCTGTCCATAAGACTGTCTTGAAAACGGGCGCCATGAAGCTGTAGAGATGCTCTATATCAACGGTCACTGATAGTATATGAGGACCTGCCTAGCGGAAAAGTCTCAATGGTTGCGTAGGAAAGACCACATAATCACAGATAGTCTGTATAGCACATAAATCCTTCGTCCACGGTCACACCACAAGCATCTCCACCCCCCTCTTCCCTCTCTTTTTCATAGAGACGACCCGCCATCGATGTTGACTTTCTCGTGGTCCGCCACAATACAGACCTTGCCATCCTCCGCGCGACAGATCTCCGCCTTGATCAGAACCATCCGTTGCCCCATATTGACCATCTCGCAGACTATCCGCACCTCCGTCTCCACCGGCACGGGACGTATATAAGTCAAGTGGAGGTTTCGCGTGGTTCCCGCCGTCGAGAAATGACCGGGACTCGAGAGTGCCAGAGGCAGTACGGAGGTGAGGCAGTCCACTATGGTGGCCGCACATCCACCGTGCAGGTTGCCGGCGATATTGCACAGCTCCGGGACGATGGTGAAGAGATATGAGCATCGTGCGGGGGGACCGCGAGTCGCGGATTCGAAGCGGAGGTTGCAAGCTCCCGGGAAGTAGTCCCATGTCTTATTTGCCGTGAAAGGTTGCTTGTTAGTGGAAGAGGTGCCTCCAGGGAGTTCGGGGAGGAGGAGGAGGAAATATTGGTCGGTTCATGGACTACATTCAGATACATACTTTGGTGTCTGGGTCTAATGCAGGAGGGCCCGTGGATAATCTGTGGATATGACGCTCGAACTCGTCCAGTTCGTTGTAAACGCGCGTGGTGGGGATAAGCATTGTGTTCTATGAGAATGGTATGTCGTGGGTTTACTTTGGAAGCTGCAGGGCTTGGGCGAGAGTAGGCGCATATCTATAGTAAGCTGGGCTTGGCGCCGGTTGCTAAATTGCTGGACGGGAATAACCGAGGCTGGCGGCTGTTGTTACTGAGACTTGACTTTGTTAATTCATTGCATGCTCAGCCTCACCATTTGAGTTTGATTCTCATGGCAGGCTCTTCGATAGGTTTGATCTTAGTAAGTTCACGGCAGCTCTGATCTTACTTCTTCTCATGTCCATTGGTCCTTCCTGGTGGTAAGGTCCTTGATCCTGGTTGATTCTATTAGAACAATCTATATGTTTCTGAACATGCTCCTCAAGCCCGAGCTAAAGAACAAGATCGCATAAGAAGAATCGTTCAGAAATGTTTGCCCTATAGTTGAGTTGTGGTGAGAACTAGAGGGAAATTCATACCCGAACTTGAAACAAGGTCAAACCATCGAGAGTTTTTGCAGACCAAGATGCAGGAATCACTGGAAGTTGACCTGCTCTCTCTATACGGAGTAGTTCAATGCGTTCTCACATGACCGTGCGTCACGCTGGCTGCCTCAGGCCCAGACTCTCGCTCCCGAGAATGATTCTCCGCCCTGGGGAGCAACTCCCCATATGCTTGGTGCTCCTTGACACCATTTTCCTTACCGCGGCCTGAAGGTGATATTTCGCTCGTGACTGTATGAGAGTCAGGCACTCTAAGCATATTCGCATATTGCGCATTGTACCTCCCTAGACCACTTGTGCTCCTGTCGGTCGCCATTGGGAACATTCCCTTCTCCGCACCTTCACCCTTCCCTCCGCTTCGCGCCGATAAATAAAACTGCGCAACGACAAGTTACCAATTGGAGTCTACACACCTCCAATTGTGAGATGGGTTTACCGCCTAAAGCTCCCAGAATCGCAGCAGCTTAAGAAGGAATCTTCCCGCCTTTGTTTTCTTCGGGAGGCCCACGTTCGTCGATAATGAAGGACGCGCGCGCGAGCAAGAGGAGAAGAGTGTCAAATGTGCAAATTGTGGATGGAGACGGGGATACTGGGATGCGCGACAATGCTCTCGATACGGAGCCGAACCAGTCATCATCTACTCCGGGCGAAAATTCCGCCGCAGTGACCGAGATGGAGACACAAACCGTCGACGAGCAGCCGAAAGCATCAGTCTCAGCGCGATCAAAACGCCGACGATCCTCCCAAGGAAATATAGTGACAGAGGAGAGCACAAAAAAGAACAGCAAAGCTGAAGATGCTGTTGCCACAGAAACCCCCTCGAGAGCTGGAGTACGTTCCAGCGGTCGACGGCGAAAAGTCCCTCAGCGATATGGAGATGAGATCGTGGATACGCCTCGTGGCAAGGGTGCGGCGGCCTCGACACCGAAGCAGAACGGGTCAACTACGAGAGGCGCACGGAAAGCGAAATACGTGTCGCCGTCGGAAGATGACGGCGACGAGGAGGAGGAGGAGGAGGAGGAGGAGGAGGAAGAGGATGTCGAAGTATCCCCGGAGCCGCAGGCGCGGCGAACGCGGTCTGCCAGAGCTAAGAAGCCTCCGGTGCGCTTTGCGAATTCGGAGCAAAAAGATGCTTCTGCGAATAGCAGAGAGGAATCCAGGGAGCCCCCTAACCCAGACGACTATCAGGATGGACTCGAAGACCTTGTTTCCATGCAACTGCAGCAAGATCTTACCAACGATGAGCTGAATGGAATTGATCAGACGGCTACGCAGGACGGGCCACTTCCTGAATATGCTGAACGTTTTCAGACTATTGTCCAGACGGGCTTGACGGAAGAATTGCAACTACTCACTCGTGTTGTTCTCGATAAGCTAAATGGGAAGAAGAGAGTGCCTCTCAGAGGGCTGGAGACAGAATTCGACAAGGTCAACCAACTTGTTGAGCAGACGGTCTCGATTGGTGAAAGTAACTCGATGCTGCTTCTTGGATCGCGTGGAAGTGGGAAGACCGCTATCCTTGACGCTATCATCGCGGGGCTGAAGAAATCGCATAACAACGACTTCCACGTTGTTCGACTTAATGGCTTCCTGCACACGGACGACCGGCTGGCGCTCCGTGAGATGTGGCGTCAGCTTGGCCGCGAGACCAATACCGAAGACGACGCCGGCAAGGTCAGTAGCTATGCAGACACAATGGCAACTTTGTTGGCTCTCTTATCCCACCACGAGGAGCTCTTTGGTCCTTCATCAGACTTGGAGAAAGCGACCGCTGCGAAGTCGATTGTCATCATCCTGGATGAATTCGACCTGTTTGTTACACACCCACGCCAGACGCTACTGTACAATCTTTTCGACATTGCACAAGCGCGCAAGGCTCCAATTGCTGTATTGGGCCTGACGACCAAGGTGGAGGTGACTGAAATGCTGGAGAAACGTGTGAAGTCTCGCTTCAGTCACCGCTACGTCTACGTACCTCTTCCACGAAGCCTCGAGATATTTTCTGACATCTGCTTTGCGGCACTCAATATCGACGATGACGAGATCTCAGACCTACTGGACGATGCAGATCCTTCGGAGCAGGCTATTTCTAAAACCGAGAGCTGGAGTAAGCTCTTAACAGCATGGAAGATCTATCTCAAGGTTAATATTGCCCAATCAAGCACCCACCCTCCCAAACCATATATCCCACCAAGCTCCAGAACTAACCCGCGGTTAAACGGCAGAACTTATGGGTCGACGAGGCTTTCTCCGCGCACCTGCGCCGGATCTACTATCAAACTAAATCCGTAAAGGAGTTCTTCACCAGCGCTCTGATGGCCATCAGCGAGCTTCATCACAGCACTTACATCACCAATCCAAACAATAATAACAGCAACGGCCAAACAACCTCCCTCGCAATCCCCACCGCAATCACCTTCACTAGCCAAACGCTCTCCTGTCCCGACCCGGCGCCCTTACCCTTCGCACCCACCATCACCGCATCGGCCAGCCCATCCTCCCTCCCGCTCTCCCTCCTCCTAGCCGCCACCCGGCTTGCCGCCCTATACGACCCAGGCCTTGAGAGCGTCCAGACGCAAACCAACCTCGGACCCTTGGCCCTGTCCTTCCCCGCCGCTTACGCAGAGTATGTGCGCCTACTCACCTCGGCCAAAACCTCAGCCTCGGTGTCCGGCGCGGCCGTTACCCCCGGCCGAGTCTGGGACCGGGATGTCGCGCGCGAGGCGTGGGAAAAACTGGTCAGCTGGGGCCTCATCAGTCCCGTTGGGGGAGGCAGTGGGGGCACAACGGATGCGCGAATGTTCCGGGTGGAAACCAGCTTCGACGAAGTGGTTGAGATGGCTGGAACAGGGGGATCGTTGGGCCGATGGTGGCGCGATGGCTGACAAGAAAAGGGGAAAAATCAAAATCCTTTCCCCCTAGGATCTACCCTCTCTGCTCTTCTTCTCTTGCACAATAGAAAGCACTTTGTAAATGATACCCGCACTAGTCGAAAGGAAGTTTACGAGGCGCGCAAAGACAGACCCCAAGCTAGTTTCTTCTGGCTACATAGTACTAGTACAAATACACCATTGCTGTATATGGTTCAACGCTCAGGGTCTTTCCTGGTGTCTCCATGTCAGCAAAGCTATTACTTATTCCGGCTAGCCAGCTAGTCAAACAGGCCTGCCAGCCTGGCAAACCAGAACCCCATCTAGACATGCACGGTCCAGGTTTGGCTTGCGCGCTGTGCTGCACCACACTAAGAAACTGGGCCCGGTGAAGGATCAGCAACGGGGAGACAGCCGGGGAATTCCGGCTCTTCGGATGGGGTAAGCTATGTAGTAAGCTTAACAAGATAAGCAGAGTCAGACGTTGAGGGGAAAGAGGCGAATTTTTGTCCAAGTGTGTTCCAGGGAGAGGAAGAAAAAGCAACTTCATCGTATATTCTACAAACAGTAAGAAGTGAACTTATCAAAGCACGGTGTCACCTTAGCTCCGTCCCCCGCCATCCTGGATGCTGTACATGCTCGGGCGAGGGGAGAGGTAGAAAAGAGAGTAAGAGGGGGGGTTGCTCATCGCAACTGCACAGACACCAAGCCGGTCCAGGCCATGAACCCCTCTCTCACTTTTGTTCTCCCCGGACCCCGGAACCTGGACCCCACGCGAACGTAGGCTCACGCATTATCGGCTGACAGCATTGTGAAGTAAATGTTAGAGGTCAGAACTACTACTAGCGCCATGGAATACTGTAGATCCTGCCAAGAACAAACAGTCTGGTGAGAAGCGTGATCGTTGTCGCTGGCAATTGCGTTCTAAAACCATCGCTTGTTTGCGAATACGGCATGATATGCTGCATGCGTCCGCCTACGTTGGCGCGGAAGGTGTTGCTTCCCAGTCTAACGCTCCTCGCAAGGAATTCGAGAGTCCTTGATGTACCTTTTGTATGTGAGCCGTACGCTCGCTGGGATGTTGTGTAACGAAAGAACTGAGGACAGCGGTCATTATGCTCGAAGCCTGGACTACCTGTCACAGTCGGATGGCCAGGGCCCATGAATGACAGGGATTAAGAAACTTGCCAGATAGGCAGACATGAGCACTAATGTAAGTAGGGAGGTTTTATGAGTGGGAAGGTTGAACCGGTCACCATGCATGAAGGAATAATCGGCTTTGCCTGAAATGACTAGTAAGGTCGCATCCGGGCATTGTCGAGGTCAGAAATGCCCAAGAATGATTAGACTAAAAAGGACTGCTCCTTCACGGCTGTCGATGATTTGTTCGGCAGGGGTGCGAGATTGCTAGTGTGCGCATGTCAGACTCAGACGATGGTGATCTCAATCTGAGCTTCTCGGCTGTGCATTAGTGCAGCCACCTGGCTGTCCTCATGGCATGGCATGGCGTGGCAGGGCATGGCGTGGCATGAAGTAGTCTGAACCACTTGTGCGACCCAGCCCATGCGTCACCTTGCTGCAATCCGCAAGGGCTGCCTGATATCTTCGGAAGAGTCTGGGCTCCGACTGGGCTCCGACCAATAACAGCAGTAAGATTCTCTGATCGTCATGGCAGGATGGAATAGCTATTGGAGCTTAGAACGGATTAAGTAAAGTGCCTGAATGGTCCAATTACCAAGGAGCGGTTGGTGCATGATACGCTAGACTGATGAGGAGAGAAGAATGTGCGAGCTCTTACTCTTGGTTTGCATTTTTAGTTCTCTTCTGGCTTATGGATGTCGCGGGGTACAACGAATCAGGGAACTTCTTATTTTTTTTGCACACTAATGCATAAAATGACCCTATTTAAATCAAGTCAGTGCTGCTAAGAAGATCAGAAGAGGATTTCAGTCATCAATCAACAAGCGGGGAGTACTGGGACACTCTGGAAACGAAGCAGTATTCTTAAGGTCCGCACTGAAAGCCCGATAGAGAGAGGACGGTTCCATATGAGGATCAAGCGCTAGCCAAATATCGCTTGTTCTTATGTGAGGACAAGGGTGTGCTGATGCTGTAATCTTCAGTCGAGAAGTACCGAGATACTGAGAAGGACTCTACGGGCACACCATTGCTGTCTCGTCTTGTCCCTAGGGCGACGGATAAAGTCGGATGCGCGTGTGCGTAGTCAATGCAGTAAACCGTCTGGTATCCCTGCCAGACATAGTCCGTATGTTACACACTGTGCCGACACCTTTCCCTCGCGCATAGTGATCGATCATGTCGTCCTGCAACCTTTACTAGTAGAGACTAGTCAGCGGTCAAGGTGGAGCAAGACTAGTCGATTTAGTCTGACGCCGGGGGAAGAAGAGGGGTTGTAAATTGTGCTAACTAACGCGCTTGGGGATTAACAGAAGTGACTAGTCATGGGGATGGCGGCCGTATGGGGGGACGATCACTTGTTCTTGGTAATCGAATGCCGATCCTCGAGGTATGCGGTGTTTGTTATTCCCCACTGACTCGTCGGACAAATGGCCGCATACTCATAGATGTGAGTCGGAGACGTGAACTCGAATCACCAAATGATAGCCATAGGCTAGGGTGGGGGCTGAGGTGGTTTTTCGCGACGATAGCAGGGTTCTGCGAGGTCTTACTTATCAGTTAAGAAATTGTCTGATCTCCTTCCTTCTGCAGCTGCAAGGTGTGGATAGGGTGTCATTCATGAGAATCCTGTACTGATACAGCAGGTAGACGTTTGGCAAGGACAGTCTTATAGTCAGTCAGCTTCGCAGATTGCGGGATGCAACAAAGATCAAGACGGCGTGCAGGCGAGCGACGCAACAAAAGGCAACAACAGCCTTGAAATCACATGATCACCGGGTTGGCGGGGAACGGGTTGCGATTGCGGGGGACGTGGAGAGAGGTTCGACTCTACACAGCCTGCTTCAATCTCAGGCAGTATTCTTGAATTTTGGCTTTTGAATTCATGGTTGTGAGTGATCTCCCTTATCCCTCAACCCTGACAACTATCCAGGACGCTGCATGCGCTTGACGAGAGCCTTTTCCGCCCATCTGAATGTCTGCCATCCTGCAAAGTACACCACATACTACCATAGGGGTTGCTTCTTCAGATCGCGCCACAAAAGAAACTACTACAACAAGCTTTGTGACCTAGCCATAATAGGCATTTAGTTAACCTCACTGTCTAAGCGCTGTCATGCCGGCATGACGGTTTTCCCTGGCGCCTGTCCAAGTGGCTTACCGAGTCTCATCTGAGTCCGTAGAAGCGACATGGGAGGCTCGGCCGCAAGTGGAAGTGCATAGGAGCTTGGAATAATCAAGGTTCGTATTCTGCTCGACCTGCACCATGGGCGCACATTATGTTATATTGACTACTTGACTGGGTGCAGCTCTCCGGTTCACGGACAATGAAGGCAATACTAGCCCACCCCTTAGATCCGTATGATAACACAAGAGTCATTGGAAAACTCGCTCTATAGTTGGCACTCCCGGGGTGTTGCCGATTCACGGCTTGAGAATAGGTATTAATGCAGCAAGATGTTATGATCTGCACTGCTTAACTGTCTAGATAGAGGCTTCGAAGCTCCTTCCGGGCAAACTGAGAGAGTACTGGGATGGATGCCGGGCAATATACCTGTCAACAAAGTAGAAAAAAAGTAGATCAAGCAGACCAAACACCAAGCCTCATTTTGCAAGCCGCCTTGAGTAAACGAGTACTGTATAACCCCACAAGATCCAAATCCTACTATAGGCACAGAGGCCAGCACAGCAACCAAAGAAAGCCGCATCGCATCGCAACTCACTAGGATGGGCTATTTCTTCAACAAAGACGACACTAGGCCGCATTGCGTTATGCAGATTATTGTACCGACTGTCTGCCTCAAATCTTGAACAGAGCGTCTAACGACTCCGCCCCGTATCCGACTCGGACTAAGTTTTCTGCGTAGGTGAGCTGTGCTGCTCATCTGCTGGCTGTCCTCTCTGCCTGAACTTGGAGTTTGTGTTAAGAAAGAACGATGACCGGTGTGTTGTACTCCCTGCGTACCGTACCTAGCATTACTTGCCGTCCTTGGCCCAGTCAATCCCGGGAGATCCCAGTTCACTTACACCTGCGTAAAATACCAGTATGTACCGATCCGTATAATAAACCCGAAACATTCGTCAGCCAAAGCCACACCCCACCTGGTAACCATTGCCTGCCCTGCAGTGTAACGTTCAAGGTTCGATGGCGGCCTCCCGGAAGATCCTCCACGTGCGTGTTTCCACGAATTATTCATCAGCTTTGGTAATGAGATCGGAGGGATTGTCTGCCAGTGCAGCTGACTCAGCTCAGAAGAAGAGATCAGACGATTGATCATCAGCAGATACAACTTACGCATTGAAGTTCGACTTTGGGAGATTCCAGTACTAGAGTATAATGCATGTACGTCCTCATACTTGGGATTTTGCGCTACTGGCAACCTAACGGAAATGTTCTTCTACCCCCAAGAATCGCTTAGAGTGCGGTACATCGGAGCTCGGATCCACAACTCTCCACGGACAGTGGACTACATAATTCCTCGGTGTGTCTTTTCCGAGGGAAACCGTCTTCAAATGGCCCATATGTTTTGCATTTCCCCAAGTAAGGAAGGAGACCCTACTTGATGAGGCCAAGTTGCAGTATGAGTGTAGCGCCGTCATGACCCTCCCACTAGTCATACCTACCACACCTACGAACTTTATCTTGCACTTTATTCTAGCCGCAGATTCAGAGGGTTTCTAGAGCTTTTTCTACCCTAGTCATTGATCCGTCTTCTTGACCAGTCGCTGTGTAGAGCTAGCTTGCAGCAAAGTCTTAGGGAGCTTCGTAATATGTGATGGTAAAGTCAGATACTTCTACTCGACAAGACGGCATTTGGATGCACGGTCGAACCGACGCATCGTGTACATAGGAGTAACCCTCTTCCAGAGTCCCAAGTTCCAACAGGTGAATATGCTTAAGCTTTGATGCTATAAACCGTTTTAACCTTGTCCCATTGTCTGATGCATCCAGTTCCTAAATTACGATCAAATGGTACTATGACTTGTGCTCCGTAGAGGTGTTAGAATCTATG